ATGTCGATTTGAGTGCCGATAAAAAACATGCTTTATAATAAAAAAAAAGCATTACATAAATGTAACGGTACCTCTTTACAATGGAAGTGTTCATAGAACATTTCAGAGTGAGTCGCAAAGTGGCTGAAGATATTTCAAGTAAATACGAACTCAGCATGATCTTCAAAAGGACGACTGGCAGCAATAAGACACTTTCTGCTTACGAGCTTTTCTGGTTCACAGGTGATGAAACATCATCAACGATTAGTTGTTTATACTACATAACAAGATGTTTAATCATGTTTAAGAACTTGTGAATTGTAATTCAGTGGTCTAACAATGAGGAAAGACATAGAATTTCATCTAAGTATCAAATACGATGCTGTGAAAAATGTGTTCTAGCAACATCAAATTTGAAACCGTTTGAAACTAGCCTTCTGACCACACATGCGCATTGAAAAAGTTCACAATCGGGTATCAAAGTGATACTATCTAATATCGATGTCCCCGTTCTTCACATCTATTAAATTTATTTCTCTAGGATACCTGTATGCGAAGGTTACTTAGAAAATCGAGAAAAAATGCCGAACATTGATAAAAGCATTAGTAGATATACTTGAAAGTACACAAAAAAGTGGGAAAGAGAAGATGAGTTGAAATGTTAGTAATACTCGTATATGTATCTTTAAGAAAGAAAATACGTGATGTGACATTATATAAATTGATTTTATTTTTTTACATTCGAATTTAGGGTATTTTAGTTTGAATTTAGGAACATTTTTTGACTAGTTAGCACCACTGCGCCCGTCGTTCCAATGTGCGCCTGTCCTTTGAATATATGTAACGGAACTTTTCGCTTCCTAATCTCCTTTTTACATTTTTCTCTACTGATACCGGAATATTTTCATGTACAAAATTGTAGCTTGTGTACATCTTTTTTTAACGCCACTGCTGAATCCGACCATCCCAGCGACACGAACACCGTATAGGTCAGTCCCTGAAGATATTTTCCATATCGATCAATACGATTAATGTCAATTGGAGTGATGCGTGAAATTCTTGGTCTTGGAAATGGAAAAAGTAAACTCATAGGAGTTATCTGTAAATGTTTCACAAAAACTACAAAATTGAATGGATAAAATGGCGTCAAGTAGATTGACTCTGCACTTCCTACGCAACGCCGTCATCAGTTCATAAATGATTAAGTTCAGAATAAGTTAAACTCTATGAGAAAACATGTTTGTACATCAAAGGAATTAAACCGATCGTGTCAGTCAAACAGGCCTATACAATTAGTTCCTTTCCCTGACCTACCGGTAGTTACCGTCCATCTGACAACGTTACCCCTTCCCACATCGTCAGTCGCGGCAGCGCCCACCAAAGCACCGCCGTAGTACGAGTAGAACAATCAAGTAGATCGGTACGCCGGGCGCTCAGCCTAGAGAGCAGGACATGCGTATCGAAAGCATTTATGTATCAATCCAAGTGTTAAAGACAAATGTATGGGAAATCCTATGATGTGTGAGATATGGCTAATAGGTGCGTAGAATTATCGGGGTAGGGAGATATATATGTATATATACTAACATCAAAAAATTGAGATAAATCCTCCCCCTGGAAATTTTTTGAAAAATCACCAGGACTCTCGTTTGAGCGATTTTTTGTTTTAGGCCTTTTTTCCGCTGCCACTGGACCAATTTTTAAAAGGTTTTTCGACCTTGAGGTGGTAGTAACCTCGTGTAAAAATTTCATCCAAATCCGAGCAGTACAGACCGACAGATAGACAGACCGATGGAAACATATCTCATTTTCGAAATTTTTCGCGATTACAGTACTTTCTTGCCCAGTGGCGTAAGAAGTTAAACAAGCTTCACAATAACAATCCCCCTCAAATGCTTTTGTCATTGGATGTTTGAAGAATATTTAGAATTTAGACAACATTGAAATTTTGGCTCTTTTACAAGTATTAAGCCACTAATATCTCTAAGACGATCCAATTTATGGAAAAGCTCAGAAGAACCTTTTTTGTTCCCAATGACCCAAGATACCTGAAAAAACATTGTTGCGAAAAGACATTTTTAATAACACAATGTCTGATGTAATTTTTGGGGGTGGAAAAATTTAGATCCGTTAAAATGTAAATAAGATTATGCAAAAAACCCGAATCAGAATATTTTGCTGAGCGGATGCAATGATACTTTCTGGACTAATTTCACTATACGGAAAGTGTGACAGAGACAGGAATCCCTGAAGAAAACCTGCGCTATATCAGTTCCGCAAACTGTTCAAAAAACAAAAAAATAAACAAAAAAAATATAAAAATAAATGAAAAATTATAGTAGTGCATTGTGAAACTTTGCATAATATTTGTAAGTTTTAGCTTCACAGAAAGCCAAAAAACGTGATTGCTGAGGTCATAACGCTTTTAAAACAACTCCCTGTTGCATCTGAACAAGTTTCGCCAGCTTACACATGAATAACACTTGGAGTCTAGCCAGGATAGCGTCATGTATTTGATTCATAATGCAAGTTTATTTTTAATATCAATCATTACACATATTTCAACATCAGTATGGTGTCCGAACATATTTTTGAAGTGGAAAATTTAACATTAATGTTTAATTATCATCTAAATAGTTTAAATGCAACCAATGTTGCCAGATGAGTGAGATAACGTTAGGCAGTAGAATAGCATTAGATAAAAAGTGATAAATTTAGGATCAATAAAACGTATATTTTTTACCTTATGTGAAGCAGTATTATCCTTTGTCTATGTTGAGTGTTCGAAAATGTTCACTTTCTCCTTCAGAAAGCACTGAAGATTGAATGTGATAATTTTAAAGAATACAAAATTAGCTGAAAAGTTTATAACACAACAGGTACTTTGAAAAATGCCATACAGGAGTCTTAGTCAATGACGTAGCATAGATACGTATATCAAGGCCAGAATGGATGGTACCATTATTATTGTTTAGGATCATTCCTTCGTGAGAGTTAAGATTAACTGACATTTATAACATTTATATCTATTCAAAAACCTGTTAAGCGCTGTTATAGGTGTAACACCTTTTATAAGATATATAATCGTAGGCCTGCCTGTAGTATGAATGATGAGAAGCATTACAACAACTTTTCACTCCTTTCGATTATCTTTCTTCTACAATAACGTGGTCTCCTTTCACCTTTCAATATCTCCAAAAGTGGCTCATGAAAGCAGCATAAATATGAACATAATTATGACTAGTATAGACTGAACACTTTTTAAAATGCTGTCATAGCATAACACATGTCAGGCATGAAAAAGCGAGTTTTGCAAGTGATAAAACTCTGTAGTAGTCCTGCGCCAAAGGATCCATCATCACCCAAAGAAAGAGAAAAACGAATGCAGCTATTGGTAGATGAAACGTCTAGGCATTGTTTAAATGTGGAAAGATTTTTATTCGCTAAAAGGATTAATTCTGGGAGGAAAGGATTTAATGAAAATTGTCTTAGAAGACTTAAAAAAGCATTATTAATTTTGCTCACCGTGAGATTCGCAGCCTGGGATGTTTTCTAACTTGCTCGACCGTGCAGTACACTAACTCATGCAAAAAATGCTTTCAATGGGATTCCACTTTATTAATCCAAAATTATATATACGAACGGGCAAAATCTTTCATTACTCCAAATGTAGTTTTGATATCAATTAATTAGTAGAAAATGGGTAACAATATATGACTGAGTAATTAAGCCTGCTTAAAGTCAAACAATTCGAGTGATATTCAAAGAGAATTGAAATTAAAAATAAATCGATCGTGTTACGTCACCGGTAGTTAACGAGAGGCAGCGCAGCGAGTAAAGAAGACCCTTGCCGTGGCAGCTATATTGTGTTCAACAATTTGCACTTAGTGGTCGGAAGAGTAACTTTACCGCCTTAGGGCATAAATAAGTCAGTGGGCTGAAAACTGGGATTTAATGCTCGAAAAAGCTACATATAAAGTACACTTTTCCACTGTAACAAAAACACCGTTTTTACTGTCCCAATTCTAATTTGATACTCTAATTTATAATATCACTTGCAACTAATTTACGCCATTTATAACCATGTCGACTAGACTATGTTGACACGTCAGTCGCTACTCGTTCACTGTCCACTGGTTCGACTGTGTCTGTATACTCGACTGTGACAGCATCGTTCTGCCATCTCGGCGGATATTTATGTCCCTATCGACGAGTCGAGAAACACTTCAGCGTTTTCCAGGCTGAGTCATGGAAGTGATCTAGTTGGCAGCAGATTCATATCCCGACGTACCAAAAATTCGCAATGGCGTCCACCACGCTCCATGAATAGGTCGCGTAATTCTGGTTACCTAAGCGTAGAGCCCACTTATGGCCACCTGTCAAAGAGTTCCAGTTATACGAAGGCATAATAATATAATAGATGTTTATCATACAAGGGAAAATCTAGTGTTTTCCCGTGTATAATACGTAATTTTTTTCTGTGACGGGAAAAACAACGATTTAATATTGAAAAATTATATTTTCACAATATTTTAAGTACGAAAATAATCGATATGAAATTTGAATTTTGAAATTAGTGGGATATGTTGTACTTACAGCGACAATTAGACCTGCGTTGCTAAGAAAACTTTTAAAATAATCAAATAGCTGTCAATTCAATTTTGTGATTTGATTTAAAAATTATTGTTTAGAAGCTATTTTAATACTATAAAGTAAAAAATGTCTGATTTCGAGTTCTCTTAGATTCAACCGAAATTAGTAGAAGTAGCCAAAGTAGCGTCACAAATTATTGCCAGCTAAATCGTTTATGCAATATCCGGGAAAAAAGTACTAATTTTGTTACCTGTCAACAAAGATAAAATGTCAAACTTTTTTCCTGTCGCAGAAAAAATAACTTTATACTATAAGTACTAATTAGGAGTTTGAACTTATATTCTCTATTTCTTCCCTTCCTCTTAACTCAATTCTACTTCTTTCCTCTTTAGTCTACAATATAATCTTATTTCGATTTTTTTTTTCAGATGACTTATGTAGAAAATTTGGAACCAGTAAACAAACAGGCCTGACACCGGAGCAGGCAGCTACGATATTGCATAAAGTTGGACCAAATACTCTAACACCATCCCATAAGGATCCAGAGATTCTAAAATTCATCAAGACTTTAACAGGAGGTATGTTCTTTTACAACTGTTATTGACCAAAGGCACAATCCCAACATATTCTGGAATTTGCTGATGGGTTTTACCTGGATTGTATAAAAAGCATATGATCGAGACACTCTTTCCACAAAAATGTGTCGATGACATCGACATACCACTAACGCCAATAATCAGATTCAAGCGGATAAACAAATGAAAATGGTATTTACCATTTTGGATAGGTATTTACCGATCCGTTCAAGCGAGTGTGGTTATCAGTTTGGTTATAAGATCCGTGACATCATGAATCAGCTGTTATATGTCGTAGTTATCACCGCAAAAATATGGTATTTACCCAACTCAGGAGTAGTTTTATATTTCTGGTTATTATTTGACATGTGACAAGTTAGAATTTTGCCGGGTATTGGATATTTTTATTGTATTTCAGCTTCATTTTTGGGAAACTTAATACAGGCTGACTTCAGTTTTAGCATAAGAGAGCACCTTATTATTTATAATCATTACTGTTGTTGGGGACACTTTGAATTTACGTTAGTTCCTACGCTTAACAAAGTATCCTAGCCATATACCACAAGAATATTAAAATATGGCCATATAAACCCACTGGATGATGTCCACCTGTATACGGTTTTGTTAATATCTTTTTTTCATCGCTTTTTCATCATTTCTGCTAAATCAATAAATATTTTCTTTGACATGCGGAAAAGTTTAGAGAATTGAAAGTTAACATAGCTACAAAAGCCATGGTTCCATCAGTAAAAATTTTTTCCTGAAAAAAAAAACATTCCTCCCATTAATATTATGAAAGTTTTCTTTTTTTCAACTTTCCATACCCCGTTATAGACGAAAAAGCATCGATTATTAAGTGATAATAAAAATAATCAGAAATTATATAGGTACGCGCTTTTCTAAAATAAACAACCTGCAACAAACCGCGGTTAAAACCAACGCGTTCAAGCGATCCGAGTAACTGACGTCATCATCCCGTGTGTCATCTTGAACCATATTATAACCGCGGTAGATAATACGGAAATTTTGGTTATTCGCTTGTATTTGATTATTGTTTCTATTGAAGTATATAATGAAGTCTTCAACAGTTTGACCTATGACAGTTGTTTTTACAGACATTTTCTTATGCTTTTGTAATAATTATCGTTTTTTTTTCAGCTATAAATAACTCCAAAATGAAATATTTGTAATTATTGTAGCTGAAGGCTTAAAACTATGCCTTCTTGTCACTCATTTGCGTCGATCTGCCTGTCTTGGATGACATTTTTATATAAGGTTACTACTATGTTAAGGACGAAAAAGCTTTTGAGAATCGGTCCAGTGGCGGCGGAGAAAAAGTCTAGGAAACAAATAAAAATCTATCAAACTTCCTTTTTTGACGTTTCAGAGGACCCTGTTCACTTATTCTCATTCAAACGTATAAAATTTTGAAATGTAATGTTCAATTGTAAAGCTTACACAATGAAACTGGTAGGATACAATTTCATATGACGTCAATACTTACCTAGGTATTTCTTGTTGATATGATTTACCTACCGAGAAAAATGCTACTTCTCTATAAGTAATTGCGGTAAATAATGGCGATTTCTCAGGTTAGTATTGGAAAGAGTATTTTACAGCAAAACTCAAGTCTGCCCAAAATTAGCTTAAACATTAAATCGTTATAAAATCGTAAGTTTTTCAATTAAGTATCCATCTATGTATTTGCATATACCTACTTTCTCAAAAATACGAAGCTCGTAATTTCTATGTTGATACTTTTAAATGGATTTCTAGTTTATGAATCAAATTCATTACCAATTATTGTACTGCAAACCACTCCACAATATTTTTGGCTTTAATCCAAACACATTTAGGATAGTGCAGAAATTGCAGCAAGTTCAATAATCATAGGCGGTTGTGTTTAGCTAGCCAGCAATCAGGCAATATTTAACATTTTCTTATTTCAAACATTGAGTGGGTAGTACTTCATAATGATTTATCCGTTTTTAATTAAACCATTCGTCATTTAGAAGGCCGCTAAAAAGAAATATTTATAGACAGTTTTGTAGAACTCTTATTTTTTAATCTGCAGTGACTACCAAATTTCAAAACTGAAATACATACCATAACTTTTAAATGATTGTACTGCATAGACCACCCAAGATGTCTTTGACCGTCTATTCTACATACAGCGTTGTTCAGATTCTACAGAGAACTATCCCAGAACTGTTTTGATTTGGCGTAATAGGTTCTTTTCATATGAAAAGTGATATGTGATTGGCTAGTGGCAAAATCAAAACGGTTCTGGCAAAGTTTCCTACAGAGTCCAAACAAGACTGATATCAACATTATTCTCAAGACTAGTCTTTTTTGAAAAGCTCAGTCTAATGCAGTCAATCTGTGGAAAAAAGTACAGTTTAGAATTTTTACAGTTCATTACTTGTACAAAATTTGTTGCTTTTGCCACTCTAGGAGTTAGGAATGGACTAGTTCTGAAACTCACCAACATATGGAAGCCCGGGGCTGTGTCTGCTATATAAACCAGCTGATAACATCTCAAACTGATGTGCGAAGTTTCCTCATCGCTTTGGTTTTACAACAATTTTATGCAGTGTTTGGACGTCGTTATCTGTTGAAATCCGCAATGCAATTCAATGTCGTTGCTCTTGATATCACGACAGCGTTCGATCAGCCACCCTTATGGCGTCCCAGAGCTTTACAAATATGTGGTTGACTTCGATCCACAGTTTTGTTGTTCAGAGGAGGGCTGCTAGATGACTCTTCTCTGACAGTCACGGGACCCTTTCGCACCGACGGGCCATTGGCAATCTAGCACTCTTTTACTGCTACACCAACGGTCTTTGTTCCTCAGAGCTCTCCTCCGTGATGCCGCCGCGCGATATGAATGCCAGACACATCCGCCTTCCATCCTAGTGGTTGCGACGTCATACATCCAGAACTGGCCGATACGACGCAGCTCCTTTGTCCCTCGGATATCGAGATTGTGGAACAACAAACAAGACCTCTATATCTCAAACTATGTATTTAAAATAAATCTGTCATATTTCTGTTTCAATGATTGATTGATTGATGTATGGAAAAGAAGGTCTTTCACTGATAAAATGCTGCATTTACAACCATTCACCCCCTACAACTCCAAATCCCAATTTTCAACTAATCCATGAAATTTCTAAACATGAGCAGGTATATCTGAAACTCCGTGTATCAGCGCTTTTTATTTTTTTCCGTAGCTCCGCCGTCATTGACTCAATTTTCAAAACCTACAAAGCTTTCTCGTTCCTAGCGTATATCATCAAAAGTGTATTTTCTGAGTTACAAAGAGGCTAAAGATTGGGGAGCAGACAATATTTAACTTTTTACTTTGCTCTAACGATCCTGTTTTGTGTGTTTAAAGCTACTTCCTTCTTATAACACGACTTTTACTTTCACAAAATATAAACCGAAATAGACAAAAATGCCAATAAAATATATCAGCAAAACATTTATTTGAAGACAGGTTCTTTGTTTCCATAATAAAACATCTTAATCACCCATTCATTTTCCCCATTCTAATTATTTTCATTCAAATGTTCGGTCATTCTATTTATATGTAATTTATACGTAATTTAGTGTTATACAAAAGTTTCGCGCCAACTTCTTAGCACTGTGTGAATTATGTGGCTCATGGCGTGTGCCTCAATTTATATGTCAGGAAAATTATTGCTGCAATTAGTTTATAATGGATTATTTGAGCAATTATAATACAGAGTAGCCATCGGTAATTAATTGATTGATTTGTTTCCTCAATATGTTTGTATTAAAATGAAATTGATCGGTTTTTTATCCCACTGCCTCTGGAATGGCTTGATTAGCTTTGAATATGAATGGCTGACGTCCCTTGTGGCCGTAAGATATTCATCGTAATTGACAGGTTCTTCTCTTCATACCATAATGTCAAAGCGGGTATTCCTCAGGGATCAGTCTTGGCTCCGACATTGCTCTTCTTACATATCAACGACGTCCTGTCAGGAAGTCAAATTGACAACAGCCTATCTCTGCTGTTAAGTTGGAGAAAAGAAGACTAGCAGCGACTTTCTCTCTGACGAGAGCCCTTAAGAGACGTAACAACCTGGTAAGAAGTACTTTCTTGCACATAACCTCCTATATAAGGCCCAGACAAGACTTAGCCTCGAATACTGCTCACATATTTGGGGTGCTGCGGCGCGACTACAATATCCATGCTTGATGCTGTTCAGAGGAGGGTTGTCCGACTGATCCATGACACCCAAGACAGTATCGCATCAACGGCCTGACTCCTGCCTCCCATACTAACCATGACGAAGTTCGTACATCCAGAACTGGCTGTCCCCACCGCTCCTTCGTCTCTAGAGATATATCGAGATTGTGGAACAATCTACATGAGGATACTTTTCCCAGCTCTAGTAGTTTCTTTAAACCCCTCATAGCAGCCGCAGTGCCATGGTATTTAGGCTTCTGTCTACGCGGCTGCTTTGGTATAAAAAAGAGGTTTTCATTCGTGGGCAAGATGTATGTAGACAAAAATTCTATTTCTGGGATTCTAGGCAAAACGCCTTGATGGATTTTGACATATACACCTAGGCGTGAGTGATACTGGCTATATTAAAATTTTATAAAAGCAAAATTTTAATAAAAAAAAATCGATCTTGAAATTCCTATTTCATCGTCCTGGTCGGCAATATTCTAAGAGAGCCCAGGGCAAATATTTTATTGGATACAGTAAAACAGAATCATGCAGCTTTGGAAACTTGTCGTTCGTCTTCAGCTGTTTCTTGAACTTTTAAGTGCAGTAGTAGTGTATTTTATTTAACCCTTTATCTGGTAATGTTGCCCTCAAACAGCCTTAGCATGTGAAAGAAAATCAATGCTTACCAGATAAAGTTTTAAAGTAGCAATCTCATAGTGTGCAAATTCTACTGATTTTTGTTTCGACAAAACGAAATGCGTTAAAATGTTTGTGCTAGGGTCAAATTAAAGTTCCACGACCTGGCTGGGGATTTATATCTTAGATCGGCCTCAATATCGTTCTGGATAATACCTATGGTGGCATGAAACTTTTTAAATTCTCAGGGTTCTATATCGAACCAAGGGCGCGCTCAAGGATTTTTCTTAGGGGAGTCGATCATCTGAAAGAGGGGGTGGGGATCCTAAAAGTCTCCAAAATTGTACAATAAAAAGTTCAATGTGCAAATTTTAGGGTTCAACCAAACTCTCGAGAGGGGGCGGGCATCCTCCTTCCCTCTGGCATCCCTCTGCGGGAGCCCACGGCTTAGAGTTTTTTTAAGGTTCGAAACAACGTGAATTTTTTCGTTTTGGCAACTCTTCCATCTTCTCGCTACTCCTGTCCAGTAATATATGACTATTCCGAAGTAAAGTTGTCCAAAAAGTGCCTGCTAATTCATTCGGCTGATATTTCAGCCAAAAGTGATTTTTCCGGAATTTTTCAGTTTTATTTAGCTGATAGTTCGAATAACTCCCAGAACGAGAAATCTACAAAATTTATAAGGATCAACCTACCCCTCTGTATGGAATGAATTTTTCACTCGTGCCTTTGAATTGGTCGAACAGGTCTTTCCAATCAATTTTCGATATTTTTAATCAAAATTGGGCATTTTTATAATAGTGGACGGTGGGTCATGGACGTCTTTTTTCTGAAAAGATGTCAATTTCAACGTGAAAAACCCTCTCGGTTAACTTCTCCACCACCTTTTGTAGTTGGAATAATTTCGGCGGACGAAAGTAGTATTCACTTTTGCAGCCTTCATGAAATAACATAGGTCTAGCTTTCGTTCCATAAGCATTCGGCAAAATATTTAAGCAAATCAAATACCTCAAGTGTAGTAGATTAAATAGATCATTACCATTGATATTAATTAGTTCATCACTCTAGATGTAGGTATCTCTTAAATTATGTTTCTTATTGCTAGTGATGTAATATCGACTGAATGGGGAATTCAATTTTATATCTTTTACAGGATTCTCAGTACTACTATGGATAGGTGCGGGACTCTGTTTCACAGCATTTTTGATAACAAAACTATCGACCCAGGAAACAGATACAGACAACTTGATTCTGGGCATTGTACTTATGGTTGTAGTTATAGTCACCGGTGGTTTTATGTATTTCCAAGAACACAAAAGTCAAAAGGTAAAAGGGATTTATGGTATTTGAGGTACTGTGTTTAACCAAATTACTCAAATGATCACTTTGTTCACTTGCCGATACTTACACAACTGGACATAATAACAATAAGAAGCGTAACCTTTGTTTGTCCTTAGTTGAGTCCACAGAAATCGTATTGAAAAAAAAGTAGACTGAACCAGCTCAAATCAATAAAACTCGATTTTTTTTAGATAATGGAGTCATTTGCGAATATGGTCCCTCCCAAAGCAACAGTGATACGAGGAGGCGAAGTAATATCTATAGTATCGAAAGATGTAGTACCAGGAGATTTAGTGGACCTGAAGTTTGGTGATAGGATACCAGCAGATATACGAATCACACAGAGTAACGGTTTCAAGGTAAATTAAATAACCAACTTAGTTTTTGGTGCTGATATGTATACTCGTATATTTTATTGCAATATAATTCAACACCTTTCCATGCATCATTCCTTTTCATTCCTTAAAAACCTAAAAGGTCTTTAGATGTGCTTCGTTGATAATTATCAGGGCTATTCCATGATAGCTAGACCTTCTCCTTGACATTTTGCGATACAATATATAGGGCAACTTTTCACAGAAACTCCTTTGCCAAAATACACGGTGTTGTCGAAGTCTATACGACTGATGGCACCAATATGGGATAGCTTATTAGCACATTCCTCTTAATCAAGTAGTATGTGGCAATTTCTAATATTTGCGTTATCAAACTAAACCAACGTATTTTCAGAACAGAACGAATATAAGTAAGTTTGTTAACGGAGTTTCAGGATTGTATCTCAAACATGCAAACAACTTTTCTTTCCAAAAAGGAATGATCGGAAAAACATTACTCAATAGAGACCAGTTCATGTGGAATATTGAGTTATTTTTACTTTCTTCTGCAGGGACAAACGTCCCAGTTTTTACGAGATTTATCTCGTTAATATATATTTTTATCTCGTATTCATAAGAAAAAAATAAGCACCATGCATTTTTGTAAATGGGGCATTTTGAGACCAATGTTTACAGAAATGTTCAGTGCTATTTTTGAAACCACTTTCTGCCTTAGATTTATTATTTTTCAAATCACTCTACATATTTCACTATCTATGGATTAAGGTTCCTAATAGTGCTACTTTTCTTTTATGTTTCAGGTAGATAATTCAGCGCTGACTGGAGAATCCGAGCCCCAATTCAGAGGTCCAGAATGTACCAGTGATGATATATTGGAAACAAAAAATTTTGCCTTCTTCTCCACTAACGCAGTTGAAGGCACAGCCAAAGGTAATATCGCAGAATAAGTAAACCAGAAGCTATACAGGTTCTGAGTTATCGGCTTCTTCCAACAATGAATTCCCAACAGTCCCGCACAATCATTTATAGTAGACCATATTAGAGCTGCTAGTAGCAAGACAAGATGAAATCATTAATCTGTATGGATGACTATTTGATCAGGTTAAACATGGCAAGTAGACCACTTCTACATTCAGCCAGAATCATCAGCCATCTAGCGGTACGGCTATTAAACACACAATGGTACGATTCTGGTGCGATAGATAGCGCTTGGCGCTATCTCATGCTGACTATTTGATAATCTCTGAAAGAACTTGTTTGTTGGAAATAAGTGAATAATTTAGTGAAATTTGAACAATGCATGAGGCAACAAGGCTATATAATGAAAATTGAGATGTGTTAACAATGCAATCCTCTTTTCATTCTGTCTGAATTGTGCCAATGCTAAGCATGAATATTTTTACAAAAACACAACACATCACTTTATTACATGATAACTTGTTTCGGTACAGCAGAGCAACCATATCGTGTCGGTGACTTTGCTAATTACGTGTAACATTGAAAACGAGTATCTCGCTGCTTTTGTTACGATTAAATAAACTATACCCGCTTCGATGACCCACTGAAGACCATTAGTTCAGATGGGGTATAGGATCTATTGAAAAATAGCTTTGTAGTTTGCTTTTAGTCGATGCATAAACTGGAGACATCTATTATTTTGTGTCCATTGGTGGACGATCTATGAGGATTTCACTAACGATACATGAGCTTTGATAACCTTAAATATTTACAAAAACGCAATTTGTTTATAGTCACACAATTTTACGAAACAACTTTTTTACTACGTCATAGCATAATCAGCAACTATGAAAACATTCAAAATATTAGGTTTGTTGTAATTTTTTCTTTTTACTTGGTCTTGCAACACCACAGGTCAAATCATTTCTGTGTTCTGTCATAGCGGTACCTTAGTGTCAAAATTTTGATCCACATACAGAACATGTTTGAATCATAATGTAATCAAGTACTTGAACGATGAACAATGCACAGGTCAACGCAGCTAAAGCGATGAAAATATAGTCCAACCCTGTACTAAAGTGTCTGTTGCTGCTTCTATCTGAAGGGCGTCGACAGCTCGAGTTATATTAGTGCTTTCTGGGCTTTTGAACATCGCTTAAATTCCCTGAAAAATATCACGTAGAAACCTGATGGGGAATAGATTTCGAATTTTTATCTTGAAAATGTAGTATTCATGGGCCCATAGTTTTTCCTCGTTTTTCCTGAGATACTGAGCATTCAAGTTGGACATGTCGTACCCTTAAGAGGAAAAGCCGTCAATTACGGCCAGAGAGTAAGTCATTCACTTATCTGCAAAGCTCCTATGGAAGGGAATTGTGTGGAAGTTGACATAACAGAGCAGCATGCTACAACAGCTGATCGAACGCTTTGGTAATATGAAGAGCAACGACACGAGCCTCACCATTTGACTATACCCCATTCGTAGTTCATTTACGCCCAGACAAAACACAACATTTTTATATACTCAAAATGAAGTTCTTTGAGTAAACTATAGACTGTGGTCTTTTGAAAGTAGCTAAGTCTGCATCACTATTAACCTCCTAGAATACTTTGTCTATGGGAAGTTCCTGCCTTTCAAAAATTGATGGGCGTTGCGTCTGATGGCATTCCGATCAAAGTTATCAACTGTATCCAACAGCTTCGTGTAATGCAGCCTCTTGTGTGGTGGAGACAATTTTTTTTTTATATTCTTTAACAATGTTGAAAATTGTCTTACGAAATAAGCTGGTTTTGTTCGCGACACGTCTTTCAATATCATGAATTTTCATTTCAGGATGCTCTAAAATTTCGCTCTTATAAACGTTAAGGACAATTTCTTTTGCTTGAATGTTCAAATGTCGCTTCTTGTCAAGTTTTCGGGGAGGAGACATCACTGAAGTGGAAGCATGGCTGAAAGAAGTATTGGGAGAAATATTCTTAGTTTCATCTGCTGTATCCGTAGACGACATGCTAACGTATAAACACACGCTATGCATGCACCGAATATGAAGAGCCGGTGTCGGCGTGCGGGCGATACCCCGAGCCTGAGTTCTATCCTGTCGAATCCTGCACTTTTGCTTAGTTTTATAACCGAATGACCAATAGCTATTGCAACGCTTAGGCGGCTGCCGCTTTGCCGCGATGCATCTTTGTTGTGCCAGGGCGTAAATGGACTACGAATAGGTTATAGATGAGTTTATTCCACAGTTGCGTGACGTAAGCTAGGAGGTCCCCGGTGGATCGCTGATGCCGGAAACCATGTAATGCTAGCAACAATTCTGTTTTTAACAGTTACTTTTTGATTGAGATGTCGGGCAAAATTTTGTTAAAAAACATTGCACTTAAATTGAGCGTACATGTCTCAGTTTGCCGATGTCGACAGGCAAGCCTGGCCCGACGTTTTTCTCTATTATCAATCTTTGATATAAAATACATTCAAACCATAGGATTCTTAGGGTAAATGAATAAATATTTTGACATATAAGCCTACTCAGTTTTAACCGAAGCTCGGTACATTTTCAGTAAAACTTTCAGGCTTTGAAGTCCATACACCTTGAGCGTGATATTAAGCTCGGCCAGCACATTTGTTTGACGAAAAGATGACTCGATATGGATGACCTTTAAAGACCTCTGAGAAAATAATAGAAAAAGCTATTTCATATTTCAGGAATAGTATGCGAGACAGGCGATCGAACTGTAATGGGGCGGATAGCAGGACTGACAGCTCGTTTGCAACCAAACCCAACACCCATCGCTAAGGAACTGAATTATTTCATGAAAATAATTAGCGTATGGGCTATTTTTCTGGGACTAGTATTCGGTTCTGCCGCACTTGGAATGAACTACACCTGGATCGAGTCATGTCTCTTCTTGATAGGGATCATTGTGGCAAACGTACCTGAGGGTGAGATAATAGTATTATTTTCAATCAAGCAAGTGCGCAGAAATATAGTGTCTTATACATAGAGTGTCCAAGATAAGGATCCTATGCATGGGGATGTCAATACCTGTGGGAGGTACAGCTTAGGTTAAATTAGAAAAAACACTTTTCTGAAAACAAATGTAACATGTGATACATTGTAGAAAAAGATGCTGTCAGATACGGGGTGAACTTTTTTCGGGCCATATAAAAAACGAAACGTCGGACATGACATTTAAGAACAGCATCATGTAGTGCCTAAAAGGAGCCAATGAAAAAGTTAAATTAGCTTTTTGAAATTTCTTAAAATAAATTCATAAAAAAATAAAAACGATTTGGCCAACATTTAGTTTTTCCCAAATACCTCAGTAAGCCATGAAATTTTTCCAACGGCTTGTAAGTACGCCCCAAAGAACGCAGTTTTTTCCTAATTCAACATAAGCTGTATCTCCCATAGGTACTGAGATCCCCATGCATATGATCTTTATGTTGGACACCCTGTACTTTGTTGGTCTCACGCTCTTTGTAGTCAGTATAAGCCGCGATAAGAAATTCTGGCGCTTTATGGATAAAGACACCGGTTAGAAACAGAGTCATTCCATTTATGTAGAGTAAAATACCGTCACAAATAGCCATAAGCGGTAAACTTGACATTATGGTACAATTGCTCAATACTGCCTTTCCCGCAGGTCTTCTCGCCACGGTGACAGTTTGCTTGTCGGTGACAGCCAAACGAATGGCTGCAAAAAACTGCTTAGTGAAGAACTTGGAGGCTGTGGAAACATTGGGCTCGACATCAGTCATTTGTTCTGACAAGACTGGTACTCTTACTCAGAACAAGATGACTGTATCTCACTTCTGGGCGGATGCCAATATTACAGAGGCTGATCAAACTTCTCAACAGGAAAACGCGATGAAGTATATTAAGTCAGAAGGTAAAATACACAATGCAATATGTAACTGCTTATGAAACAGAAAAATACTTGTAGGGACCATTAAACTTCAAAGTTATAGTAGCCACTAGTATATTTAAATAGCTATGAAGTTGGTGTAATTGGTCAGAAAAAGTTGTTGGAGATGAAACGTTTAATTTGTCATTACAGAAAAACCTGAAAAATCGTCGATTTGTAAATTTATTTTTTACTGGAAAATGCATAGCGGTAAATCTGTAATAATAGCCAAAAGCTGACCTTTGTGGTGCTTAACATCAAAAAAATAATCATTCAATAATGTTATATATAGAATAGAATTGTTTTTTGAAAGTAATAATTAGGGTGCTCACCACTGACAAGCTGATGAAAAATACATACTTTGATGAAATAAGGAACTTTTTTGGACCTTTGATGTTGTTTACTAAACATACTCACTGTTGCGGATATGCTCATCCGAAACACAGTATACAGATTATCCTGGCATGGTGGTACCGTGGTGTGTGCCCACGAGGCTGCGTGGTGCTGCTGGAAATCGATTGGAGATACCTTTCAAATCCGGTTGTTTTCACTTGAACGCCGCCATCTGGCAGCTTGAGAGAACAAGGAGCAGTGGCGTGGGCAGTATTGAATTTGTCTCAAAAGTCGATCCTGAAATTTGGTCGGCAGCTGGTGCTGTAGACTAATTAGTTAGTTTGACTCCACGAATTGCAGGAGATGCGGGTTCTAATCCCGCCTCTCAAGTTGTTATTTTCTAAACATACTCGCTTTTGCGGTTGCACTCATCCGAAAAATCGTATACAGGTCAAGATTATTGTCACTGCTAATTATGATTATACAAGGATGTTTTACAGGTTTTAGAACCCTCATGCGTTGTGCGACGTTATGCAACAGGGCAGAATTCGTACAAGGCGAAGAAAACAAACCCGTTCAAAATCGAATGGTAAGAGGTGACGCTTCCGAAGAAGCAATATTAAAATTTGTGGAACTGAGTAAAGTGTATGGTCCTTCGACACCCTACAGAGAAGCACATCCCAAATTGCTCGAAATTCCTTTCAGCTCTGTGACCAAATACCAAGTAAGACTTTAATTACATATTAATTACTACATCTATAAATGACATCTTTTCAAAACTACAATGTGAGCAGTGATTGATTTGAACTAGCTTATTCTTTTTATTTCAAAAAATTATTGAACCCAGCCTTTTAAAACGCCTGATAATGACACCATATAATGACGAATACATATCCAGAAATAACTTTGATTTATGTAATATGTTGATAGATATAACCCAGAATATACTCGTACTTACTTACTATACAAAGTAAGTAAGAAAACAGTCACTACATTGTAGAACAGAAATTCAATTCAAGAACACAAAAAGTTATTTTAAATTTACGTCTTGAAATGTTCCACTACACAGTTTTTTCAAATAGCGTTTTGTTTATTATAAACGAATAGTAGATTTGGCAAGCCCTAACGGGCAACATTTTGAACTTGTTTTAACAAAAAGTTATATTTTCGTGTGTTTTTGTTTTCTATCCGAACAAATTAAGATAAAGATTTTTCTAATTTTCTCGAGAACGAATCGACTGATTTTAAGAATCAAACTTCAAAATAAAGGACTTCAAAAGACCTTTCAAACAAGCTATTACTCGATACACTTGTCATTTAAAATTTTTAGCGGAATGACCCTGGGTGGCCGCGTGTGAAAGGGGGCGAAATAGTTTTTGGTTAAGAAGTTGTCACCCTTGACAAATCTTTTTACTCTCTCGGCGTTTTGCCTTTTAATCAGTGGTTTTCGATAAATCTGTGGTGGAAACACCCTGCATAGTTTGTGAAATATCGAAACAGCTTTACTGTGATATATTTTTTTTTTATTCAAGATCAGTATCCATGCCGTAGAAGACAATAGATGTTTGATGGTGATGAAAGGTGCCCCAGAGAGGATTCTAGCCAGGTGCTCACAAATATTGACAGCAAAAGGTACAGAACCAATGACGGACAATCAGAGGCTGATCTGCGATAAGGCAATGACACAGCTAGCTGAAAAGGTATCAGTAGATAAACATGACGTTAATGAGCAATGTCATAGTCAAAGCTATGATGTAGGGAGACGATTAATTTGTTAGGTGGGATCATCCGATTACTTTCGTTGCAACAGTGAGCTCGAGTTAGCATCCCACACTTTACTATAATTAAATTTTTTAATACCTTAATTTTTATATCGATCTTATTCCAAATTAACTAGTCAGACTTGATTGTTGGATATTCTATTACAGCAACACAAACTCCCCTATAATTGAAAATTATTTTCTACTTTTTAGTTCGATTTGCTATTACAGCGCTTTTTTTCGTTTTTTCTTTAATTATATTTTCTGAATTTTTAGTCTCAAAACGACTACAACATTACTTATAAGAGCTTCGATTTTGGTATATTTTATATTTGATAATAAATCTGAATTTGCTTCAATAAATTTTCAAACTTCGAAATTTTTTAAAAATCTCCATTTTTTCAAGATTTCCAAATCAAATTATTTTCCAAATTTCCAATTGTTTTTCAAATTTTCAAATACATTTTTTCAAAATTTCAACAACTAAAAAAAACAAGATTATTGTATTGTGATCGACCCATGACAAATTTTCAAATTAATCAGACTTCTTGAAATTGGTGAAAGTTGGGTTGAAAGATTCCGTTACATATACAGAGATCAAGCTAATAACAGCCTGTTAAAAATAAAATCATTTTTTAACTAAAAATCGCAATGCTTTATTTTCAGCCAGATCACTTATCAACTTCATAGTATTTAGTCGTTAATTTCGTCGTATTGAATTTCAGCTTGCTAACTTGACCCTCAAAAAATCAGTGGGGATACCTTTTTGAAAACATCACTATAATTTATAAAAAAAAAATAAATTGAATCCATTAGGACATCTTTTTAGGGCGAACGTGTATTGGGCTTTGCGGATCTCCTGTTAGAGCCAAGCTATACACCAAAATTTCAATTTGTAGCAGAGCCCCCCAACTACCCAAAGAAGGATTTACGATTTGTTGGTTTTATGTCATTGGTCGACCCGCCAAGGCCTCAAGTGCCGGATGCCGTGGAAAAGTGCAGAAATGCCGGTATCAAGGTTTTCATGGTCACAGGTGACCACCCGGTAAGCCAACATAAATACATAGGGGTTCAATAATTTCATTGACACTTAAAAACATTATCTGAACAAAACTGTTTGCCTTTGCAATTTGAATAAAGTACAATGAGTAGTTTTAGCGTTGCTTCTTTTCATCGCATTGCATTTTGTTTCTCTTACTAACTGTTGCCAAATAGAGAAATAATCTGCAAACTAAGTCATTGTAAGTAGCAATCGGAGACCAAGTGAAAATGAGTTTCCCAAAATGTTTATACTACGAGTATGTCCTTACTATTATAAAGCTTATATCTAAAAAAACAGCCTTCGTCTAAGTTCAAGGCTCAGAATCTGAGAAACATTGCTAGCTAACGAGATATTTTTTGCATATTATCTTACACAAAATGTTCATTGACTATCGAAAAACGACGCCAAGTCATTCAAAAAGATCGCAGTCATGTTATCTAATAATTCATTCTTTTAATTGATGCAGCATTGCAGACATATTGGCCCTTATTAAAGTGTTCGGACGTCATACCATTTGTAAAAAGCAGCAGATATCACCATAACCTCTCAAACTTTTGAACATACAAACATGACTTCTACTATTTTAGATGAAAAATATAGTAATTATCTATCGGTATTGTTTCCGAGAAAGTAAGAATACATCGATAAAGACCCCAGGAAAGAAGTGGATTGGAGTGCCCACGAAAATAAATATACGCAACACTGTGTATTGCTTGGACCCGCCGTTTAAGTTCGGGACATATTTTACATTTTACTGCGCAGATTTTATCGTCTCGTTTGAGTTGGACGTAGAAATACAATATTAGATAAAATTATTCAAAGGTTAAGCATGAGCTTAGTTTCGAATGACTTCTGAATAGAAAGATTATGTAATTGTATTATTCTTTTTTTATGTCTATCACTAGATCGGTTGCTCTGTACTCCTCAACTCAGTAGAGCAGAAATCTGGGTTGATGGCAAAAAAATTACAAACCAGCAAATTTGTGCTTTCTGCTTTTACGAATCCAACGTCCATGATTGTTTTTTCATAAAACGAGAAAACGATAACCTTTTACGTTAATTAGAAGTTGTTTCGAAATAGTTAAAGACAACTTTAGTCAACGAGTGACATACGGATGACGTTTTTTTGTTTACAATTTGTTTGACAACACATCATATATTTCCACTGTTTCGCATTAAACATCAAAAATGTACTTTTTTAAATTGGATCTATATATCAACCTTGAGCTTTTAAAAATTTAAATCAATATATTTCGTTTTCCTAAAGCGAATACTGTAAGAAATACTCATTTATTCTATAAATTAGATATGAGCCAAGTAGCCTTTTTTCTAGATTTTCACTTTCGTAATCAGCAACCTAGAAAACTTTATGCCAAAATCCATGCGAGTCTAATTTTTTGCGATAAACTGTATCGGCCAAACATAATATGCTATTTGGAATTTTGATTAATTAACGCTATTATGTCTTATTCAGATCACAGCTAAAGCTATAGCCAAGACAGTAGGTATAATCCGCTCTGACCAAGTGATAGAAGCATTCAACATCAACGTTCTGGAAACACTTCCAAGGAACATCAAAAACAAGGCTATCGTGATACATGGCACAGCATTAAGAGATGCTAGTCAGCTGGAGTTAGACAACATTTTGTACAATTTCAAAGAAATCGTCTTTGCTAGGACCTCACCGACACAGAAACTACAGATTGTTGAAGGATGCCAAAGACTTGGAGAAATTGGTGAGTAAAAAACACACTTCAATGAACGAAACCACAATAGTCTTTGCATGCATGAGCTACCTAGTGGTTTTCAAAATAGTCTTCACTTATTTCTTTGAACGAATCAATTTTTGGTAAGTTGAAATTCGTAGTGATAAATTGATGCGTGAATATTATATTTTAACGTAAACATTGACAACTGAAAGTTTCAAGATGTGGGTTGGGCGCCATCTAGGTTTTTTTTAAATGTAATGATGGGTTATGTTATACCTCGTTGTGAAGCTCCTTTTCAGTGCTGTATAATCCGTTTCATAATATAAAATCACTGTCTTCCAAAAAGGTTGGAATGGTATCCTGTCAAAGTTCAAAGTTGCGTGTTTTTATTTAGGGTGGCGAATACAATTTCATCCATCCCAGTACACACAAAAATGTTCATGAACTTTAGTTTTCAAATTGCAACACCTATATTTGATATAATTTTATTACAAGTTTTCAACTGCCACATTTACGCTGGTATATTTTTTGTACAATCAATTTCGTTACTCGGAATTTCAGCTTGCTAACCTGACCCATTCAAAATTTATGTAGGGAGCGACCTTTTTGAAAATATCTGCAGATTCCTAATTGCTTATTTTAAGTATGCACTTTTTGTCTAGCCACGTTATCGATACAGCAAATTGAATTTTTTTAATCCTGGGGGTTTCCCTTACTGCAAACCCGAAAAAAAAAAACAAATTATGATCACAACTTTATTCAACTCAGTATAATCATATAAGGAAGTCGTCACATATTTATCTAAGGACCGGTTTTGCAAATGCAAGTTAACTTCAATTTCACTGCTAACCAGAAGTTAAATCTAAAAAAGTGTTTTTCGACATCAGGTTTGCCCTAAGCGTTATTTAACTTTAGCCAACAAATCAGGTATTAGAGAGTTTTTAGTGTAACGAATCGTTAAGCCTACGTTGCGATATTGTTGACAGTGATAGCAAATAGGGAGGCTAACGGAGCTTTCTTATTTCGATAGCGGAGAACAAAGGATTGTTTGGATGCTGTGCAAAATCGTAATAACGAAGATCATAAGGAATAGCACTAAAAACTCTCTATTGGTGAAATAGAATGTTGCAGTTACACGTCCGACATAGAGCGGCGTTGCCGCACCAACGATTACAAGTCTATTAACAAAAACATGTAAAGCGAATTTTCGGGCAACTTAAAGTTAACTTCCAAACAATGCAACTTGAAAGTTAACTTGCGATTGAAAAACCTGGCCTAAGTATAAGTGTTTAATAACATCACACATATATCAAAATCAGCTGATACTTTCGAGGATATATAATAAAAACAATTTGTTTCTTAAAAAATATAACACCCTGTAAATAAAATTTTAAACCATTGGAGACATATCGTCAGGTTACTGCAAAAACCAGATAACTTCCAAAATGAAGTTTACATGTTTGACAAGCCTTACTTATAGTGGACTGCAAATTTTATTCAAATACAATTAGAATATACGAAAGCATATCTTAAACAGTTTTATCCGAAACAGGTATATGATTGTGTGAAAATGTACTCAACTCCAAAATCGAAAAATTGAGTTATCTTGTTTTTGCAGCAAGCTGACGATATGTTCATGTAAAATGTTCTCCTAAAATTATTTGAAGAATCATATCCTGCAATATTAGCACATCATTAAGCCTGTGGTCCAAAAACCATACGAAAAGTTTATATAAACATGAGGCTTATGATGCCGCCTTACCAAGATATTGGGCGTCGAAATTGAAAATCGAGAATATTTCTGGACTGGATGCAGGTATCGACTAAATAGTGCTTATAATTGTTACGGATTTAACTGCACCAGAGACTGGTGAGACGAATGATGCTGAACAAGGCATGTGCTGAGAAAAGCAGACAAACCAGTAATAGGTTTCTCATATGTACGATGGGAGATAACGGGTTGAGACAAATGAATTTTAGGACGACGCTATCCACCACGACGGAATGCTGTGATGCGCTTTCGTGGTGAAATGCATGGCGAACATTTTGTTATACTTCCATCACATTAAGCGTTGGAATAAAGTTGATTTTGTGCAAGTATGTTCTCGATCTCGATTATCTTATGGTAAAAGCCTCCTAGAACCTTTTTGTTATAGAAAAACTGATATTTCCATATATCTCGAAAACTATTAATATGCGAAGTAGACCGACTTTTTAGGTTTTCTAACTTTCAGTCTCTTTCATTGACCACCATCTAAAATTTGTTATCCAAATTCGGAATAAAATCTACTAAAGTAGGTCCATACTAAAACAAACCTATTACAAAGGAAAGCAAAAAAGACGAGAAAAAATTATATTGACGTAACAATCAACTGGAAATATTTTGAAACAAACCCGGTTCAAAATATTGATATTTGTAAAAATTGAAACAAGGCGGTGATTTTTGCTGAAATTAAAAATTGATTGCCATATATTTTGCAACCCATGAGACTTTTGCATGAACAAAATTTTGCAAACAGTAGGTCAGTCTCCAATTGCAGGATCATCCTTCAATTTCTGGACACCTTGTATATAAACTGTATTTAGAATATCGCGTAGAATCCAAATATTGAATAATATAGAGATTCCTACACCTGGTACAACTGAAAGTGTCATTATTTTTAAAATATTTTAGCTGTAGTATTTATACTGTAATATAAAACCACATTTTTATAATAGTCTTACGTCAGCTTTTTAAGCAACCGATATCAGCAGGTCTACGTGTGACACCCAGTATATGTACAATGTTACGTTATTGTATTTTGCCAGAAACAGATGTAATAATGCCAGAATGCTCTTTATTCGTATGGTTATCTAGATATCCCTTGGTTTTAAATGTTGCGTTACAATGAATGCATGTGTTTTGTTCATAGCTACCTTCTGGCTGAGAATGTTTCACTATATGTTTGGCTAAGCTGCGCTTTTTATTAGTTTTATAGGGACAATGTTTACATTCATGTACTTTACATGAAACCGATGCAACAAATTCAGGATGTTTCTTAGCTACATGATAATCTAAGCTTGACTTTAGTTTGAATGTTGCGTAACAGTGCTTGCATGTGTTGGGCTTGCTACCTTCTGCCAGAGAATGTTTCAGTACATGTTTAGCTAAACGCTGTTTCCCAGTGGTTTTATATGAACAATATTCACACTCATGTATTTGACTTGAAACCGATGCAACAAATTCGGGATGTTTCTTAATTACGTGATAATCTAAGCTCAACTTTAATCTGAATTTTGCGTTACAGTGAACACACGTGTTGTAATTATAGCTAGCGTCCGCCTCAGGATGTTCATAGATATGTTTAGCTAAACGGTGTTTCAAAGTGGTTTTATATGTACAATATTTACATTCATGTATTTTACTTGAAACTGATGAGGTAAACCCAGGATGCTTCGTAAGTGTATGTTCATCTAGATTCGTTTTAGATGTGTATGTTGCATTACAGTAAGAACACTTGGTACGCATCACTTCTGCCGTAGGATGTTCCAGCATATGTTCAGTTAAATATTTTTTGTATGTGGTTTTATATGTGCAGTATTTACAGTCACGAATTTTACTAGATACTGTCGAAATTAAGTCAAGATGATTACTAAGCGTATGCTCATCCAGTTCCCTTTTAGTTTTGTACGTTATATTACAGTAGCTACACTTGGTGCTTTCTGCTGGAGGATGACTTCGCATATGTTTAGTTAAATAATTTGCAATAGTTGTTTTATATGTACAATATTTGCATTGATGTATCTTACTAGAAACAGATGTCAGAACGTCTGGATGTTTTTTGATTGTATGATTATCTAGATACTCTTTTGTTTTAAATGTTGCATTACAGTGAATACACGTGTTGTGCTCATAGCTACCTTCTGCCCAAGAATGTTTCAGCACATGTTTAGCTAAATGGTTTTTATAGATTGTTTTATATGCACAATGGAAACATTCATATACCTTACTTGACACCGATGAAATAAACTCTGGATGTTTCTTAATTACATGAACATCTAAGCTCAACTTTTGCCTGAATGTTTCGTTACAGTGGATACATGTGTTGCTCTCATAGCTAACTTCTGCCTCAGAATGTTCGTACATATGTTCAGCGAAGCGGTGTTTCCTAGTGGTTTTATATGTACAATATTTACATTCATATATTTTACTTGAAACCGATACAGTAAACTCGGGATGTTTCCTAAGTATATGTTCATCTAGATTCATCTTAGTTGTGTATGTTGCATTACAGTAAGAGCACTTGGTGCGCATAGGGTAATCTGGCGCAGAATGTTTCAGCATATGTTTAGTTAGAGATTGTTTAAAACTTGTTTTATATGAGCAATGTTTACATTCATGTATTGTACTGGAAGCCAAAGCAATAAACTCGGAATGCATCTCAAGCATATGTTCATCTAGATCCATCTTAGTTGTGTATGTTGCATTACAGTAAGAACACTTGGTGCGCATAGGGTAATCTGCCGCAGAATGTTTCAGCATATGTCTAATTAAATATTGTTTAAAAGTTGTTTTATATGTGCAATGCTTGCATTCATGTATTTTACTTGAAACTGAAGCAATAAATTCAGGATGTTTCTTAAGTATATGGTCCTCTAGATTCCTTTTATATATGTATGTTGCATTACAGTAACGACAGCAGATGCGCATAGAGTAACTATCTGCCGTATGTTTCAGCATATGTAGAGTTAAACATTTTTTGTAAATCGTTTTATACGCACAATGTTTACAATTATGTATTTTAGTAGAAACAGATGAAATAAAGTCTGGGTGTTTTTTTATCGTATGGTTATCGAGATATCTCTTAATTTTGAATGTTGCATTACAATGAATACATGTGTTGTACTCATAGCTACCTTCTGCTGGAGAATGTTCATAGATATGTTTATCTAAACGGTCCTTTTTAGCAGTTTTATAAGTACAATATTTACATTCGTGTATTTTACTTGAAACCAATTCAATAAACTCAGGATGTTTCTTGATTACATGTTCATCCAAGCTTACTTTTAGTCTGAATGTTGAGTTACAGTAAATACACAAATGGGTCTTGTGTTTTAACATATGCTGGGACAATTCACGTTCACTGGTGGTTTTGTGTGCACAGTGTATACATTCATGTATGTTATTAGACACAGATGCAGCAAATTCGGGATGCTTCATTTTTATATGGTCATCAAAATGTGTCTCCGACGTGAACTCCTCATTACAATGAACGCACGTCCCATGGCTGTGATCATCCATAGGATTGGTAGGACAGAACTTATCGCAATTGATATCATTGTAATAATTGTTGCTATACAAATTTGCACTTAATTCCTCATGGCAGTGCCCTCCAGGGCGTATTTGATTCAGGTCACTGAAATAAATTATTTTTACTTCCTACGCCAATGGGCGAGGAAATATTGTAATCACGGAAATTTAGAAAATGAGATGTCATAGTTTTTGAATTTTATCTGACAAGTACATCAGGAAAAACCATATTGCTCATTTCCGTCGGTCTGTCTAACTAACTGCTAATCCTTGGACAGCATATAACTTGGGAAGTACCGCTCGGATTTTGATGAAAATTTAACATAAGGTCACTTCTATGAAAGGGACGAAAAGGATTTGTAGTTTTTGAAAATCGGTGCAGTTCATTTTTTGATGTTTCGAAGGCACCTGTTCATAAAAAAAAAGATTGTAGGGGTTGAAATTCGAGGGTTGGGGGTTGCTGAAGGTGGGAGCGTGTATATGAAATTTTTTGTAATCTTAGTATATTTATAGGCTCCCAACCTCGGTAATTCTATGCACCTATTAGCCATATTTCACAAATCTTAGATTTCCCCTACATTTCTCTTCAAGCCCCTGTATGCAGCAAAACATATACATGTGATGAATGATAAACCGCTGCAGCGGTACCACGGTGGGTGCTGCCGCGCAGATGTGGGAAGAGACAATGTTGCCTCATGGACAGTAACTATCAATAGATCAAGAAAAGAATGTCTATAGACTAGTTGATCCGTTTAATTTCTCTGTTGTACATGTTCGTAACTGACTCTTTTCTCAGATGACTTAAATTGCTCTGAACTTAATTATTTATAAACTTACATAGGGAGTGCAGAGTCAACCTACTTGACGCCATTTTTTTAAGCTACTTGATAGAATGGGTTAGTGTGAGTAGTTGAAGTCAATATGTGTGTCTTAGCGCAAGGGCGTTGAGACGTAATTTTTGGTAAAATACTAGAGAGTATGCAAAACAATTCATGTGATCAAGTACAAGTGTAAAAGTTACGCTACTTCCTTCTAATTTGATTTTGATAATTGTCCAGCAAAATGTTTTTCACCAATTTCAGCGGGTCACTGTAAAATTGCCGGTATGCGGAGCTAAGCCATGTGCTACCTTGCTACCGGCTTACCTCGGATCCATACTACAGATGCAAAATTTACAAACCCGTGGTGCACGGCAGGTGCGAAAGATAGTTGTGCGATCCCTCGGCTGAAAGCAGTTAAAGTGTAGGGGGAAATCTATGATGTGTGAAATATGTCTAATAGGTGCGTAGAATTACCGGGACTGGAAGTATAATAAATATACTAACATCAAAAAATTTCGAAACAACCTCCCCCACCCCCAATTTTGTACCTTTAAGAAATCTTTCAAAAATGATCAGGACCCTCTGAAACGTCAAAAATCGAAATTTGGTGATTTTTAGTTTTTCCGTTTTGACCTTTTTCCCTTACGTCACTAGACCTATTTTCACAAACTACAAAGCCTTACTGTCCTTGATACAGTAGCAATTTTGTGTAAAAATTTAATCCAAATCCAACCAGTACATTCCAAGTTATACAGCCCCCAAGGTTTACCAGGCAGACTGAGAGAAGGACAGACTCAATGAAATGAGTGACATGGTTTTTTGTGATATACAATTCAGATGAGATCAAAAAACATAATATCTCTTTTTTGCAGTTTCTCAAACTTTGAAATCATGATTTATAGGATGCTACATACTTTGAAATAAAAAATGTACCTTTCTGAAACTTTCCTAGATAATGCTTCATCCTCCTCTTTGATGTCTAATTCTTCATTGGTTAATTTGAAATCAACACTGCAAGTATTTGGGTCATCCTCTGTTCGCTCTGCTTTAATATTCATGTCATCAGCTTCTATCTTAACATCCTTATATCCAAAATCAGCACTATATATGTTTAAGACAGTTTCTTGTGTTTCTGTTTCAACTTTACTATCTCCATTTTTGATGACCAATTCATCTTTGATTGGGAAGAAATCCTTATATTCCAAGTCAGCACTGTACATGTTTGAATCAGTTTCCGTTGCTTCTGTTTTGACTTTTTGATAGCCATGTTCCATGGGTTCTATTTTCACAATTTCATTCATTATGCTCTCTCAGTCAAAGCAAGATGTTTGATGTAAGTAGACTGCTGCAAAATAAATTGTTAAAATTGACTAAAAATTATAAGTTTCCTTTCAGAATATTAATGTGGGGCAATACTAAGATTAATCATTATTTTCCAATGTTCACCTTTTGTCCCTCAAATGAAACGAAAAACTGATTTATCAAACAATTACACCCTGTATTTTGAAATATCTTCATATGAAAGTTGAAACATTTTTCTTAGAATCATCCCTCAAAATTTGGCCGGATGCTTTATTAGCTCCCTTTATAGTTACCAATATTCTTTTCATCCTATACTTTATTTGCAGTCTTGATTTGCTTTACTTGCGATTCATTCATTCAAAGTAGGTAGGTAATAGCTGGAACGTTATGCCGACATTATTTCCTTTCGGCCCCGCCTATGCTTTAGCCACTTGCCTTACATTGTGTATATGTGGTTGCCTACGCCTATACCCTGTTTTCTTTTCTTAGATTGAATCTAACCTATCAGATGAGAAAAATATTTTAAATCAACCTTTTGTGGTTACCTTGATTTTTCCTTAAAGAATCACAATTACACACTTTAAGCACGTTTCAACTAAATAAAGTTGCTTCAAACTTTCAAACTATCAATAAGGTGGCCTGGCGTAGATGAGAACACATTTTGTTTTTGAAGATGCCAACATTGCCGACAGGCAACAGGGTTGCCAGATGGGTCTGGTAGATGGAATTATTCCATGACAATTGCAAAGGTCCCCAATGCTATTTTCAAAAAATCTCCACAATTCATAATAAAAAAAAATATCTACATGAATATCTAAAATGCAAATTAACAAGAAATAGATAATTTTGCCAAATTACCTAATTCCTATTAATTAATTAGGCTACACATCGGCTAACCTCTAGAAAATGTAGATAGCATGTTTCAATACACACGAGATGTATAGTTGTAGTCACCGTTCTGGGCGGTTACGTCATCAACGCCTTATGAAATAAGTAAACAGATTGAGTCGCCGTACAATGGGCGGATCTTAAGCTTCATTGCATCTGCTACTCTCTCCAGTACGCATGAAGTGGGTAAGAGAGGGGACCGCTGTTTTCATTCTCTTCCTCGAAATATTGTAATAAATTTAGCACGAGCTGTAGGCCTTCTCCACTGATCGTATTTCCGGGCAGTGTACAATTTTATATTGAAGATTGATAACGGGACAACTTAAATTGCACGCCGATGTCAAGTAAGTTGTCACTCTGACAGATATGATTGAAGGGCACTCATACGTAACGATAAAGTTTTCAAGATGGAGACACACAATTAAGAAACGTATGTCTTTGAGCTTATCGAACAAACGTTCTCACACATGGGTAGGTTGCATGTGTATGTAGGAGGAAGATGGATATATATATATATATATATATAAAATATAAAGGGATACTGGGGTAGTCTTACTTTGACCCGCCAAGGACGGTTACTACAACTATAGAAAGGTACTCTAAAAAAAATATACAATAGAAAAAATGAAATTTTGCAAAATAGTTTATGTTTTTCAAAAATACATTTATGTTCTTCAAAAGGTGAAAAAACATCAGAACATTACTCTTTTAAGACCCCTATTCAAATTGTAGGTATTCTCGCAGTTCTTATACCTACTTTTATATAGATTACTGTTCCACACCTGGTCCAGTGACCAATACTAGCTCAATCAAGAGCTCGTTTGATTGTTTGTTTTTGGTTTTATTTTAATCCTCCTAGAAAATGATAATTTTCCCGAAAATTTCCGGGTGTGTTCATAAACCGAATTTGGAGAAAACGGCAACGCTGCGAGATATGTTTGGAGCTTATCAAACCGAGCCCATTCAGTGGCGTACCCACCTTCCTCTACATTTTTACAACTGAACAAATTTCATAGGGTAATTTTGAGCTTGTTTTTTATTTTGCGTCCAACAATGAGTTGAGTTTGTAAACAAATTTAATTAACGCGCAAATTATGTTGCGTCAAGCAGCAAGGTTTTGTAGATATTAGACCGAGAAAAATGATGAAAAACTATTATACCCTCAAAATGTTTTTTTTGCGACTAATATAGATACAAATTGCTGTTGGTGCGAATAAGTCCAAATCTCTGCTACGAAATTCCTAGTAGCGTAGACACATTCAAAAAATTCATAATTTTGTCCAATCAGGGTACTCCTTTAGTTACCGATGGCTTGTCGACTGCGTGGTCCGATAGATCACCGATGTGGTATTTTAGTAAAATAGTGAGTCTGGCAACGTTGACCCAATAAAGCCCAAAAAATGCGTCCCCAAGAGCAACTGATAGGGACGTCCCCTTAGGTGACGGAACCTATACCGACCCAAATTGGACCTAAATCGGACGTTCCGCGAACCAAGTAACAATACCGTTTAAAACCCTTCGGAATTAGACTACGAATCTTTCAAATGTTCCATACATACTATATGAACGATGTTTTTTTTTTCAATACGATGACATTTATTTTTTCCACAGTTGCAGTGACAGGAGATGGTGTAAACGATGCCCCTGCTTTAAAGAAGGCCGATATCGGCATTGCGATGGGCATATCTGGCTCCGAAGTTTCACAGCAGTCTGCCGACATGATCCTGCTGGATGACAACTTTGCATCGATCATTGTTGGTGTCGAGGAAGGCAGGAAGATATTCGACAATCTGAAAAAATCTATCGCCTACACTTTAGCCTCAAACGTGCCAGAAATACTGCCCTTTTTGGCCTTTGTGATCTTAAACATTCCATTGCCTTTAGGTATGTATGTGAGACTGTCATCCTATCTGCTGGAAAACTCTTTGTATAGTTGATTTCACGATTTTTGGAGGGTCACACTGAAACTACCAGCATCATTTTTATACGTACATCTCTCTCACACACTCATATATGAACCCAGGAGGTTGTCATCTTAGTGACGGCAATTTCTCGTCATATTGGTGACGTAAATAACCAATCGGTTAACGTCCTGACGGTGTTAGATGGGCATTAAAATGTCACAGCCGCAAGACGTCGTATATAGGCTTAGCTCCTTATCTATTCGAATTAGTTGTCCACGAAATATACATTAAAATTTATCCAGGTGTGATGGCGATCTTGTGTATCGATCTCCTAACGGACATGTTGCCAGCCATCAGCTTAGCCTACGAAAAAGCGGAAAGTGACATAATGAGCCGCCCTCCAAGAAATCCTAAAAAAGATAAGCTAGTCACCAGAAAGTTGTACTTTTTCGCCTATGGGCACATAGGAATGATTGAGGCTTTGGCTGGATTCTTCACGTACTTCGCTATCATGGCAGAAAACGGCTTCTATCCCAGAATGCTATTTGGTAAGTGGGAAAAAGTTGCTAATGCTATGTATAACTATACCGAGTGTTTCAAATTCGACCCTCACCATTGGGATCTCGGAAACGGTAAGAGATGCGAAGTCGCTTAAATGAGGGCAAAGTAGCTAACAAAATGCTACTTAGAATGTTTCGAAATTCAAAGTAGTTCAGGAAAGTGTGGGGAAAACAAAATATTGCCAACATCGATTTCATTTTGACTTTGTTTGTCGTGGTATTTCAAAAGAAATTGTACATTAACATTGCCACTTTTTCTATTCTAAAAGATGGCAACAGTAGAAATTCAACCTGACGTTTCGTCTCTTGTCCTCCAGCTTCATCTTTGTTTTTTCTCAAGGACTCCATATTGGATTTTTGCACATGTGCATAGAGTTTTTAATTATGATTAATATATATATATATATATATATATATATATATTTAAATCCTAGGTAGACCTTGAAATTATCAGTCATTTGATTCATACATCAGATTTATCGCCAAATCATCTTGATTTTTTCCTGATTTTATTTGAGATGGTGTTGCAAAATAAATTGAATGTTGTTATTGCCACTTTTTTTCCTATACAAGATGGAGTAATCAAATTTTCAATTCGATGTATCTTCTTCCGTCAGTCACAATTTCGGTTTTTTCATCTGGACACTATATTGGAATTGTGTTCATTTAAATTGAGTTTTCAGTCCTAAATTTACTGATGTGTTCCCAAGTTGGCCATGAATTTGTTGTTCGCAAAACTTATAAGGAAATAAAAATGTGTGGTCAATTTATGTACTGCAAGCATATGAATGCCCCAAACTGAACATAGTAACATTATTTGGAAGACCGAGAAGAAGGGAAATCAACCGAGCAGTGAAAAATGTAAAGAGAAGATTCCGGCTTTACCTACAAAATTACGAACAATGTTTTGAACATCTGCCGTGATTTAGCTCTGCTTATTTATGATTATTGTCACTACAGTGTTCAGGTTTAGCCATACCTTTTTATTTTCTTATAATTTTCGTTCCAACAACAAATTCATGGCCAACTAAAGAAATACATCGCTGAACTTAAGACTAAAAAATCTATTTGAATGTACAAAATTCCAATATGCTTTCTATATGAAAAAACAAAGTTGGTGCCGAAGTCGAAAGAATAAACGACGAATTGAAAAATTGATTACGCCCTCTTGTAGATGCCAACAACATGCAATTTATTTTGAAATCCCATCTTAAATAAAGTCAGGGAAAAAATGATTTTTTGATAAATCTGGTATATGAAACAAATGACTATCTTATAATCAAGGAAATTTGTTTTTTCAAATAACTCACGTTTGACAATGCCAGTATTCGGCATATTATAAATTTTTGAAATCAGAATTAAAAACTGTATTCATCTGTGGAAAAATCCAATATGACGTCCTTAAAAAAAATAAAATTGACGCTGGAGGACAAGAGAGACGCAACGTAAGTATTGACATTCTAATTATGCCATCTTGTAGATGGAAACAGTGGCAATGTTAATGTGCAATTTATTTTGTAATCCCACGACAAATATAGTCAGAAAAAAATTAAATCGATTTTGGGAAAATTCGGTTTTTTCGTCTCTCTCAGGAAGTATTTTGAATTTCGGCACTTTGCAAACGGCATTTTGTTACCTAAATACGCGACTTAAGCGACTTCGTACCTCTTAACGTTCTCAAGATCCCAATGGTGAGGGTCGAAGCTTTAAATTTACTATTGGTAGATATTATAATTATCTTCCTTATTATCTTAAATCATGCATCCACATACATTTAAGGAAGTGGTTTTGAATTAATTTATGAACAATTAAATTATTACAGTTTTGTTTGTTTTAAGTTAGTGGTGACCCAGCGGATAATGCCAACAGTGGTCGATTCTGGTAACGGAAAGCACTTTTGCTGTCTTATTTCGAAAGAATTGTATCTAACAGTAATAATGCTGCTTTCGTCCGTCGGTCTGACCAATCGCATACAACGGTGTTTCACTGTTACTTGTGCCAGTTTCGTAGTGGTCGATTCTGGTATCGGCTAACAGCTGAAAAAAATCTGTATTCCGAATAGTTTGATCATTCAAATCTTTTCAGGACTTCGTCACGAATGGGAATCAGAATCGGTGAACGATTTGATGGACTCGTATGGCCAAGAATGGACTTACGTCAATAGGAAAGAACTGGAATATACATGCTATACAGCTTTCATGATCTCAGTCGTCGTTACACAATGGGCTGATTTGCTCATTTGTAAAACCCGGATCAATTCGTTCTTCACTCAAGGTTAGTAACAGGACTAAACATAATAGATTTTATTTTCCTATTACTCTGGATGTCTCGATCTCCTATTGACAAACACCAAATTGGATGAGAGTAATGTGATCGCATATTACATCACTAATACAGGCGCCGTCAATACGATGAGTGAACACTTAAACCGGCCCCACACGATGTGGCGAATGCCTTACAACGTTGGAGACATGGCACTTCGCCACATCGTGTGGGGGAGCGCATGTAGGAGAGACACTTGCCAATTGTAGGGTGTCGAACGTTGTAAACAACGTTGGACGCATCGTGTGGGACCCGCTTTACAGGTCTAGGAGCAGCCACTAAGGTCACTTATTATATGAGGTGTGTTCAGAAAATAACGGGAATTTTTAAATTTCGTTGGTTTGGAGAGTTCAATTGTCAAACTTTTTTTTATTATGTTGTTACCCCTGAAGTATAATAAAATGCTGCATTTGTAGTTTATCTTATTTGTGGCAGCCGCTAAGGTTAGACGTGTTTTTATGAGCTCGGATATTTTCGTTTGTTAAAAGGAATGGATCAAAGAATTTATATCAAATTTTGTGTATAAAATGAATAAAGTGTAACAAAATATATAAAATGTTAACAAAGCCCTAAACTGAGTCTGCGATGAGTAAACAAGAACTTAAGAGTGGCATACGCGTTTCCAAGATGGCCGTGAAGACGTTGAAGATAACGGACGCCACGGACGTCCAGCAGATCAACAACCGATGCAAACGTGGAAAAAGGGAAGAAATGGTTACGAACGATCGCCGAATCACAATCAGACAAGTCGCTGATGATACTCGTATTGGCATATCGATTGGCTCATGCCATGAAAGTTTTTCTGATGTTAGGGGTATGAAACGCGTGGTAGAAATTTTTTTTCCAAAACAGAACAACAATCGTTGCGAATGGCAGTTGTTCAGTAGTGACTAAATGAAGTCCACGACGATGGACAATTGCTGAAACGTGTTATACCAGTTGAAGAAATATCGGTTTAAGGATATGACGGCGCAACTAAGCCTCATTCGTCCCCGTGGAGGCATCCTGGCTCGCCAAGACCGAAACGGTCAATAAAGATAACTACCTACAAGTTCAACACCGCTTGCGTGAATTAATCCGAAAAATAAACCAGAATTGGGGAAAAACAATTCATGCCTTTTTGGGCCACGATAATGCACACTTCATTGCTTGATCTTGATTTTTTGGTCAAAAATGATGGTAACGATGCTCCAGCCTCAATATTCGCTAGACATGGATCAGTGTGACTTTTTCCTATTTCCGAAAATAAAGAGTCGATATTTTACAAGGATAGATGACATTAAACGCGCATTTCTGAAAGTGCTATACGATATCCCAAAGATCGAGTTTCAGAAGTATCTCGAGGACTGGAAGAAGCGCTGGCACATGTGCATAACATCTAATTGGGACTATTTTGAAGGCGACAACATTAATTTAGACGAATAAATAAATATTTTTTCCTAAAAACGAAAAATCCCAAGATTTTCTGAGCACATCTCGTATTTGCCCCCTTAATTAGAATGTCGGACATTAGGCACCTATCGGAGGAATACAAGGAGTTTTCTCATTGTATGTCAATGTCTAAGTGGGCGATTTTTGGGACAATTTCAAGAAGAAAACGTCATCTAAATGTGTGTACTTATGTTTTCAGATACAAGGTGGTAAGTTTTCAAAAATAAAACAGTTATTATTAACTGTAATACCACTTTAGGTATTTTAATGAAATTTGGCATACATCAGCAGGCATTTTTTTATTGTACTACATTTTTTTTTCATTTCTTTCAGTGCAGTTCGGAATTTCACCTGCCTATTTTGGCAGACATTGAAGGTGCGCCATTGATTTCTCTCAAAATAAAAAATATTCTTGAAATGGTTACAGATATTTTGAACAACCGTTGTACAATTTGGCAGCCATTTTTAAATATTACGGCCAAACGTATTTCATGCATCTTCAGCTTATAGGTGCTTGATAATGCTCCACGTTCAAACTAACGCTACATATAAGCTCACATGTGACCTCACTGGCTGATCCTAGGCTTTGAGAGATTTGCAAAGTTATTTCAATTTAGTGGTAAGATTAGCGAAAATTATCTTTTGTGTTTCTACACAATATTTTAAAACGTTCGATATTTGTTTTTACTTTACCAAAAATGTACATTAGTATACCCGGATAACTGCTCGATTATTCAAAAGATGTGTGACTTTAATTAAGCTTTAAAAAGTTGAAATCAGCCCATTAGTTACGAAGAAATGTTTGAGTTACAGTTTTATAATTTATCGGCCATTTTACAATATGGCGGAAAAATTACGATTTAGATCGCATGACCTGATTTTTTATATACTTTTATAGGTGCCTAAAGTGACTTAGAATGGCACATATGACTTTAGTAGCTGCTCCTAGACTTGTACAAAATGATATACAATGTGTTCGAATGTGGTAATTTCTTCAGTAATTTAGACAGAAAAAGAGTGCTAAATAATTATTCCTGGCACTAAAATCCCGCAATCTTGTTAAACAAGACTCATTGAAAATTGAAACACACGATATTTCAGGAATGGGTAACATGGTCCTGAACGTCAGTTTGATAGTGGAAACGGCCACAGCATGTATGCTGTCTTACATACCAGGAATGAGCTACTTAAAGTTTTATCCAGTTAGGTTTAGATGGTGAGTAAACAAAGTGTTATGAAAAATGAAGTACCTTTAAAGTCAGTCACTGAAAGTATTGGAATATTTTATAAGAATATTTGTGCGAAGTGTGTCAGAACTTTGTCGCCAACCTAATATTTATTAAATGAACATTGTATATTCTGATAAATTTACCGTGTTTCAGGTGGTGTTACTCCTTACCGTTTTCCGTGTTCATATTCTGCTTTGATGAGTTCAGAAAATGGCGTATGCGCAAGTATCCAAACGGCTGGTACAGACGAGAAACCTACTATTAAGTGTGATGTATATAGTATAATTTATGTATGTAGGTATAATAGCGGTAGTGTATGCACATGACGAAATACATTAAGCATAGTGCCCCAATGAAATTCGGAACTACCTTCATGTGGAAATTATACATACCTACCTATATAGTATAGTATACAAATTCATTCGGCCAACCCTACGTCCTAGGTTGAAGTCTAGTATCGTTCTTTAGATTAGATAATAAGATTGAAAGTTTTGACTTTGAAGTTGCTATAAATTTATTTAATATTTTCTGCATCTGCATCACCATTCATATTTTTTCTTGCTAATACTATCCTCAAAATATTCGTATAAGAACGAAAAAACTTGCTAAAACAAAAGGTATAGCGATATTTATTGCTATCTCGCAGCCGCTAGAAGATACTAAGCCGGTAAAATAGAGAATAAGAGTTGCCCAGCCACGTAACACGTAACTAAGAAAATGGCACTTAGAAAGCCTCTCAATTCCAAGTATTTCCGGAGATGGGTGAATGAAAACATATTTTCCTAAAATCCTTTTTTATTTTTTGTGGCTTTATATTTGTAGCTCTCAGTTGTGTTCATGTCTTCGACATAAAACATGGCAGTATCTGAAGATACTACTACAATGTCGACAGTTTGTATTGACAAGTATTTTCAGAAAGTGGGTGAAAACAACGGTGCTCTATTATCCAGTTGCGTGTGCGTACAAGAGCGAGTATCAGCGGCATTAGGGATCGGCCTGTGCAGTGTGCAATTTCCCTGAGGGAAGTTAAGCTAAGCACATGGTACTCAGTAGTCAATTTGTTTGCTTGTTTCGTATGGAATTGTAACACAACCGCCATAGACCGTGACAAGAACCATATCTAATTTATCTCTGTCTATTATACGAGATTTTCCACAGGCGAGTCAAAAGCTTTCGGATTTTGTTGGGATGCTTAGTTATATTTTACGACAAACAAAAAAGTAGGATGGAGTAGGTCACATTTATGATATCAATCAATATGTCGCGCTGTTTTAAATTTCTTACTGAAACCACAATAATATCCACATGGTATCAGAAGCCATACGTACTTCTTCGGAATTGTTACATTTTACTGGAACCATTATTATACACGATTACCGAACAGGAAGAGAGCAGCCGATTTTGTCAACTCAAACAGATGCCGCGTAAGCAAGGTCGTGTGATAAATCATATTTAATTGCTATAACCCTGTCCGCAGCACACCGTGTATTTAATATAGTCAATCAACTGCTCCGTTTTATAACAGTGCTTTTCAATAAGGTCCACACTACTTTATTTTTTGCACAGGCGTAGATAGCGATATAATGAAATTGATGTTCCTATATGTATATTTGGCGTGAAAATTTCAGGATTGTGGATGGGCGCCACCTTGAAACATTTTTTAAAATAGACTGTTAGGTCATGCGATTCATCATTTTGATGCTGCTTGTTAGTACTTTATAACCCTGGAGTATAAATTTGCTTCTCTTTGAAAATGACAGACTGGCTGACTGCTAAAGTTAAGCGTTCTCGTACATTGAAGCTCTTAACTACCGATCATCAAAACGTCATAGAATATTACATAAATATTCATTTGGAAGGGTCTATCTGAGATTAAATATGCTATAAGAATGACAGATTTTTGACAATTTTTGTAAGCAGAATGATCCATATTTTATTGCCTATTCCTATAGATTCTTCTTAGAAAATATTATTGCTATAACATACTTCGAGTATAGGAATTTGATGTTAGGTTGTTGAGTTATAAGAGATTGAGTGTACAAAACCACTCAAATTAGATGACTTCCCGGTCCGCCATTTTAAAAGATAATGATTTTATATCCTAGTATTATAAAAAGCTTCAAAATGAAATATCACGAGATCCCCATTCCATTTTAAAAATTTGCCAAGATGGCGGTAGGACGGATGAAATTTTCATGCAAATGTCAGAACCCCGAATTCCTGTTTGCTAACTTGACTCGTTAAAAAATGGAGGGAGGCTTTTTTTAAAAGCGCTGTATATGTTATATTATAAAAGCTCATGAAAGATGACAAAGTAGTGGAAACCAGTAAAAAAACAGAAAGCCTACTGTTAATGTTATTATAAATGCTATAATATTAGTTTCTGTAATGTCGTCATATTCGACAACGCTTAACATTGTGAAAATGTTTAACAAATCGCTGCTTCTCAAGAATAGTGACACTATTCAAAAAAATCTTTTTTTCAGAAGAAGCATTTTTAGTATTTTTTGAAGAAAAATTTCAGATAACTGAAGATTAAGTTAATAATTTGGATTTAGAAAAATTATAAATTAAATAAGGTTCATTGAACTTTCAGATTCATTGAATAAAAGGTCAGTATGTTTTCAAAAATATCCCATTTTATTACTTTCTGCAACTTTACAGGACTGTGTTTTCCTAAAAAAATAATGCATTTCTAAAAAATATATGATAAATAATTCGTGGTTAAAGAGGGAACATTTATGTTAGTATTACTACTAATGATACACAACTTACAACATTTTAAAGGCTAAGTGGAACTAAAAAATCAAAGGTGAGTACAGTAAAAAACAAGTACAATACAAAAATTGGTTACAAATTATTGTGAAATCCCTCATAGTATGAGGGTATTATATTTTTTTTAAATTTAAATTTAAATTAAGTAAGGCGCTTTTCTTTTTCCTGGAAACGGGAATCTTACGTTTGTATGCTTTATTCAGAGGACCCCATTTTGTTGCTTCGTTATTCTTAGATCTATAAGATTTTTTATCAATCTCAACTTTACGAAAATCAGTCCCACGGTATGAGTTTTTGCAGAAAAATGTTCCAGAATGTTGAGATCTACCCTCATCATTTTAACATCGGATAGTTTGAATGACTCATTTTCCGAATTTTTATATTGTAGGAAGATAGTCACAATGCACTTGATGTCACTGTCCCTTATTAACAATCAGCGTACTTTGCTCTAATAAGACGTAAGTCTTGAGAAAAAATGTAAGTATACAATTTGAAAGTCGAGCCGCAACTGCAATATGACATTATTTGTGACAGAACCCCAAAACATTCGAACGAACAACCCTAGCGCCATCTCTGGCGAATACTTTGAAACAATTGCAAATGTCTTTATTCCTGATAAAATAGACAACATTTGGAGTGGATCTGCAATTTTAACTAATTTTTCTCGTTTTTTGGATAGTGTCACTATTCTTGAGAAGCAGCGTAATCATGTAGTTTTATTGAAGAACATTCGGTATTACTACTATCGCAGTAAGCAATAGTACGGCCAGTTGTCGAATTTTATGTTAATGGATCCGTTTATTTCATAAATGGGACAGTACTAGGTATATATAACCTGCAAACATTTAGAATAAGTCTTGGCAACAATTTATAGTTCTCATTTAGCTATATTTTAAGAGCAGTACTTAGGAGCAAACACATAGTGAAACCTTTATGACTAAATGCTAATAAACACTTTTTATTATTATTAAGTTAATATGTTGGTTATTTTGTTCAAAATCTTCATCTGAATTACATATTCCGATAAAAGTCAATTTTAGAGTTCATATTACGTCATTCATTTATTAACAAAATGTGTTTTAAGTATGTTAAAGTAGTATACCCTTTTGGCATGGGATGGGCAAACAATAATACTGATGAAATCTTGTATTGTAATTTAAATGTATAATTAGAAGCTTTTAAAATATGTACCATTCTCGGTCAGATACATTTCAATATTTTCTTCAAATGTTTTATTTTTAAAACAGTGTGTTATTATTATTAAAATATATACTTGTTATTGCATATTTTATTTCAAGCCCAGGTTATATCGTGTATATTTTGTTACTCTGCGATAAAATTTTCTTGATAATTTCATCGCACTCGTTTTTTAGAAGCATCATGTTAGGGTTTTGGCAGCAATAATGTTTGTTCCAGGTAATTCTGGCATATCAGTTTTAACACTTGGACAACAATAACAAATAGACAAAGGCTTCGTTGCAACATAGGTTGTTGCGACATGAATCCTTGTTCTACCAAAGATCCGTTCATTTCGGCTTGTCGCGGTCCAGGTCACTGAGGACTTGATCTGACACGAACTCATCTCGTGGCAGATGCTAGCAGAAAGTTAGGGTACCTATCTGTTTAGGGCTAGGAAGTAATTTTCTCTGAATACCAACCACCATTTTTAGTGATACAGGAAAAATTGACAAACGAAAAGAGTACACTGTCCTCGCTTTAAGATCAGGTATTTTTTTGTTAGGTTAACGTAGCGGAATTCATAGGAACATCACTTTTTCAGATTCAAGATTGCAGTTACGCCTCCTAGTGGCCATTTGAGAAACTTAAAAATATTTACCAGGTTTTTCTCTTGGCCGTCTTAGTAATAACCGCAAGCCTCTACGGTAGATAGGTTCCCAGATACAGTACCTCACATTCTTAGTTGGCCACCCTGTACAAGGCTCAGATAACGCCTAGCCTTGGGTACTGCTCACATGTTTGGGGTGCTAGCACCTAGCTCTCTTCTACCGCTATGTCAACACCCAACAACCCGCCTGACTTCGGCCTCCCATCCTAACAGGGTCGAACTTCGTACATCCCGAGCTGGCCAATACTACCGCTCTTTTGTCCCTATGGTATCGAGAACGTGGCTTTTCCCGTTTAGTAACCTTAGGTAGTTCAAAGATCGGAATAATAAAGTTTCTTATGATCCTCATAGCAGCCGCGGTGCACTATCGTTTAGGCTTCTGCCTTCGAGATCCTTCGGTATAAATAAAAAAACAAATCCGGTTAAACATTTTTTTTATAGAATACATTGAATACAACTTCTAGTAATTAGGTAATCTGTATAATGACTAAATGAGGAACAAATAAATATTATTGTTATTTGTTATAGCTTCAGCAATTTAGTAAGTGAAATTTTAATGTTAAATTATTGATATAGTGCAGATTCTGGATCTTCTAAACTCTTCTTACTTTCCTAACGGTCTCCATCCGATCAAGACGGTCCAAGAGTAATTTAACTTGCTCAACAAGCTGGCTTAAGGTTCTATCAAGCTGTTCTAGCTTCTGTTGTTGTCTTTCAATAAAAATATTGAGAATACATAATTCATAATTCAAACAGAGGATGCTATAAATCAGTAACGCGCAGAACTGCCTAATATTTGTTGACTGTTTATATTCAGCACAAGTATATAATACTTGTATACTTTCCGATTCTGTGTTCAAGACATCTCGGAAAGAACAACACTCAGAATTCGATTTTGGACTATTTCATAACTGAAGGGCAAATAATTAGCTTTCCACCCACGGATGTTTTCATATTTTAATTTATATAGTACTAAAACTATGTCCAGTACAGACTGCAGAGAATTTTATAAAACAATTATCATGTTAATGGCCGAGTTGCATAAAGCAAATTGTTTTGGCGGTGGTTCTAATTTAAGGTGGAACAATTTAGTTTAGTAAGACTCTCTTAGGAATGTATCTGTTACTTCCAACTTCCAATTACCAGGACTGCCAAAGTAAACGAGACGTCCTTGGAATAAAGAAACATCAAACGTACAACCACGCTCACAGACTCACAGCCCTAAAATATGAAACTTACTCGCGTAAAATTTCCGATGAGATGGACCGGCCTCCTTTTTGGTCATCAGTAGCTGAAACAAACATTTCAAATGCAGACTGAAATTCATTACTAACTACAGTGACCTCATGATATTTGTAGACGATTAGTAACTATTTTGTAGGTGCCAATGTACTAATTTTAAGGTTGCATGTCCCTTTCTTTTCAACTGCCTGTTTGGAGATCGTTTTCATCTGATTATTTCATGGTGATGTTATCAATGTTGTTGATGTTTTGTTAAAAATGTACTTTTTGTGCATTTTTTCTTCAAATGTAAATATTAGTACCGCTCTGTAATTGTGTGTCAACATTCCTCTTTTGGAGTAGTGATCACTTTCATCCTTATCAATTTTTCTCTTTGAAAAATCTTTGTTTTTCAAGAAAATCCATTTTGCAGCAGATTGAATTTGCAAGGAAAGCAAAGATGTTTTTGAAGAGAGACAGTGATAAGAGAAAAAGTAATCGCTGCTTGATTCTTCCGCAAAAATGGAATATTCATATACAATCCTAGAGCTGTGTACTATTATTTGTTAACAAGCTACGATTGTTGAAAAGGTGCATAAAAATGCACAAAATAAGATTTTTTTACAAAAAAGTCACCGAAAAAATCCGACGAAAACTATTAAGAATACGTTAATTATTTTGAATTCAGTATAATCACCTAAGCTCATCTCCAGGTCGCGTATCAAATCTTCAACATCACTCACTCTGGCTTCAGCCATTTGATTGATGCCATATCTGGCAAAAAACATTTCGATCTCAAGGCTGTTGAAGCCACACCTGAAAAACTAATATCGTTAATGTATGCTGCTGACATTATTTTATGTCTCTAGACACATGTATTTTTGGAAAAGCCATAGAAAATGTCAGCTATCGTAATGTTATCAACTTTCTCGCACATAGGAGTAAAAATTAGATGCCATGGATGAAAGGTTATGAAATATTTAATTTTGCCTAATAGTTCGCAGATCTGTAGTTTTCAACAAAGTATGGTGTATTCTGTGGTTTTCATGCTTTATGAATCTAAATCATTATATTAGAATAATACGCACTTACTTTGTCAACACCTCTCTGACCTGCCTTATAGTAGCGTTGATTGGACTCTTTTTATGCTTTTTACTGACATCCTTCATGACACCTACTTTTTGAAGAACCTTGTGCAACTTATCTCTCAGATACTCTGTCATCTGCAACTCATCCGGAGCGATTGATATTTCCGTTTTCACATCGTTATACGTGTCGTTTATTATAGCCAGGAACATGTTCTGAAACATAACAATATTGTCATGTTACTTCAACTTTTCCCAAGATGCTATATATCTAATTGAATCCTATATAACTGGGACATCTCAGACACTAATCTTACAAAAACAAAAATCTTCCCAGCTTGAGCTTTTGAATGGTGCTCCGCATGTTAGGCCTTTTTATATTATACACCTCACAGCTCGACAGACGCCTAAAATATTGCCCTTATCACTCCTATACTCATGACTCATGATACACAGCTATATATATCATCTGAATAGACGGGCATTGAAGAATCATGTGATCAATTGAATGAGGACTTTAGCATTGACATCTGAGAAGTACTGTCTGTAAAACAATATATAAAAAATGAAAAGCATATTCTAGAAGATGTAACAGAAAATTTGGGTGTGCATCTAGGTTATTCACTCAGGGTCTCGGAGCATGTCACATCTGTGTTGAAAAGAGGATACAGCAATCTTAAAATCCTATATAGTAGTAGACGTATCCTCACACATCAATCGAATAACATACTGAGCCGTATAAGGTAAAAGTATAAGGTCTTGCTTCTGAGAAAAAGGTAGAAGTATAAGCATATCCTTATTTTCATATTCATAATGATTACCTTATACTCGCGAGGATATCCTCCAAGAAGAAGTAAAAGGTTGACTAGTATTTGTATCTTGAGCGACATGTCCTGACTTGTTCCAGCTTGTAGTTGACTTGGGAGTTCGTTCACTCAGCATTACTGACAGTTGTACTCCAGAGCTTACACAGACCGTTCTGTACTTTTACTGGATACAGCTTTTTATCAAATTAATAAGCAGAGGTCATCCTCAAGTGATGAGGAAACTATAGAAAATAATGGCAACGACCTACAGTTCATCGCAGATGAAATTGCCATTGCTCCCATTATTTTGCAAAAGTCACAAGTTCCAAACATAAAACGAGAAAGGACGATGCCTTGAAGAGGATGTTGAAAAAATACGAATCAACATTCGATAAACCATTAGATACTAAAGGCTTATAAAAAAATCAACATCAGGAAATCAAGATTGAAGAAAAAAACAGACCTAAAAAAAAACTGGTATAAAGCAGATAAATTGTTAGATTGGGAAAGAAAGTTGCTGAAAGCTATGGAAGGTGACTGTAATCCTGCAAGTGGGAAAATTAGAGGTGCCTTTCAGGTTGGTAGTGTTCAAGAAGAAGGAAGTGAACTATATACCGAGCGCAGTGAGCAAACAGTTAGTATTACAGCGCCAGCAATTCAGAAGACATTGCCACCAAAAAGAAAACTAGCAACAGAGAAATAAACTGAGGAAACCAAAGGGTTAACTACAAAAGAACTGCAACGTCTAGTGTTATTACAGCAGTACCAAACAAGTATTTTACAACAAGAGTATTATAAAAAGAAATGATGCAGCGTCAGAAGCCACCTGTAACTTATGATGTTCAGTAAAACTATTTATTATAATTAATTTATTATAATACTCAAGTTTCTTCTTATTTGTTGACCTAGTTGGCGGAGAGGAAGTTCGTCATTCTCATGATTTCCTTCATCTTCATCTGGGTCTTGTTCAACTAACTCAAAGTCAGGATCGCTCAGGCTCTTCGCAACATTATGGAGTACAATACAAGCAATAATTATTTTTGGCACATTTTCCAACTTTACGCGGAAAATATACTGTAGGATAGGAAACCGGCGATTCAATTTGGCCGAAACAGCGTTCAATTATAACTCTTTCTTGTTTTAAAAGCTTATTATAATTTATTTCTGGACCTGGAGTAGGATTTCTGAAGGAAGTCATAAGGCATGGCTCAATACCATAACCATCATCGCCAAGTAGTACAACATTTGCTTTATTTATTAGTGGTGATCTAGTCTGTGAATTTCTCCATATTCTGGAATCATGCACTAATCCAGGCCAACTGACATCAACACTTGTGAGCATCTCTTTGGCATCACAAGTGGCTTGCACATTTAAAGTAGGTTTCCCTTTTCGGTTGATATACTCATCTCCATGGCGATTTGGTTTCAGGATTCCTATATGTGTACAATCAATTACACCAATTGCTGTCGGAAATTTATACATGCTTTGTCATATCCGCTTCGCCTCCATCAGTTCATGGTTGGTAGTTGGAAACTTGATCCATTCGTCGACTGTGCAACTATGCTGTTCACAACTCCATCCACAGTCCGAGATTCCATTGCTTGACTAACACCAAGTTCCTGACCAATACCTTGTTCATATCCAGGGTCACCGAGATAGCGTAGACATATGTTCTTTTTATGAATACATAAAGGTGCTCCTCCTCGGGTTTCCTTATTCTCAACTAAAAATCTGTCCGCAAGCCATTGTACATTTGCTTTGTTGAACCTCTATAATTTTTTGAAGTCACGACCAAGTGAAGGTAAACGAGGTTTGTACGTTTCAGCATCCCTAACATCCACAATTTCCGCCATCATCGTTTGACCACCTTTCGTTACGAAGTTGAGTCTGCTACTGACCACACTCAGAATTTTTGGAGGATATGCTTCCTATGCCAAGTATAAGGTGAAGACTATGAATATCATTTTACTCATGTCACTGCTTTGCAGGATATGCTTATACTCAAAAAGCAAAAGCATTTACTTCAAATTATTATAAATACCATCTGGAGGATTTCCTTCAAAATTTACAAGTACAAGGATATCTTTTGTTTTATGAGTACGGCTCACTGTTGGAGGTTTTAGTGTTGTCACACACACGCTACTTATGCAGATGCAGTGTTTATGCCATGTTTACGTAAACGCGATGAAGATAGATATAAAAACTTTAAGATTCATGCGTGCGTTGTCACGAGAGCTAGGAGGCAAGATTATGTTTATCAATATATACTCCAGCCTACAACTGTTACGAATGAAATATCGAGGGATCCTGCATTCGATTTGTATGTTTCATAAGATTATCACTAAACAAACTCCTGCTTAACTGTATAACAAAATTCGTTACAGAACATACGTCCACACGTTCAGCCTGCGTTACAGACATTTACTTTTTACTCCTAGATTACGTACATCGTTTTCTAAATGTTCTTTTTCTTACAATGTCGCACGGATGTATAATAAGGTACCTACCAACTTCATACAGGAGTTTGTCTATGAATTTATTTAAAAAACAATGAAGCGTTTTCTATTGGTTGAAGACTGTATTATATGAAACATACAGAATTCAGCTCCTTTCTTGTGTATACAAAAGTTTTTCATTTCTGTTTTTCTTCAACTCTTTTTGGATCAAGTTTATTGCTTGTAAGGTATCACGGTAAAGTCTGGGTGAAGAATGATTGTATTTTCTTTCGGTTGAATGGAAAAGCGTATCTTTCTACGAGTACACGGTAGAAAGATCCGAATTATGTCGTTGTTAAAGAAAGCAGCTAGAATTAATCGATCAAACGAACTTACCTTAAGTGAAGTTCGATCGTAATTATACGAGGGTCCAGTCCGAAGACATCACTTTGTTTATTTACTATGTAGTCCGGCCCTGGAGTACTAGCCGCACACCAACTTAAAAGACAAGAGATCCCCGTTCCCATCCCGTCGCGCCCCGGTCTTGCACGTTGAGTCATTTGTTAAAAGAAATGGTACTTGCTCGCAACTTGGGAGGGTTGAAAAAAGGGGTGGGAGTGATGTCTTCGGACTGGACCCTCGTATAATTACGATCGAACTTCACTTAAGGTAAGTTCGTTTGATCGATTAATTATACTTTAGGTACAGTCCGAAGACATCACTTTGTTTATTTACTTTGTAGATGTTTAAAGATAGAACACAGTTGCGAGCGATCTGATGGTGTTATAAAGTGGAATCAAAGTGTTCAGAAACATCAAACCCATATATTTAGTATTCCTATGTAACAAACATAAAATAAATTCTCAAATTTTAACCTAAAGATAACGTTGATTTGAGAAACAACTGAAACACAGGAAACATGTAACAAACTCTTAAGAGTATTAGAACTTAACTAATCAAACCAATTTTATATCTAGGATTGCTTTTGCAAACTCATTGTTTGGTTGTAGAGGACGATTATAAAATCTTGCAAACGTGGAACGTTGCGTCCAACCAACTGTTTTACATATATTATCTACGGAAACGCCTTTTCTTAACGCCGCAGAAGTCGCCGCATGCCTTACTGAATGAGGCGTAAAAAGTGTTGTCTACTCCTGCAGAGGCAAGGGTCTGTTTTACCCATCTGCTTAAAGTGTCTTTAGACGCCCTGCCATGGAGTTTTTTCCATGTCACAAATAGGAAATCGTTATTGGGTTCTCTTAAAGAAGCCGTTCTATCAATGTATTCTTTCAGGATTATGGCCACGCAAAGAAAGGGGTTTTGTTGAAAAATCGGGATGTGCAGAGTGGGTTGAGGTTTTCCAACTCTACTGGTTTTAATTGGATCCGATATATTAATAGTTGATACACTGTGACCATGGATTATATTTGAGAGACGTATAAGAGATATCGTCTGGAGTCTTTCTCCTGTTATCAGGGCTAATAACGTCGTTAATTTCTGTGACAGAGTTTGAAGACTAAGCGGTGATGATAACTTCTCTAAATAATTTAAAAGGGGTATTGCGTAAAAATAAAATCTATTCCAGGGAATCGTAAACGCGTCAATATATGCAGATCCTGGATCTCTATGCCAGGAGACATATAACTGGCATTTAGCATTTGTATGGGAAGCAAAAAGATCAATTTCTAGGTTTCCGAAAACGGTGGTTAAACGGTCGAAGGCGGTTTGACATAACGACCATTCCGTTTCAAAATTCGAACTCCTGGACTCGGTGTCTGCTATAACATTATCCTTCGAAGGGATGTATGAAGCGAAGAACCAGAGGTTCCTTTGCTCACACCATTGCCAAATTTGTTTTGACAACGAACGGAGGTCTCGGAATTGAACACTCCCCATTCTGTTGATGTATGAAACAGCTGTCGTGTTGTCACATCTAATTAGAATATTGCAGTTTTTAAAATTTTTGGCATAGCACTGAATCCAAATTATTTATATGTAACCATTTTTGAGAGTCAGACCAGAATCCATGGGTTCTGTCATGGCCACAACAAGCACCCCATCCTGTAAGTGATGCGTCGTTAAAAATTGTTATATGAAAGTAATCATACCTGATGTCGTTGAAGGCTTTTGAAATATGATTTGTCCACCAAAAAATATCTGGCTTTATGCTTTCAGGGATAGGCATACCTGCATTATAATTTCCATTATTCCTTTCTAAAGCTAGAAATTTTTCTCTTTCTAGTGTTTCGCAATAAAGAAATCCGTATTTTACACCGGGAGAGGCAGACAATAAAACACCAATAAACCTTGCCCAGTCACGAATTTTACATGTCTGTCGATTCATATAATATGAGGCTAACCTGATTATGTGATTTTTCTTTTCGTCAGGAAGTTCTATTTTTGAATGGACACTATCTATCATAAGCCTAGAAATTTTATGTAAGTGGTAGGTACTAGGATGCTTTTGTTTTTATTGATCATAAGACCTAACGATTTTAAAAGACAAATGGTTGTGTTGACATGTTTGAGACAGGATTCATAGGAATCTCCGAATATTAGGAAATCGTCTAGGTAATTGACTGTAGAGATGCCTAAAGTGCGGAGGAAAGAGACGACCGGCTTCATGAGTTTTGTGAAGCATAACGGAGTTGTACATAACCCGAACGGTAAGCAGGTAAATTGGTACAATTGACCTTCAAATTGAAATTTAAGGAATGGTTGATGGTCATTGTGAACGGGTACCAAAAAGTATGCATCTTTCAAGTCAATTGTGCACATATACACGTTTTTGTGAGTCAATTTAATAGCCGTTCGTAGGTCCTCCATTTTAAAATGCGGACATTCCACATATTCATTTAATTGTTTTAGATTTAAGATAAACCTTTTTCCACCGCTGGATTTATCTGCTAGGAAACATGGAGAGATAAATTGTTCGGGCCTTGATTCAGATTTGAGTATGGCTCCGGACCTTAACAAATCGTTTATAGCTAATCTTACTAGCGATGTTTCTGTAGGGGAAAAATTATTTTTAACCAAGTGGTGGCATGATGGAGGGTTGTCTTTAAAGGGAATCCTATAACCTTGAATCCAGGATAAGACTGTCAAATTTGAGGTTAGTTTGGACCAAGAGTCCAAATAAACGGCCCGCAAACGGAACTTGTTTTACGTTCAGCGTTGCCTGGTTTGCTGTTGTCTGTTATGAGGAAACTGTTTCGAGGAATGGCCCTTGTATTGCCTCACCTCCCTCTTGCGGTAAGACGAGCGATACCTGTTTAAAGGTCCTGCATTCTTGGACGAGCTGCCCCCCCCCCCTCTTTTTCCGGAATGATTGAAGGCCCGCGCTGATTGAGAGCTAGTGCGTGAGGGGATAGAAGGCAAACGTAAGTCCTGTCCTGCCTTTTCCAAAAATTTCAAATTTTTTGCTCGTTCACCTAAATCTGGCCCAAACAAAAACTCACCAGGTATGGTATTTTCAGTCAGTTCTTTAACTGATTTGTAAAGTACTGGGCTAATTAAATATTTCCTTGTTTTCGAAATGTCGTGGAAAAGAGCCGCCAATATTCGTGCAGAATCTGTCAAATTTGATAAGACTTTTTCCCTGATGTCTTTAGGGATGCTGGATTCGTCTTCCAAGATAACGTTGAGTGCTTTTCCCAGAGCGGTTAGTCCGTTACCAATGTGCAATTGGTACCCGGAGTGAGTGGAATCCCTAGTTAAATGTGTGGATGAAAGAATAGCTTTCACTTCGGGATTTACTTTTGGAGGACGTAATACAGCGCAATTAGATGGCACATTTTGTTTTTCGCTAAGGACAGAAATATCTTCGGCGGATAGCCCGTTTGCCAAAATATGGGACCACCTGGAGGCTAGGGCACCGTGAAGTTTAAAACTAGACGTATTAGCCTTTTCAGGATCGGCACCCAGAATATTTAATGTGTCCTCTGATAATGGCATACAATCGGCATCGTCAAGTATCAAAACATCGTCCATACTGTTTTGCGTTGTTGGCGCCGCTCCCAAATCCGGCCCTGTCAGTACCTGAGCTTCCGGCCCGCACGGGGAACGACCAGCCAGGCCTACCTGACGCTGTGCATTATCAGCTGGGCTGGATGAATTCTGGTTTTTTCTCACATATTCCCGTCTCTCTCTACGTCGCCTCGACACGCTCGGTGATCGACTACGACTGATGCTACTCCGCGAACGGGACCTTGAACGTCTACGGCTCAGCCGAGAACGAGAACGCCTAAAATAATGGGGCGAATCGGCACGAGACCTCGACCTGCTGCTTCTACCCTCAAGTTCCTGGTGTAAAATTTCCCTGATAAGACTCCTCAAGGAACTGGGAGAATTAACCTCCAAATCCCCGTCCCTGCCGCCAGGTTTTTCTTCCATGGTTTTCTGCTAAGTATATGTTATATATAACGTGCTACTAGATGAGCAACAAAACAACCCATTGTTGTACATACTTACCAACCTACTCACCAAGCACTAAACCGATTTGAAAAGGAATCGCGTATTTTACGTGTTTCCTAACGCACAAACAAGCCGGGCGACCGTACGGCTGTAACACCAAAAAACTAATGGCTCAACGTGCAAGACCGGGGCGCGACGGGACGGGAGCTGGGATCTCTTGTCTTTTAACTTGGTGTGCGGCTAGTACTCCAGAGCCGGACTACATAGTAAATAAACAAAGTGATGTCTTCGGACTGGACCTAAAGTATAATTTGTTTGAGTTGTATGTAATTTTTTTGTGTGCTTGTCTTGGAAATAAAAACCATTTATTATTATTATAATGTTCACGAGTAGGTGACACCACTGAATATAGCCAAGCTAATACTATCGGGTGTTTCAAATTTGATCCTCACTATTGTCATTTCAGAAACGGTAAGAGGTACGAAGCCGGTTGAATGAGGACAAAGTGGCACAAGGTAACTAAGAAAATGGCACTTAAACAGTTTCAAAATTTCGAGTATTTCGGGGGATAGACGAAAGAAACTGAATTCGTTTTTATTTTTTGCCTGACTTTATTTGACACGACATTTCAAAATAAAAAGCTATATATTTGTCATAAACTGATGTTTAAATTATTAAATTAAAATTAAATTTCATGAACCTCAATTTTATTACGTCAAAATTTAAGGATAAAAAATAATACTAATGCTAATGCAAGTTTTATGAACCATCCTTTATAATATGTAAAATCCGTCTATGTATGTCTTACCAATAGCACAAAGAACACCAAAAAAATGTAGGACAAGAAGTATATAGGAGCCAGAACTCTATCTGCTCTCTCAAGTTCGTCGTAGTTGAAGTCTCCGAGGATAGTTCTCAATAAGGTGAACATAGCTAGGCCAAAACTGCTAAAATTTTCCACTTCACTCCCAAAAAGCAGGTATCCCAGTTCGGAGAAGGCAAAGAAAACGATGAAAAACATCAAAGAAAATCCTACTATGTCCTTCGCGCACTGAAAGGAAAATTTATACTATAACAAACTATAATCAGAAGCAAACGAGATAAGGTATAAACAAAATTGAGTTGTATTTAGGTTGAAGTAAGAGTTTTGCGGGGTTTGAAGTGAAAAATTCTAATTTAGGTTTGTAACATCTCTGCAACAATTAGAGAATTATTATACCAATGGCGTAAGAGTCGGGTGACTTTTGTTCAAAAAATCACGTCAAGTTCATAAAGGATCAAGTTCAGCACAAGTTTAGTCCGCTGAGAAAAAAATAGTTACGAACATGTATAATAGCGAAATTGAATGCATCAAGTCAGTCAAACAGGCCTATACGGTAGTATGAATACTGCGTATTTGAAGAATTTCAAGTAGTTGAGTGAAATTATCGTCACATTACCAACAAGTGCCAAAAACTGCATTTTGCCTCGTTTTCGGCCATAACGTTTTTGCTATTAGTCGGATCTTTTTACGTGTGGTCTCATTTTGTAGGTCTCATAAATACTTAAAAATCTTATTTGAAGAGTTTTTTCGTTCCTGTCAACAGTTTCGATTGGAACCCAAAAAACACGTTTTCTCATTCTTTGTTGTCGAATAAAAAGTTTTCCCACAAAAATTGGTGTAGCCATTTTATGCGTCCGTGTTTTAAATACCCCCTTGAACAACTTGCATCAATAAAACCAGACTTTACAATTATTTCGGGGAAATTTGCTGGTATGATTAGACAAAAATTCGACATGGTCACAAGGTGATTATGTGCTGAACGAACATATAAAATGAGAACTCTATCAGTGTATTCGCATTTATAATTGACGTGACTAAATATTATTATTATTTCTTTTATTATTAGCTTTTGAGTTACAGCGTACACAAGTTCAAAACTCACAAGTCTTAGACAACGCTTTAAAGTTTCACGTATAACTGCTCACTACGGCGTAGACTGATCTGTATAGATAACCAAAGTGTAGTTCAACCAAGAGAAAATAGACAAGGCGAATACATTAGTCCCGTATCGTCAGTCGTCCCTACAATTAATTGTAGGGCGCCTTTATGACCTCCTTGATTGTCATAGTTTTCTACTTCTCCGTGTCAGCGCTCTATTTTGGGGTTATGTCACAAACATCTATTTGCACCAAATTGAGCCTGCTCTTGAGTTATATCAGGTTTTATCAGCCTGAAATTTCCTACATTTAAAAGAAACATATCTTTACATAGCAGAGCGCTGACGCTGACCCTGGACAAGTGTAATCTAGAAATTTTGAAGAACAGAAAGGAGTATGACAATCAAGGAGGCATAAATGCGCCAACAATTGTAGGGCGCCTTTATGGCCTCCTTTGATTGTCATTGTTTTCTGCCTCTCCGTGTCAGAACTCTATTTGAGGTTATGTCACAAACATCTATTTGCAGCAAATTGTGGTTGCTTTTGAGTTATATCATGTTTTATCAGCCTGAAATTTCCTACAATTTAAAAAGGAAACATATCTGTCATAATAGGAGAGCGCTGATGCTGACACGGGACAAGTGTAATCTAGAAATTTTTGAAGGAGAGAAAGGAGGATGACAATCAAGGAGGCCATAAACGCGCCCTACAATTGTAGGGACGACTGACGATACGGGCCTTAGACAGAGGTAGAAAAGAAGCCACAAACATGGAGTCCACAAAACGGTTGATGAAATCTAAACACGTGTAGTTCTGTCAGAGTAGGTAACATATAGAAGGAGCTACGGACACTTAGGACCAATTATTTTGTCAATTTTGCTCCGATCAATATGAAATTTTGACACAATATTTTTGAGATTTTGTACATTCAAAAAGATAAAAAATTATTGAAGAAAATTAAATACCTTACCCCCCGTAAGAGCATTGTTCTAATTTCCGATTCCTTTTGTAGGTTTTGTGCCTTCTGGATTTATACAACTTTACTCTGAAGCAGTTTTAGCAATACTTCATAGTTTTTTTAATATATGGGAAAATGTAATTCCTTTCAACTTTGATGGCTATTAAAAAAGTTACGCAGCAAAGTTTTTTCGTATCTCTAGATGAATAACTCCTTTATTTACCCCCAAGGATTCATTTCAGTTGCAAAATCTGTGTATACAATTCGAGTTATTCTGATCCTTCTAGAGACCAAAAATTCTCTTACCTGTCGGAGGGTACTGTTCAGCTGCCCCATCGTTCTGTTGAAATTAAGATATTTGAATACTTTCATTATTACCAAAAACAGCATTACGGCAACCAATTCCCTTTTAGAAGTATATATTGATGCCAAATATTCTACGTTACCATAGACATCTGGATTGTTTACTATTGTCTTCATAGTCGGTGGTGCATGAATATATTCCATGAAGGAGAATACTCCTGCAGCGATGCTAAGCTATAATATTTATAAACAGATATTTCAGTTCAAAAAATGGCGTCAAGTAGGGTGACTATGTACTTTCCTCGCGACGCTGTCATCAGTTCGTAACTACCGGTGGGGTAGGTAAAGAATGTCTAGGGGCTAATTATATGGCCCTGTATGACTGACTTTATCCGTTTAATTTCTGTAGTTTATATGTTCGCAACTAATTTTTTTCTCAGGGGGTTCAACACGTGTTGAAGTTAATCCTTTATGAACTGATGACGGGGTTGCATAGCAAGTATAGTGTCAACCTGCTTGACGTCATTTTTTCTGTTACATACATTGCCAGATACCAAATAAGTTAAGATTTCGTGTTTATAAATCAACAGAGTGAGTTTTGACGTTTGGAAACGTTCAGGAAGCCATCACGCATTCAGTCATGTGGCGTGTATGGGTCGCTAGCGCCTGATCGGCACGGGTATTGCGTATCTTGAAAAGTGACATTTTTTCTTTTTTTTGTTGACATTTTGTAGGTTTTTTGTGACATAACATAGGTTTTTCTACAAGGTGTTAACTTAGCACTAGCTGTTGTACCCTTGTTGTGAACTCGTTTTGTAGCTGTACGTGTTGTCTAAACGTCATGATGCTTCAATTATCGATGTTGGGCTCCGATGGGATATAAAATCTGCTTCAGGGATGGCATTATTGGAAGTCTAATCTGTAAGGTGTATACTATAGTTGGAAGGAAACGGCATTGCATAGGTGCATAGTGAGCGTTTGTCCGCTAATAATGTGTTGATGATAATTTCATTGGTTTCTTGTCATTATGGAAATTACATATGCAAATTTGCTGAATTTCAAAAATAATAGAGATAGGAATAGAAAATCCCTCGTTGGTGAAGTAACAGATGAGAAAATATGCTATAAGAATATTAAAAAAATTGAAAATTTTATTAACATTATTTTTTATTTCTAGTCATTTAAATTTTATAGAAATCTATTTTGCGATGTCACAAATCAGCGACTAGATGTGAGGCAATGCGAAAATGTTTGATGTGTGATGCGTCATTCCTAATTTATCTGTGATTTGGCTTAATTGCACACAACGCAGGCGCAGTGGTGATTTCCCATAATGCTCCTCAACGTTTTTCAAAGCACAAAAATAAAACGTGATAAATCGCAATTTATAACTTTGAACATAACCTGTCTTCAGAAAGGACAACATATATAAATAACCCGTGGGACCTAGCTAATAGATGTACTTCATTAGCAGCATATTCAGCATGTCGTTGACTCATTCCTCCATAGATAAACGCTCACAGCAATCGTAGCGAGCAAACGTGGAATGGACTATTTGCGCACTAAAAACTATCTAGTCTGCAAGATGACGTTTTGTCGGCTTTTTTCACGTTTATTACGTTTCTTACATAATACCCCAGCTGTGTTTGTTTTTATCATAGATCAAAGACTTTTGTGGCTAACATTTCCATAGCATCCACATGTTTGTGCGTACGGTATCAGCAGCAGCACCAGATACATAAAATTCGATCAGATTATTTTACAGTTACATGGTACCTACAACTTTCAATTATTTGTGTAGTGAAAATAATGATCTGGAATGGTTGCATAATTCTGAACAGACGTTTGTAGAAGCTTGCAGTTTGACAAAAAACATTACGATACGACATTATAAATAGCGTTTCGAATGAAACCTACAGAGATAATGGTAAGATCCACGTAATTCCAAAACTTTAACATATAGTTCCATTTAAAATGGACCATTTCTCTGATTGCTTGCAACAAATAGTATGCTACGAAGATATAAGAGACCAGCTCCAGTGCAAGAAGCAGCATATCCCAGTTTCTTGAAAATCTCAATAGTTTCATGGTGTGTATTTCTGCCTTCGTAATTACGCCACCTACCGCAGGGAACTCGAATACCAATTTGCACACTAAAAAATTAGTTCTTGATTTAATGAAACAGAAAAAAATTGCGTCAAGTAGGTTTACTGTACTTCCCACATATGAATCGATCAAATCAATTGCACGTGAGAGATAGAGTCGACCTACCTAGAACATGGTTTTAACACAGTGAATAAAATATATACAGGGTGTTTCAGTTTATTGTTGCATAACTTTAAGATTCGATAGAACTTTTAATATTAATGCCTAAAGTCTGTATAAACATGGGTCGAAAAATGCGTGGCTTCCGAAATACAGGGGTCTCTAATTTGCTTTTTAAAATAGTTTTTTTTAAATATTTCGAACAATATTTGATGTATAACAGTGAAAATTGGTATACAAGGGTTTTTTGGTACGATAAAACGAACCATGGGCATAGTTTTACTGTAGCCGCTAGAGGGCGCTCTCTACTGTACCTGAAGTGTATTAAAACGACCGAAAAATTTTTCTTAGTGCAATTTTTTGCTTTTTGAATAAAAAAACTGATTCTTCGCACTTTTCAACATAAAAAAGCTCTCTTGTGAATTTTCGTTATAGTTAGCCGTTTTTGAGATATTTCGATTTTTAAGGTTCGATGCATTTTTAATTATTTATGGGAAAATAATATTTTTTTTACATTTTCGATTTGGGCATTACAAGTAATTAAGATGATCGTTTAGATTGTGTTTTTAAACACAGCAATAATTCCTAACTCCAAATAAACACAAAAAAACAGAATATTAATTTGTTTAATTTTCCAATATTATTTTTAACAAATTAAATTAATTATTTACAACTAACATGCTATTGGATAGTTAGGACATACATACAAAATCTAAAGTAGTTGCTCGAAATGTAAACCCAATTGTTCAATACACAATTCACATCTACGAATGATCGAACGTGGTATAGCATTATTCAAATAAGGCCTTATTTCATCACATGCATTCCTGATTCTGTCTATTAGCATATCTCTTGTGGTTATAGGAGTCTGGTACACTTTTTCTTTTAGAAATCCCCACACAAAGAAATCTAATGGATTTAGGTCAGGGGATTGTGGAGGCCAGGCGACTGGTCCTCCACGGCCGATCCATCTTTCTGGATAATTTTCGTCCTCGAATAATGAGCTGGACAACCATCAAGCTGGAACCAGGCCAATCTTCTTAAATCTAACATAACATCATCCCACATATTTGCATGTTAAGCCTTTAAAAATTCCAAGAAGGTTGCAGCATTTAGGTAGAGTCCAAATAGTCGATTACGGTAGATACCAATCCACACGTTCACACTCAATTCATGCTGAAAATTTCTTTCCCGAACTGCAAGCAGATTATCATGCGACCAAATATGTTGATTACGAAAATTTACCACTCCACGTCTAGTGAAGCATGACTCATCGGTCCATAAAACGTTACTTAAAAACTCCCTACTATTATCAGTTCTATCAAGAATCCACTGACAAAATGTGATTCTTCGTTCTCCGTCTTCTGGCTGTAGTCCTTGCACAGGTTGCAAATGGTAAGGACGTCTATGGTCATTTCTAAGAACACGGTGAACATGACTTGCTGAAATTCCTAAGGCACCAGAAACTCTCCTAACACTTGTGGTCGGATCTCCTACTTCTAAAAGTTATCGAGATACTGACTTTTTAACGTTATTTTATCATAAATAATTAAAAATGCATCGAACATTAAAAATCGAAATATCTCAAAAACGGCTAACTATAACGAAAATTCACAAGACAGCTTTTTTATGTTGAAAAGTGCGAAGAATCAGTTTTTTTATTCAAAAAGCAAAAAATTGCACTTAAAAAACATTTTAGGTCATTTTAATACACTACAGGTACAGTAGAGAGCGCCCTCTAGCGGCTACAGTAAAACTATGCCCATGGTTCGTTTTATCGTACCAAAAAACCCTTGTATACCAATTTTCACTGTTATATATCAAATATTCTTCGAAATATTTAAAAAAAATATTTTAGAAAGTAAATTTAAACACCCTGTATTTCGGAAGCCACGCATTTTTCGACCCATGTTTATATAGACTTTATGCATTAATTTTAAAAGTTCTATCGAATCTTAAAGTTATGCAACAATAAACTGAAACACCCTGTATAATTGTATAAAGGGGGGTAATCGGTTATAGTTGTACCTGGCAAAGCGCGAGGTACGAAAAACGAATGGGTTAAGCTTGTTGGAAGACTGAAAATCTTTATTTTAACCAATGACGTGAACGCCCTGATAAGCCCTGATAAATGCACAAATAAAAATAAAAAATGAGAACAGAGCAACACTAACATGCAGTTGACTCCTCCAGCAAATATATATATATATATATATATATATATATTCTCTCGTAATCCACGCTGAATGGGGCCGGGCATTGTCCTGCATAAATATGAAGTCCTCATCTTGTTCCTGGGCGACAGGTACAACGTATGGCTGTATGGCTCAAGCACCTCACTAACGGTAGGCATTGATGCTAGGAGGTGGAATGTAACGGCATGGTGTGACCGCCCACCATACTTCTTACTAATACGATCAGTTATAAGCCAGAATATCATAGAATAACAATGAAAGTTTTGCTTAGCTCGTTAAATTGTAGGGGTATTTCTAATTTTGAGGTTAGAGTTACAGCCACTAGCGGCCGTTTTAGGAAGCTGAAAATAATTTCAGCAATTTCTCTTGGCCACTTTTGTTATAAAATTCAATGTTATTATTTTTTTGTACATTTTTGACAGCCTGCAGACGTTCCCCCACCACTAAAAGGGTATACATCAGATAATCTTTCCTTTTCTTCATACTATCTAATCTGCAAAAGCTACTGGATGATCCCTATGACGCTTGAGTAACTACCCATTTTCCCTACTATACCGATTTGCGTAAAAGCATCCTTTTTGTGTGAAAGGGATATTTATAAGAAAATGCATATAGTTGTACCTGGCAAAGCGCGAGGTACGAAAAACGAATGGGTTAAGCTTGTTGGAAGACTGAAAATCTTTATTTTAACCAATGACGTGAACGCCCTGATAAGCCCTGATAAATGCACAAATAAAAATAAAAAATGAGAACAGAGCAACACTAACAAAAATGGAATAGTTGAAAAAAGTCAGTCATGTGTCCAGCCCCCACGTGCTTCAGTAACGGCTTAACAACGGCGCCTCATACTGTTTATTAAGTTCTTGATTGTGGCCTGTGGGATTGCGGGCCAACTCTGCAACTAATGCCTCTTGGAGTTGCTGTCGGTCAAGGGGAGCTGGTCATCGCTTCGTCAATCTACAACCATCTCAAAGTTGCTCGATTGGGATACTGTAGTTAGGCATTGATGGCCTTACCATGCAGTTGACTCCTCCAGCAAATATATATATATATATATATATATATATATATATATATATATATATTCTCTCGTAATCCACGCTGAATGGGGCCGGGCATTGTCCTGCATAAATATGAAGTCCTCATCTTGTTCCTGGGCGACAGGTACAACGTATGGCTGTATGGCTCAAGCACCTCACTAACGGTAGGCATTGATGCTAGGAGGTGGAATGTAACGGCATGGTGTGACCGCCCACCATACTTCTTACTAATACGATCAGTTATAAGCCAGAATATCATAGAATAACAATGAAAGTTTTGCTTAGCTCGTTAAATTGTAGGGGTATTTCTAATTTTGAGGTTAGAGTTACAGCCACTAGCGGCCGTTTTAGGAAGCTGAAAATAATTTCAGCAATTTCTCTTGGCCACTTTTGTTATAAAATTCAATGTTATTATTTTTTTGTACATTTTTGACAGCCTGCAGACGTTCCCCCACCACTAAAAGGGTATACATCAGATAATCTTTCCTTTTCTTCATACTATCTAATCTGCAAAAGCTACTGGATGATCCCTATGACGCTTGAGTAACTACCCATTTTCCCTACTATACCGATTTGCGTAAAAGCATCCTTTTTGTGTGAAAGGGATATTTATAAGAAAATGCTTAATCATACCTGCAAAGAGATTCTTATTACCATTGTACACGGTGAAATCTATAAAGACTGCCCTTGTGCCTCTTTCTATCCACATATTCCACTTTAAATCTTCAATAATTTGTTTAGTACCGGTACGATTCCTCACAAGATCAACATAAAAGCCATCTCCGCCATATGTGGAGATTTGACCCCAATACGGTAGGCTTTTCGTGTCTTTTTCAGAGCTGTAAGTCCATCTGAAAATTGGAATAAACCAACGAATTCAGACTAGGAGCAAGTCTATGATATGTTTGTTCCCAAAGTTTAATAGTCTGACGTCAGGATGAAAGTTCATACTACAAGTTGATTAGGCGCACCAGTTTGACAGTTGTTGACATTTCACATGAAATTATTTTTTTACGAAAATATATAAAAGTGCGTGGGTTCCATACAGTCTTAGTGTTCCAGACAACTGTCGAAGATAGTGAGGGTTTCTGTGCGCCGTTGCGAAGGGCATGCACAGGGTGTTCGGCTATAAATTGACCCATCTCTCTAACTTTTTTATATGACCTAGAAGAAAAGGTTATAGAGTCGAATATGGAGTTTTTCATTTAATATTTTCTTATCTCAAAAAAGTTCAATCCTAAATGAGTTGTATTTTATTAAATGGAACATCCTGTATATTTTCAGTTGTGCCTGATTCAAAATATATATGGTTTGTTAAACTTAGTTTTATTAATACAGTCAAAAACTTGTTTGTCATTTAATCACACACGTATATATTCCGCCCTATACTAGATTGCATAGGCGGCTAGAGCAAACTGGTTCGAACTCTACTGGTAATGACACACAAACTTTAAGTTTTTGGCCAAACTAATGAATTCAAGGATAATAATCATATATATTTTGAATCAGAGAAAAGTTCGGAAAAAGGGACTATCGTTTTGCCTAAAAATATATAGGATGTTATATTTAAAAAAATTCAACTTTGTCCGATAACACCTTTTAACAAGATTGTATATCTAACAACATTGAAAAATAAAAAAAGACCACAGTAGTCGAAGCATCGTACAATTAACAGAAATTTGATACAAATGTGGTTTTGATTCGTCTAGACCATTGCTTCCCAAAGTGGTCTATATCGACACCTAGGAGTCTATGACAACCTGCAAGGGGTCTACGTCAGCGAAAAAAAATTTGGGGGTCCATGAAATGAATATGGGGGTCCATGATAGTGGATCTCAACACATACACTGATAGTATCTATTTACTTACATCATACTATCTTATAATATCAAAACATATACATTATTTATAAAAGTACCTATGAAGCAAAAAATTTATTATATACTAAGTGACATATAAATCCGAACACCCAGTTCAAATGGTTTTATTTTAATAAAATTTTGTATAAGTACTTAATGAAGCATAATAAGTAAATGATAAAAATTTCAAAATAATTGCACTGCTTTAAAGCCCTTTGACCTTTAATAATGTGAGGATGCACCCTGATGTGCTACGCATTCTCCAACGCGCCTAGGCATGCTTCTGATCAGGTGGTCAATGTCCTCCTGTGGTATCTCATTCCAGGCAACCACCAACTCCTCTCGAAGTGCTTCTAGAGTCTGAGGAGGACGTTGCATATTGAGCAATCTCCTACCCATCATATCCCACACGTGCTCAATTGGGGATAAGTCGGGAGATCTTGGTGGCCATGGTAACAATGTGACATCATTATGTTGAAAGAAGTCTATTGTGACTCTTGCAACATGTGGTCGGGCATTATCTTGTTGGAAAGTTGGATCTGCCAGGGTGTCAAGATAGGGTAAAAGATGGGGTTCTAGAACTTCGTGGATATAACGCTGCGCGTTCATGTTACCTCTGATGAAGATTAAAGGTGACCTGGAACCATAAGCTATAGCACCCCAAACCATAACTCCAACAGTGTGATGTCTTTCAACAAAAAACTGTGGATTCCTCCTTTCACCACGTCGCCTTCTAACCCTGGCACGATCATCTTGCATGCCTAAACAAAATCGAGACTCGTCACTAAAGACAATACTGTTCCATTCCTGATCCCAGAGTGACCATTGTCTGCACCGCTCAAGGCTATTACGTCGGTGTTCTCGAGTTAAAGGGAGGACCCAGTGTGGTCGGTATGAAAACAAGCCAAAACTTCTCATTCGTCGGTAAACACTTCGCATGCCAATAGGTCTTCCGTGTTCTGCAAACCATTCATTTGCAATGGACCTGGTAGTGGAGAAACGGTCCCTTAAGGCCAATAATCTTAGGCGGCGATCTTCACGGTCTGTTGTTCTACGGCGGCGTCCAGTGCCCCTTGCTCTTTGCGTACGGCCTTCTTGAAGCCATGCCTGACAACACCTAACCACAGTGTCTACACTTCTTTGCACTCTAACTGCAATTGCCCGAAAAGAAAGTCCAGCTTCCCGAAGTCCCACTATACGGCCCCTATCAAACTCACTAAGTTGACGAAATCGTACAGGTCTCCGTACTCTAGGCATCGTAACCGATCGTAAAGGATGTCAAGAACCAAAATCCGCCAACGTTGATTCTTTACTGCGGCTGAAATATTCATTTTTAGAGCGTTAGTGAATTAAAAAAAAAGCAGTATAAAAACCGGAATGTCCAACTGATAAGGCTGAAAATTTTTTCACTTGTTATTTACAGTAGGATAAATACATTCACCAACTTTTATTAAAATAAAACCATTTAAACTGGGTGTTCGGATTTATATGTCACTTAGTATACTTCCAGCGAATAAAGAATTGTGAAAAGTATGCACTTTTTTCTAGAAAAGTAATGATTTATTTTGTTAGATTATTCCAAGACCATTGAGTAAAGTACGGAGCTGTACAATCTCGATTCTGGGCATGTAGTGTTTTTTCTGGGCGTAAATGGTCTACGAATGGGATGTAGGTATTTGCTTTTAGACAAGAATCTGCTCGGAACACAGCTATTTGGAAAAACCGGTCGGTTAATAATACATTAATTGTACACGGTGGCCGCAAATTTGGGACTTTAATTTACATGACATATATATCTGAAAAAAATTAGCGGTTTTTCCTAGTAGCATATATAGCAGTCATTGGGCTCCGCAAAATCAATCAAAGCTAAACCAAACCTAATCCGCTTCTGTATTTCGATCAGATAAAAAGTGAGAAGGTACGACGCACGTCAGTACTCAACCCATGAGCCGGAAAGGCAGGTAAATAAAACATTTATTTACAAATCGGTTCGAAAAGAACAATCAAAATACTCGTAGCACACTCGTACAGCAATATCGAACTTGTCGACATGATTTTAATCAATCTAATTTTAATTTCCAAATGATACCGACGTTATCATTCGGGGCAGCATAGATTTGTTTACCTTGTGCAACGTGCTAGGGATATGGGAACAAATGGTGCAAACTGAGGAAGGATTTTGAATTTTGTACAAAAAATCCTTCAACAAGCACTAGGGAAGTGGCTACTCGAGTGCAAGTCTCCGAGACTAAAGCGTGGCAAATGCTGCGTGATGATGGATTTTGGATTGTACTCTTTTGTAAAAGCTGAGGATTTTCCTGTAAAATTGCGTTTTTGTGAGTGAAGTTCATATTAATAACGCCCGAATCAACCTTCACGCGTAACGGAGTGAAAAACTTCAGAAATACTCATGTGTGGTTATTGGAAAATCCACAAATAGTCCGTCAGTTACATTTTCAACAAACATCTTCTTCAAATGTTTGGGCTGGCATGGTAACTTGACATGACCTTCTACGAAATAATTTGCCAACGGCGATAACTTATTAAGTACTTGAAGTTTATTTGCAAAAGAACGGTGAGTAATTTTTCATTTATTTCACTGTTTCACCACACATTAGCTTTGTTATTTCAAGCATGGTTGTTTCTGAGAAAGATTAATTTTGTTATATTCAGAAGTTCTTACGCAGTTGGTTCTCCAGGTCCAAAGTCCTCTCGGTCCGCCTCGTACGAATAGTAGGTATCAAAACAGCTTCTAAAGTAACGAAGGAAATAATCATGGACCTCGCAGGAATCATTTCGAGCCTTCACCTATTGAAATATTGGGAAACATAGTAATCACATAGAAAATATTAAGATCAGAACAATAGAAAATCTCTTTTTGTGGAAATAATGACTTAACATTGGAAATGAAAACGACAAAATATAAAATTTCAAATAAATTAAATGTAAACGCAGGGGTACCTAAAAGATCAGTATTAGGTCCGACCTTATTCTCAGTCCATTTCAATCATTTAATAAACTTAAACATAAATGGTAAATTCGTAGTTTCTGCTGACGATACCACAATACTTTGGCAAGACACAGATATATACAGGGTGGGAAGACAGAATGGTAGTAACCCAAGACACATTCTGGTTTCCTTCAAAGATAACTGTATAAAAATAGCAGCATATAACAAGAAAAAGATGCTGAAAGGTACTAAAATTGTTGTTAAAGAGGACCTAACCATTCAGCGTTTAAAAGCCGTGAAAGCAGCTTCAGGAAAGTTCGGGTTTAGAAATGTTTGGACTGTCAACGGAAATGTGTTCGCTAGAACTGATAAGGGGGTGGAGAGAATTCAATCTGACTAAATGTGGCTGTCGTGAATTATTGATTATTTTTTATTTCATTATTCGTATATACTTACTGTAATGCACCTTAAAATTGGTCATCTGAATGTATGTTCTGTTGTTCCTAAATTGAATCGGCTCAGAGAGCATATTTTACACCATAATTATGGAATCTTTGCGATGTCAGAAACTTGGCTTAATTCGACAGTCGCAAATGGAGCAATTCAGATCCCTGGATATAGTGTTGTGAGAGCTGATAGAGGGGCAAGGGGCGGAGGCGTTGCTCTTTATATACATGACAGTCTGAAGTTTTCTCTAATAAATACATCTTCTAATATCGAACAGTTATGGGTAATGTTGCAATTTAATGATGTTTCATATGCTGTCGGAGTTGTATACCGTCCTCCTGATTATAACTATAGGAATTTTGTTGACGAGCTAGAAAAATCATTATCTCTGGTCGCCATTCAGACCGATAAAGTGATATGTGTTGGAGATGTGAATATAAATTTCTTAGATACCCAACCTGCTTCTACAAGATACATGCTAGATATGTTAAGTACCGTTAATTTTCACCAAATTTTGAATGAACCAACTCACATCACTCAAATATCCAGCTCATTAATTGATGTTATTATATGCAATGATCTCTCAATAATACACACGTCTAATATTGGTGGGCTGGATTTGACCAATCACGAATTAATTTCATCTCAGGTATACAAGTCTGAGCCTAAAACTGAGCCATTCTACTGTACTTATCGTAGTTTTAAGCATTTTAATGAGCATGAGTTGTACAGTGACCTACAAAAGCTCCCTCTGATAGATATTTGCTATGCTTCTGACATCGATGATAAAATGCTTTTGTTCAAGAACATGATCCTTCAGCTGTTTGACAAACACATGCCCCTTAAAACATCTAAAATTAGCAAAAATAATGGCTTAGCAATAACATAAGGAAACTAATGAGAGATAGAGACAAAGCTAGGTCAAAATTCCGGAAGAATCCTTCTGCGCAGAACGGTGTGGCTTACAAACAGCTCAAAAACAAAACTAATCATACCATATTACAAGAAAAAAAGAAATATTTCTCACAACTGGCTCAGAATAGAAACAGTAAAGTACTATGGAAAGAACTAAAATCATTAGATATAAAATCAAATAATCCTGGTATACCATCACAGCTGCAAAGTGCTGATAATATCAACGGCTTCTTCTTAGACAATATTCCTCAACAAATCAATAGTAATGAGGATTTAGTTACGCACTATAACAATAATGTCATATGCTATGATAAATTTAATTTTTCCTTGGTCTCCGAGGAACAAATTCTGCAAGCCTTCTGTCGGATAAAAAATACCTCGCCAGGAAGTGACGGAATTTCAGTCCGTTTACTTAAAATGTGTATTCCAATCATATTGCCTTTTCTCGTCCACATTACTAATAGTATTCTTTTAGACGGAAAATATCCCACCGCCTGGAAAACAGCTCTAATAACTCCAATCCCTAAGGGTAAAGATGTCAAGCAACTTGAAGATCTTCGCCCTATCAGTATCTTACCTGGCCTTTCAAAGTTAGTGGAAAAAATAATAGAATTACAGCTACGTGACCACATAACCAGAAACAAAATCTTACCTAGTACTCAGTCAGGTTTTCGTCAAGATTATAGCTGTACTACAGCTTTGGCACACATTACAGACGATATTATAACAGCTAATGACAACAGTAACTGTACTGCACTAGTTTTGTTAGATTATAGCAAAGCATTTGATACTATAAATCATGACGTTCTGATTGCAATACTTGAATCATGTGGGGTATCAGGTCATAATAAATCGTTATTCGAATCTTACCTTAGCGATAGAATGCAACGTGTGAAGATAAAAAAAAAATCTCTCGCGAGTAAGGACAATAAATCAAGGGGTGCCGCAGGGTTCGATACTCGGACCGCTATTATTCACGCTATATACTAGTCAGCTCTCCAAATCCCTTGAATACTGTAAGCCTCACATGTAAGCAGATGATACTCAAGTGTGCCTTTCATTCCTTGGTGATGATTGGCCAATGGCGGAGTTTAAAATTAATGCTGATCTTGACGCTCTATTTAAAACTTCTAATGATCATTCAATGTCACTGAATCCAAAAAAATCAGCAGCAATAATTTTTGGGAAAGATCGGCCAGAGATAATGAACAATATGACGCTACATATAGATAATGTTCTAATACCGTTCTGCGATTCTGTTAAAAATTTGGGTCTCATAATAGATTTTAAGCTCAGATTTAAAGAGCATATTTCAAAATGTATACAAAGGGCGTATTATGCACTCAAGCTGCTTTACCCTCACAGACACTTTCTTAGCAGAGACATCAAACGAATGCTATGCGAAACGTTGGTTTTGTCCCAGTTTTCGTATGGTGCTCCTGTCTATTATCCATGCTTGGATGCTGATACGATATCTAGAATTCAGCGTGTTCAAAATTCATGTATAAGGTACATTTTCGGTATAAGGAAGTATGACAGAGTTAGTCATAAGCTGAAGGATTTACAGTGGTTGAACATGAAACAGCGTTCAGAACTATTAACACTATGTTTCTACAATAATATTTTGTCGAGCAAGTCACCGCCATATTTGTATGAAAAAGTCATGTTTAGAGAAAGTCTTCATTCTGTCAATGTTCGTTCGAAACAGAATATTTCTGCTCCATTCCATCGAACATGTTTTTTCGAACGTGGCTTCTCTTACAACATCTATAAATTATACAACTCCATCCCCCAGCAAATCAAAAATATGAAAGGTTGCAAATTCAAGGCAGATCTGAGACGATTCCTTTTAGATAAGTATAATTAACTTCACTCATAATACTGTAACATTTAGCTTTTTTGGATGAATCTCATGATTATATGATGGAATCTTTTCAGTTTTATATTTTCAGAGTTATTTGGTTTTTGTTGTACTCATGCTTTTTTTCTGCTCTCATATAGTTAGTAGTAGGCATGTAACAGTTGATATCACTATTTTAAAATAGAGCAAGGGATGAGTGGAAGAGCACGCAGGTCGTGAACTCCCCCTTGAGATTCGAGAGCAATTATTCCCATTTGTTGAACACTATTTTTGTATGCATTGTCTCTTCGAATAAAGCCATTTATTATTATTATTATTATATAAATGAAGTCAAGACGAAAATTGATAGTGATATACAATCAATCAAAAAATGGTTTTGTTTGTTTGTTTAAGATTCATTTATATCATTATTCAGTTTGTTAAATTCAAGTAATCCATTCTGGAATATTGATTTGCTAGTTATATTACTATTGCAGTTTTGTAAATGAAAATCTATATTTCCCCTTGTATAATAATTGTGGTTGGTTATTCAATTCTATGTAGTGTTCTAAATGTTGTGGCAAAAGATGATTTTGTATTGATAATATAAAAATAAGAACCAAATATGACAAAAATTACTTGACTTTCAATGTTATTAAGATGAAATTGATCACAGTTAAATGCTCGCTTGATTTTATAAATTTAAATAATGAATTGATACACAAAACAGCCACCATCAAATTTTTGGGACTGAGCATTGACCAGATTTTACTAAACATGTCGACAAATTGCTTACTCAACTATAAAATATTTCCTTCTTTATAAGAACAATTAGTTACAACGCAGGGAAAAGCACAGCCTTAAGCACTTACTTTGCCTTTTTTGGAAGTAGATTGAGATATAGCCTCGGATATAGCATTCCCATTTGATGTGTGTTCCCAAAATTGTTTAAGAAAGATGCTTACTCTACAAAAACGAACTATTATATATAACTAAAAGCAATCCTAGACCTACATGCAGACATTTGAAATGTTAACAACATTTGTGAGAAATAATTTTAATGGTCCGAAAAATTTACATGTGTCTCCCTGATGCTATCAAAAGATCAATATATGTAATTTTGTTAAAGTTAGCTTTGTCATTAAGAACGATTGTATTCTTCAGACAATAAAACATATCTATCTGTAAATGTACTAAGTGATATAGAAAAAAGAACACCCAGTAATAATGAATTTATTACAGAGATTTACTATACCCTGGGCGCTGAAGAAAGACATTAAACGTAAACAGTGATCAGCACGTGAACAGATCCCTCGAAAGCATCCACGGATATACTCCAGTCACTTTAGGTCTAAACATCCTCGGCAGTGTATTTCTAGTGAATCCGCAGACCCTTTTTCGTGTCATCTTGAGACTAGAAAAAGGATGACTGTTAAAATAAGTTACCCTGATCTTTCATGAGCTCCCAGTACAAAACATCATCGATATATTTTTGATGTAGGAACAACAAATTGGTTTAGAAAACATCCACTTTGAACCTAAATTGACTGGAGTAACATCGATCTACAGACAAATTCAAGGTCACTAGCAGTCGTCGGCGCTCTACGAATCTGCACAGGTTTGGACTTGTAAACGTGATTGTAGATGACACGACAGGCATCTAACAGTTAATTCACGCACAGGATTGCATTGCATACGCATTACGCATTCAGTAGCGTATACTCGTTTTTCGCGAGTGGAACGTTTTGTTTATATATTGCCTAAGATACGATGTCTGACACAGATACAGCCGACGAAGTGGTTGACATCAGCGCCCCACCCAAAAAAAGGGCTAAGAAGCTACATTTAAGTGCAAATGAAAAACAAATAATATTAAATATATACAAAACCAAATTCAAGAAAAACCCGATTTGGTCGTGGACGAAGTTATATGTAAGGTAGCACATATTTCTGGAGTATGTCGGTCCAGTGTTTATAGGATCATTAAGGAATATAGGAGCACTCACTCACTTTCTGAGCCAAAACCGTATCCTGCAAGAAAAAGGATAACGGACGGAGTAGATGACTTTGACAGAACTGCCATCAGGAGGAAAGTGCATAATTTTTTCTTCCGAAATGAAATACCTACAATAGATAAGATATTAAGATTAGTTAATGCTGATGAGGATCTTCCATCATTTAAAAGAACCACATTCCGAAAACTTTTGAAGGAACTTAATTTTCGATTCTTGAAACGGGGAAGAAACAGTATGTTAATAGAGAAAGAAGAAATTGTTGTGTGGAGAAGGGAATACCTTAGGAAGATTCGGAAGTTTCGCGATGAAAAAAGAAAAATTTACTATTTGGACGAAACGTGGGTGAATGCTGGACATACTCAAGCGAAAGTTTGGGTCGACAAATCAGTAACATCATCAAGGCAGGCTTTTCTAGACGGTCTTTCGGCTGGATTGAAAAATCCTGCAGGTAAGCTCCTTCATCTATCCGGCAATTTAATTTTGATAAATTCGGGCAAATAATATGATGTGATAGCAGATAATGTGTGATATTCTCCAAAAATGGTGCATTCGCAGTGTAGTCATTAGGAAAAAAACTTCGACCCTCTTTTAAGCGTTATTTTGAAAATTAAATTCAGCTAAATGAACTCAATTGCCTCATTCCTTCAAATTTAATCAATCCATAGTGTAAGGAATAATTTATTTCCAGGAAAAGGCAAACGGCTGATCATTTGTCACGTAGGTAGTGAAGACGGCTTTGTTCCCGAAGCACTGTGGGCCTTTGAATCAAAAAAGACAGGGGACTATCATGAGGAGATGGACGGCAATTCCTTTGAAAATTGGTTCTCCAAAATGTTACTAAAGCTGGAGAATAACGCTGTTATTGTACTGGATAATGCCCCGTACCATTCTAGAAAAATAGAAAAAATTCCCACAATGGCAACTAAAAAAGCAAACATACAACAATGGCTGGCCTCAAAACAGATCGATTTTGATGAAACAATGGTCAAGGGTGAATTGATAAGTAAATAAAAAAACAAAATAAAACTGTCTTGAGACTGCCACCCTACCATTGTGAGCTGAACCCTATTGAGCTGATTTGGGCCAACATAAAGCAATACGTGGAGTCGAATAATAATACTTATAAATTTTCTGATGTTAAAAATCTCTTTCACATCGCAGTCAATAGAGTTACGGCAGAGGAATGGAAAAACTGTATCCGCCACGTTCGGGAGAAGGTTGAGGTCAAAATGTGGGATTTGGACAATGTCATCGATACCCAAATTGAACCTCTAATAATTCATTTAAACGATTCAGAAGATTCAAGTTCCTCTTCTGAATGAGTGCGCGCAGCTTACTTACTAATAACTAAAAAGTGTAGTTAACTCATTTGTGAATCTCTAACTGAAATTTACTGTAAAAGATAATAATTATCTTGTAAGAAATTTTTGATGACTACCCATAATATCTTGATGCGGTCCTGTAATGTCTCCTGCGCCTAAACACTCACTCACGAGCAATATGCGTGTATTTGTTTGGGTTTAGTTTCTTTCTTCAGCGCCTAGAGTTTAGGTATATGTTTGTTAAGGTTACAAAAAAACGACCAGCTTTTCAACCAAATCGATAAGTGGTGTTTCTGATAGCATCTCTTTTTAGAGAAAAAGTAAGTAAACTACCGTTGTGTTTTGTAGCTACAATTGACATCTGATGACCTTAGAATACGTTGTGATGAGCTGCTTTAATCTATTCATTATGCCTAGAGTGAGAAAATTTTCAACAGATTAGCGAGATTGGCAGGGGGCGAATAGTGGGCTTGTGAGAGGCAGGTTGGTCCTTTAGAAAAATATCCACCGGGTATGCAGAAGCTTAAATATAGTGTTGGTTGGAATCTATAAGGCCAAATACGAAGAGTTAGAAGTACAGTGGACCACTTCTCGTCCACAATGTCAATTGTGGACCAGTGATATGGAGAGAAAGAAAAGCCTATTACAATGCGAATTGTTTATCGCCGGATCAACAGTTTGGGACTTGCTTCATTGACCTACGATTTCGCCTGATAACCTGATATGGCGACGGGTATTTTCGTACAGCGCTTTTGAAATTCTGTTGCCAGAAGTGGCGCATATCATCGTTAGTTAAATGTTACCTGTCTAATTCGCGGTACTCCTAATATCATGTTCTCGAACATAATGTTCATTGTGTTTTCATCTTCTACATTCTTAGGATCGTACGTATACCCCCAAAATATGCTTGGAACAAAATGGTTCTCCAGATACTGAAATAAAAATTATAGCAATCCACCTTATCGAAACCAAAGAATTCAGATTAAATAGAAGGAACCAATCAAGATTCTTTTAATTCTCATAGTCTGTAATGAGGATCAAAGAGTATTTGACATAAGTCAGCTTTTTGATAATTCTATCCATAAATTCATATATTTAGTTTCCATCGGTACGTATTATTGTTATGATGATACAAGGCTGTCACTTTGATAGGCATTGGTACACAAACGAGCCAAAAATATGCACTAAAACTACACTATTTTGGCGACAAACAATGCAAATATAGCCTTGGTTCCTTCTAATCTAGTCGAATTCGTTGGTCGGAACCAAAGCCATCCATCCGTATTTATACATGCGACTCGTGTCGTGCGACAAAATCACTCGGTAATGGTTGACACGAGGTTCTCCCTTTGTGATTCCCTTGTTGAATGTTGTATTGTCTAAGATCCATCACACAGAGCCCTAGAGGATCTCTTAGAAGAAAATTTTCCCACTCCCAGGTTTAGTGCATGCACGGGGATCGAGGAGACGATTTAATTTTAATTTTTTGTTATACATGTTCGTAGGTATTCTTTTTTCTCAAAACGGCTAACTTGTGCCAAACAATCCTTTATGTATCTATATATGAGCAAATGGGCGCCAACCTTCTGCCAACCCAGCGCAGTATGCAACAAAAATTGATTTTATCTATCTAAAAATTGATTAAGCAGTGTCCGCACCCTTGACAAACCTCAACAAATCCTCACAAACGCAAATGTGCGGATAGAGCGTTTGGCTTGCTTTTGCGCCCTCAGTCTCGCTTATGCACTGGTGATGAATAGATGCAAGTTTGTTCAGTAATAATCTGGGGCCAGGTAGCCTCTAGTGTTGTACAATGCAACTGGATTTCATTTAGCTCTACTCAATTGAATTAATCAATGAGTCAACTATTTGGAGCTGTTCAACTCAGGAGCAAGAAACTTACGTTGCGATTCTGAGTTCTATAAGATAAAAATAAAACATTTCTTTTATTCAATTAAATATGTAAAAGATTAAAGGTTCAGTAGGGATCCACTTGATTTTAATCTTAGTGAATAGTTTCCATCCCTGTCAAGAAAAGGCAATTAGCCTTCTCAGTTAATCCAAATTTTATGAATCTGTAACAGCTTGTTAGCCGTAGTTTTCGTTTTGTTGACTTATCTTTTTGTTTTTACAGTAAAAATAAATCAATTTAATGTTATGATCGACACAAGTTCGATGTCAGTCCTGCTTGCCACTTCAAAACTCACTGACGCACTCGCAAACGTGTGGATGGTGACGTTTGTGAGCTCAAAAAAGCCAAACGTTTGTACAGGTTTGGAGTTTGTGGCAAGTGCCAAGAGCGCGGACGCGGCATCAAACATAAGAGTGGCAAGAGCGTATCTATCCCGCAACAGCCTTTAGGCGGCAAGGCGACGTCAAATTTAATGTCAATGGTCAAAATTTAGGGCCCCTGAAGTGATTTCCATTAATTGCTATTTGTTTACCATCCAAAAATCTCCTGCACTGTGTATATCAGAGAACGTAATTTCCATCCCATTCATCGTATTAAAAGCCTTGTCCACAAACTGGGCATGTAAACCTTTTGTTAGGTAGAAATTATATGTACTATGTGGGCCCATGACAGCTAAAATTATGTAACAATATTATTCGTAATGCTAGGTGGAGTATGAATGATAGGAGGGAAGCCCAAGATTTTGAATTGCTGAAAGGTCCCTACGATGATCGAGCTATCACTGATTCTGTAACAATAAATGAACTCTAAATTAAATTACATTACATTATCATCTAAACAATAAAAAATTATAAAAAAAAATAATTTCTTTTCGCCATATTCCTTGTGTGGTCTAGGGATATCCAATTAAGAGGTCTTTTTTTTCTCGAAAACTAAGCAAGATACGAACAAAATTCAAGAGACAAAAAAGTTGTATTCCTAATCCAAAGAACATAATAAAAATAACGCAAAAGTCAGTGACGTACATTTTTTTGTCACAAATATTCTTTCAGATTTCGCTCGAGTCGCCACTGGACATGATAAATTTAATCAAGTTAGTGCAAAATTAGCTCCTTAAAGTTATAAATACCACCACCTATTTACAACAAAATTAGGTAAAGAATATTTAAGATATTTACGAAAAAAAAATTAAATTTTCACACCTTGTGTCTTGACAGCGAAGAATTTGAGGACCTATGTTTATATGAATTTTTTGTCTTAAAAGTACTCAGCGAATTATCTGTTAAATTTATGGTACATACTTAACATCTTGTATATGGTGAAGATAACAGGATGCAAGGTGTCACTCCTTATGTTAATTTACCGCGTTCCAGTAAATCCCAAAATCCCCTACTATGATATTTAAAATAACATCTTTCTTGTACTTGCGCCTCCTATATCCATTTCTCGAAAATTTGTTGACAAATGAAAACGGGTATTTCAGAACATTATACTCACATATACAAACACAAACCACAAAGGCGAAATAGATCAAAATTTCGTAGCAAGTGGCAAGCAATATATATTCTCGACCAAGCTCTTCAGCAATACTCCGAGTAATCCATTTTGCTGAAAAAGAATATAAAAAGTGCTACTTTGTTCTTATTTGTTCCCTCATCAAGCCAATATGCTTATTGTGTTTCTCCCACCATGGCCCTTTCATTTGATAACAATGCAATATAAATCGTCATGTTGCGGCAGCCGCCATATTGGATTTAGGATGACGTCACCTTGATACCCATAATCATAGGGGTGACTGTGAAAAATGTAAATCGCCATTCATGACGTCAGTCTGCTCATTGAGTTTCTCTCGTCAATCCCTTTCATTTGATACCAATATCAAATTATAATATGTTGTGTTGAGTAGTTCTGCAAATGAGTAATCGCTTTTTTTACACCGAAGTGTTTTCAAATTAACTGATACAATAGTCAGATGTGCAGCATTGTGTCCCACGCCTTTTCGCCCTCAGTGTGTCGCATTGAAGGATATTGATATTCGTCTCATAGGCACAAAAAGAGATGGTTTTGTTTGGACCTGTACAGCATGTCGTGAACTCTTCTTGGGAGGTGAGTCTATCATACCCCCTTTGCCAGTCATTTTGGAAACCAATAAAGCAAAGAGCATTAAGTTAGCAGATTTGGAGGATAGTGTTAAAAAATAGCTTCTAAACTTGATAATACATACAATAAATTATCTTCGAGTAGTAATCATGTTAAGACTACATGTATGTGTGTATGCCAATTATCATAATCCTGGATCAGAAAGATTACACTTACGTCTTTTAATGATTGTTCTAGTCCCTTGATAAGGGGCTTTCCCTGTATCGATAGCTGTCTTGGGTAGAACCGTCCGCCTAACATCATCAAATCGAATTTGCTCATGTTCTTCTGAGAATCTTGTCCATTTGTCCCGTTCGTCAGGTTTAGACATAGTTCAGTTGAGATTCAAAAGTAAAACGTTTTAGCAGAGTGTATCCACTTTTCGATTATATCTAGCAATATCCAGGAACTCTGATCAATGAATTGTCACGATGACACTTCCCTACTGGTCCCATCTCAATGCAGTTTTCAGGCACCGACTGTCCCCCAAGTTTGCTGTCTAATGTTATTAATATAATCTACATCTTAAATTCTTCATAAAATTATCTCTAGAAAACAAAATGGACATACCTGTATGTATAAAAGTTTTTCAAAATACGTCCAATACTAAAGTTAAAATATGTGTGAAATTTTTGATAAGAATTCTTGCCAGAATCCGAAGTCATTTCACATGTGTCTGGTCCCGTTTATCATGTAGGTACATTCTATTACCTAGTAAAAAGTTGCAACACAATGGAACATTTGCGACTTCAGGATGCTAAAAATAAATTTTCTTTATCGTTGGCTATATGCGAACGATGCTCTCTACATATACCTACCATATAAATAATTTGGGGCGCTAATTTTTGTTATCAGCGTAAAAAAATTGAATAAGGGTCTTGGTCTTGAGGGGTGAAGTATTGATGAAAATCACTTACCCGGGGCCACCGGTGAATCCTGGCATTAAATTAATATCCAATTTGGAATCTATGCACCCAATTAACTCAAGTTCCCACCCACCCTCTAGGTCATAGACGCGCAACAATTTTAAGAGATTTTTTATTAGTCGTTATTTGAGAACTAGGACTCCTGCCAGTAGCTCGAAAATGGGTCAAAAATATGTCAAAAAACTACATAATGTCATAAAAAATCGATATAATGTAATTTTCTAAGGTACTGGTGCGGCACCTGTATTACATAATTGAAATAGAGATTGTATCGATTTATGATTATGTAAGTTTTTCTATAAAATGTCACCTTTGAACTAGCTAAAATTCACTTCATGCTCACTTATAGTAAGCGCGGAATGAGCTAGAGGCACACTAGCGACTACCTAGTGCATAAGTTGCCATTTTACCGATCGATTTTTTTGATATCATTTAGGTACTTAGTTTTTTTAAGTAACAACCTTGCCGGTGCCACTAGACCTTTGCTACGCCGCTGGAATTTGGGGATTTTTTTACAGTATAGCAATTCTGATTGATCTCTGTGCTTGTTCTTGCGGAATTCTGTCTGGCAACACTGCTTAGCTTGTATAGTAGAGGTTAGAATTGGGAATTGGGAGTTGTAAACAAACAACCAAAACAATGATCGTTCTAGCGTTCATTATGACGAAATAATGAACAAAATAAGGCGCTTTAAGGTAACTGTAGTGTAACTGTGCCATAGGCCATGAATGAGGAAGCTCAAAATCAGGCCATCTTCATTGAGATGGCAACAGAAGACAAAAGGGAATTAGTAGAAGTAAACCTAATCTGCAGATTATGTGCCAACAAGTGCGACAAATTGGTGCCAATTTATAATGACAAAGATGTTAATACTAAACTAGCTACAAAAATTAATACGTATTTGCCTATTAAAGTGGATAAAACAGATGTATTACCACTGCAATGTTGCTGGCATTGCACTTCAACAGTCTTTGCCTGGCATGAATTAGTTTTGACTTGTGTGGAAGCAGACCAAAGATTTAAAAATGTAACACTGTTTACTATGAATGACACGGAATGCCCTTTAATTAATAATGAAGATGGAAGTAGTAATCAACAGGAGCTTTGCAGGTATTCATTGTGTGCAGTGTGTGGCTATAAATTTTCTGTTGTATTGCAGTTCTGGCATTGAAATCGAATCCATAATCTATAAACAATTTTAAGCTACAAGTGAGCATGAAGTGAATGTCAAGCAGTTCAAAGGTGACATCTTATCGGAAAACTTGCATTAATATATTTATTTATTTAAACTCTTACAAACACATTTGAATATAGTTATATGTAGGAGTGCTTACTGGCTAGTAGAGAAACAGAGATTAAGTACACAAAAACTTATAACTAAAAAATAACGACAAAGAAAACCTAATAATGTCATAATGAATAGATATGATATCACTACTTAAGTGACATAATATGGGTGCTGCTCATGTTTGGCTTTCACCTTTTCAAGCAACCCAGTTTGTAACAGCTGTGAAATGATGGTGTCATAAACTGGCCCTTTGTGATGTCACCATTAATGACAGTTTAGACTTAAGAACAATAATAACCTTGCTTAGGTCGTGATTTAAATGTGGTTCTTATATGTCAAACTTGAATACGTGAACATAACATAACCCTTTCCTATTCTTATGTGCTTCTTATGTTTTTAACATGACCTCAGAAAAAATTAAAATACATTAATTTATTATAAAATTGTCATATTTACATGAAAATGTTCATTTTTTCCTTTCCTTTTTCCATCATGCTGTCAAAACTTAACATGCCTTTATTTGGAAACTTCAGATGGAGCAGCTCTATCATCGATTGAATGCCTCCAACTGGACAAATTATTTATATATTTTTTCTATTTATTTTATGAATAGCTAAATAAAAGCTTGTTTTTAAAAATGTATTTTTTATTTTATTTTTCACCATTTATGATGTCAAATAACTAGTTTGGTAATTTCTATATAAGTTTCATTTATAGAGGACTCCATAAAACTCCTAAATTTATTTGTATTATAAAATGTCAGTCATAGGGGGGTGACTGTGATGAAATATGTAAATCGCCATTTTGCGGCGGTCGCTGTTTTGGATTTAGAATGAAGTCTCTTTGCTTATTTTGTTTCTGTCATCAAGCTCTTTCATTTAAAAAAAGTCTGTAAAATAGACACCTTCTAAACCTTGCAATTTATTTGCAGGGACAACGAATCTACAAGTGAAGAAACAACCTTACAGCAAAACAGTAATTCTGAAAAATCCTGTCATGACAACGTATCAGCCTCTTGTCAAGAAATCAGATCACATTTTGGAAAAAATACAGATTTCAATGAACCAGACATGCCCTTGGGAAACTCTGAACTATGTGAAACATTTAAAGATAAAGATAACACATATTTTAAAGGAGAACAGCTGAAACAAGAAAACATGCATCCATGCAATGAAGGGTATTCCAAGTGTGAAAGTGAAAAAAGTAACTCAAAGAAAAGAAGACAGTGGCATAGGAAATTGAACCAGGAATTACTCACTGAATCCAAACTTGAGGTCGATGGTAAGGTCTACTACAGCTGTAAACAGTGCGGAAAATGTTTACATTCTATATATACTTTCCTGACCCACATCAGAATCCACACTGGAGAGAGACCACATCAATGTGAACAGTGCGGCAAGAATTTCCGAGTATCCCAAGGATTGTCACGACATATGAAGGAAACACATCAAAAGATCAAGAGCTTTGCTTGTGATTTGTGTGAAAGGAACTTTGCTTCTCGTAGAAACGTCATTGAACATCGGCGTATTCACACTAACGAGCGTCCTTACGTATGTGATCTATGCGGGAAAACCTTTAAACAGAAAGCATCATTATTCGTTCACAACCGATCGCACACTGACAATTTTCCATTCAAATGTTCTTATTGTGATTTGAAGTTTCATACAAAACCGCCCTTAAAGGTTCATATTACAAAACACACAGGTGAAAAGCCGTTTTCATGTGATGTGTGCGGTAGGCCTTTTAGGATAAAGTACGAGTTGAAACGACATAAGTTGGTTCATTCTGACGAGAAACCGTACGGTTGTGATATATGTGGAATGAAATTTAAACAGAAAAGATATTTAAGGAATCATAGATTGGCACACAGGCCTAATTGTAAAAAAGTTTAGGTCATTTTTGAACTGGCAACCCATAGTATCGATTTGTAATAGAATAGAAGTGGCCAAGAGAAATTGCTGTAAATCATTTTCAGCTTCCTAAAGTGGCCGCTAGGTGGTGTCACCACAATTTAAAAAATTTAAATGTCATTATTTTGCAAACTCATAATTAACACACTCATTAAATCGTCTCAACTGCTCAATTTTCGAACTTTTCTTTTTGTCGTTTTTTCATATTTTTGTTAGTTTATGCTGAGGAAAGTATTGAATTTGAGCTCCTAATGAATGCTCAATCTTGACTGGTTAGTTCCGTTTATAGCCGGTAGATGACGCTTCGTAGATGTGTCCGCGTTTTCTTTTGAATATTTAAAATACCTACAACGATAAGATTCTTTGTATATTGATCAGAAAGTGCTATAAATCCAATGGTTGAAATCGCAGACCAATATCTTAATTCCTTATTGAGATGTACAGAGTAACTCTTTTTAACATGGTATAAAAACAAAATTAAAAGTGTTGCTATAATTTTAATCATAAATTTTGAAAGTACAGGGATGCGGATTTTACTTCTTAAGCACAATGTTGTCCATCCTGCTCATATCACTCCTCCAATGATGCTCTTAAATGTTGGAACATCTGCTGAGACATTTCAGTGGGAATGTTGTTAATTGCCTGTCGAATGTTGTCTTTTAACTGCTCCGTAGTGGCTGAAGGATCGGAGTAGACGATACTTTTTGAATTTCCCCACAAAAAAAAAAAATTCGAGGGGCGCAAGGTCTGGCGATCTTGGCGGGAAAGTGATGTCCCCAAATTTCAAAATAACAGTTCATGGAAACAATTCACGTAAAATGTTCATTGATGTTGCTGCTGTGTGTGCTGTCGCCCCATCCTGTTGAAACCAGGTCCTGTTTGGGTCTTAGCAAGAAAAGTTTTGAAGAGCCGGAGTCAAAAATTGCTGAAGCATTGCAGTATACCGTTGGCTTGTCACAGTTACAGTGCGGCCCCGGGCATCTTCAAACAAGTAGGGCCCAATTATTCCAGTAGCCGACATAGCACACCAAACTGTAACCTTCTTGGAATGTCACACCAGTACCGACAGTTCTGTTTGTTTACGTAGCCCTCCAGGTGGAAGTGAGCCTCATGGCTGAATAGAATGTGGTCTAAGCCTCCTTCACCCCAAAACATATACATCATTGTCTCACAATAATTGTTTCGAATTTTGTGGTCCGTAGGTTTTAACAACTGTACCAAATGAATTTTGTACGGATGAAACTGTAAGTCTTTGGTTGAAATCCGTTGAACACTTGAGCGATGAATATGCTAGGCCTGATCATGTTTTCGGATTCAGCGCCTGGAATTGTCATTCGCAGCACGGCGCACAATTTGAATGTTCTGTGGCGTTCGATTGGACTTCTGTTTCCCTGGGTTCTTCTGATTTGACACTGTACCTGTTTGTCGAAATCTTTTAATCCAGGATTTTTTTAAATTTTTCGACGGAGTATCACGAACACGCGGAATATTGTAACGGTTGCAAAAAACTCTCCACATAGGAATCGTTATATTTAAAAAACGCCTGGACCATAAACGCACGTTGCTCATTCAACAACTGCTCCATGGTTACCGCGATACACATACACTGAAGATAGGATGTTGCGCATGTGGGCGGAGCTTCGTGATGTCACCCAGAGAGTTGTCGGCTCGTGGTCACCAGCGGCCAGGATTGTCGTAACATTACTGCAGTGCACGTGTATTGTGGTTAATACTATATAGTGCGATTTGTTGGTGATTTTTGGTGGGTTTGTGACTTGTATTAGTTATACATATACCCTGTGATGTTAGTAAATTGATAAAAATGCAGTGTGCTGTTGTGGGATGTAAATCCGACAACCATTCTAAACGGAATCCTTGCAAAGACATGAGGTTCCACAGTTTTCATCAAGACCCAAACATTAGCAAAAAATGGCTACATCATACAAAAAGAAAAATCAAAGTCAATGTAAAAAGCGCTAGTGTTTGCTCGAAGCACTTTTGTGAAAGTGCCTATAACGTCAATTTGAAACATACCCTTTTGGGTTACACCCCTAAAAGACGATGCCATTCCTATGGCAAATTTACCCAAGTCCCTATCATCCCCTGGACCCTCCACATCTGTTGATGGCTAAAAGCGTAAAAGTGCTTACGAAGAAAGGCAAAGGGCTCAACTTATCCCCTAGAGTTTAAGTATAGAATGAGGTCATAGATTTTGGGGCGAAACGAAGGCGCATACTCAGAGTATTGCAGCGAAGGGGAAGGGGATACTCCGGACATTCCACAAACCGCATCATTAACGAATAAACTGAATGCACCTGAAGTATCAGCCGACTATAACGAGGAAATTTTAGTGGAAGAAATAGATGAGCTCGAGTATGATGGGCTGGAAAATTTGGCCGACTTTGTTTGCCATAAATTGCAGGATGAGAGGTTGAAAAGTTCCTCAAATGATAGATAGGATGGATAGACCATCTTAGTGACAGCTTTCATGAACCAAATTGAGAAGCTTAATAAGGTGTTTACTACAATCAATAGGGACGGAATAGTGACAGAAAAGCAAAATTTTATAAGCGAACTTCTGTTGAAGAGCAGCAACATTGTTTGCCCTGAAAAAGCTAAGAAACTATTTCTCAGGTAAAGGATGTTCTTCCGGATCAAAGAACTGAATATAAGTTTGCAAGACCAGAAAAATCGTAAAAGGAAATGGGGAAAAATTGTGGCTTAGACTAAGTCATTTCCATTTATTGTTATGCCGCCAGCTTACTGCAAAAAGATGATAACTCCATTTTTCTACTTTTCTAGTTGCGTACATTTTCACACTTGCATGTACCGGGTGCGCCAGAGAAACTTACTTATTTGAAAAAATTCCCGCGCGGTGAGCTGGGCGGGTAGAGGGGCGAGAGGCGGCGCATCTGGAGGGGGAAGTTCCCAAGTTTATTTCTCGCTCCAGTCAGTTGCCATCATGCTCTGGTCTAGAGAACAGCGGGCCTTCGCAGTCGAGAGCTTCTTTTCTAACGGTCGCTCAGTTGTTGCTACGCAACGTGCCTTCCGCGCTCGCTTTGAAATTCCTCCTCACAGACTCGTTCCTGGCCGTAATTCGATTCTGTCGTGGGTTGACTCATTTCGGGAGTGTGGAAGTGTCGCTAAACCCAGAAATGGACTTCAACGGACCATCAGAACTCCGGAAAATGTCGAAAGAGTGAGGCAGTCAGTTGTGCGTTCTCCCCGGCGTTCGGCTCGCAAACACGCAGCTGCTATGGGAATTTCTGACACTACTGTTCGACGAATTCTCCATGAAGACCTCCATTTTCATCCCTATAAATTGGCTGTTGTTCAAGAATTAACTGAAAGCGATTTTGTTGCCCGTCAAAATGCATGTGAAATGCTGGTTGACAACCTGCCTGAAGACGCGGTCGTTTTTTTCAGTGACGAGGCTCACTTCCACATTTCCGGCTGCGTCAACAAGCAAAACATGCGTTATTGGTCTGGTGTGAATCCACGTGAGCTTCACCAGAAGCCACTTAACTGTGAGCGAGTTACAGTCTGGTGTGCGATGTCGGTAATGGGAATAATTGGTCCTTATTTTTTTGAAGAAAACGGACGCGCAGTTACCGTGAATGGAGCTCGTTACAGGAACATGATCGAGGAATTTTTTCTTCCGAGACTCGAAGAAATGAACGTTAGGAACGTGTGGTTTCAGCAAGATGGAGCCACAGCACACACCGCACGAGACTCGATGAATTTGTTGCGACAACATTTCCCCGACCGCCTCATCTCTCTCAGAGGCGATCTCCAATGGCCGGCACGATCTCCAGATTTGACTCCCTGCGATTTCTTTTTATGGGGTTATTTGAAATCTCTGGTTTATGTCGATCGACCACGGACCATAGCACACCTCAAGAACAACATTCGCGACGCCATTGCCAACATACCGATTGATATGCTGCAAAGAGTGGATACGAATTTCAAAAATCGACTTCATCAGTGTATGCGCAATGGAGGTCGCCATTTATCCGATGTCATTTTCAAGACTACATGAAAAAAAAATTGGGATATTGTATTCTCGAATAAAAAAAAAATAAAACAATAATTGAAGTAATTTTGTTTTTATTGACCTTTCAAATAAGTAAGTTTCTCTGGCGCACCCTAGTTAGTACTGAGGACGTTCTGTGAAATAAGGATGAATAAATGTTGTGCAGTATTAACGTCATGAGCATGTTAATCCTGCTCCACAGAACATACTAAAATATAGATAATGTAGAAAAATCTTGTTTTTACAGTAAAGTGACGATACACGCTCTGTTATGGAGCTAGAAAGTCGTTTAAGCTATAGCCTGTGAGATAGGAATTACAAGGTTGAAATCTTTTATTTACATCCGCCATTTTGTTTTGTATAAAATTTTAATGTAGATTGTGTCACTCGCGCTGCTAAGACGAATCCAACGACACCTCATATGTAAAAATCTATCAAGGCGTTTGAGCTGTAGCCTATGAAATATGCATTACAAGGTTGAAATCTTTTATTAAAATCCGCCATTTTGTTTTGTATAAAATTTTAATGTATCTAGTGTCACTCGCACCGCTAAGACGAATCCAGCGACACTTCATACGTGAAAGTCCGTCCAGCCGTTTGGCCTGTAGGTGAAAATATGCACGTTATCCATATCAACCCAAATGATAATCACTCTCAGCGTGACGTCATGCGCGCCGGCAGACGAAAATCGAACAGCGGTGCATCCGGCACTGCATGGTTACTGACCACGATATACTGTTGCGCATGTGAGCGGAGCTTCGTGACGTCACCTTGAGAGTTGTCGGCTCGTGGTTACTAGCGGCAGGATTGTCGTAAAACGTCACTGCAGTGCACGTAGCGTGTGGTATATAGTGCGATTTGTTGGTGGTTTTGTGACTTGTTGTATTAGTTATACATACTTTATATACCCTGTGTGGTTGATAAATTGATAATAATGCGATGTGCTGTTATGGGATGTAATTCCGACAACCAATCTAAACGGAATCCTTTTAAAGACATGAAGTTCAACAATTTGGCCGGCTTTGTTTGCCATAAATTGCAGGATGAGAGGATGAAAAGTTCAAGCTCAAATGAAACTTATTTCTGGATAGACTATCTTAGTGCGGATTACCAAAACCTTCCATAGCTTTTATGAATCAAATTGAAAAGTTGAACGAGGTGTTTACTACATTCAATGGGGACGGGATAGTGACAGAAAAACAACATTTTATAAGCAAACTTCTGTTGAAGAGCAGCAACATTACTGCCTTGAAAAAGCTAAAAAACTATTTTTCAGGTCAAGGATGTTCTTCCGGATCAAAGAACTGAATAAAAGTTTGAAAGACCAGAAAAATCGTAAAAGGAAACGGAGAAAAAAATGTGCAAGTCATTTCCATTTATTGTTATACTGCCAGCTTACTGCAAAAAGAAGATCTCCATTTTTCTGCTTTCCGAGTTACGTACATTTTCACAAGTACATGTACTTAGGATGTTCTGTGAAATAAGGACCAATGTAGTGCAGTATTAAGCTAGAAAGCCGTTTAAGCTATTGCCTATAACATAGGAATTACAAGGTTAAAATATTTTATTTAAATCCATTATTTTGTTTTGTATAGAATTTTAATGTAGCCAGTGTGACCCGCACCGCTAAGACGAATCCAACGACACTCCAAATATGAAAATCCGTCCAGCCATTTGGCCTGTAGGTGCAAATATGCACGTTATCCATATCAACCCAAATGAGAATCACTCTCAACGTGACGTCATGCGCGCTGGCGGACGAAAATCGAACAGCGGAGCATCCACCACTGGTTACCGACAATCCGCACGTAGTCGCCGCAAATTACCAGCTTGACTTGCCCCTCTACTGTTGTACAGGGCGCGTTCGAAAAGGAAAATTACTCGTAGTCACCCAGTATTAAGAAATATGCTTAAATTACAAATTCTTCTGGATAAGAAGAAACATTTTTCCTATGAATAGTTTTGTAAATTGTTTGACGCGGTTTTGAGATTTTTCACTTAAGAATTTATTTTAACGCTTTTTCATAACCGCTAGGGGGCGTAGTGATCGCGTGATATATGAAAATCATTCTTTCTTCAGTTGGTTTTGCAATATGAAAAATTCATAAAATACCGTGTTTTCTGCCTATTTTCCCTATTTAGATATAAAAAGGGTGTGATTTATGAGATAGGTCACATCGATTGTAATATAGCGGCTATTTCATTTGAGAATATTAATAAAATCATGTGTCATGTCATGACATTCTAGATCAGAAGCAAAATAATAAAGTAATTTTTTATTTTAAATGATTCTTTTTCTTAAAAGCTGTCCTAAAAAGGCCGGTTTGATTTCCCAGCGAATTGGAGTACTTTCAGGCAAGTTATTGATGTCTGGTCTCGTATTAGAACTGCTTCCAATAAATATTTGACGTTTGTCACGATATTTATACTACTTTCGCACAAGCACGGCTTTAGTTGATTGGAAATCTCACGGTCGAATGTGTTAATCATTGATTTTACTGACGTTTCGATTGATGTGGCGAACACCTAAATGCAGTGTCCACTACAGTAGCGCTTCGTTCTGATGAACACGACCATCATACAGCACATTAGCTATCAATAGGAGATCTTGTAATAGTGGTATTCTATGTACTTTAGTAATTAGTGCTTACTTTCTCAATGCTTTTTAGTTTCGGGAATATCTGTATTGAATGAAATACAGTAATTTAGCGTACTTAGAGTTTATAGAATATGTCACTTACATAAGGTAAATAATTTAACAATAACGAAAAATAGAACTATCTGCTTAAATACAGGTTTCTAAAACAATGAAATCACATCAAGGAATAACACCTACGAACTGGTACACCGCCTGATGTAGTAGCAAAGAAATGTGGATTATTGCGCATATCACCAGGTATGGGTACCTGTAAGAAGAAATAAAAAAGGTTTAATAATGTCTATTATTGTGTTGGTGAGTATGCAATCATAAAGCAACACTGGACAGATATATTAAAATTTATAAAACCAAAATGACGCATTTAATGAAAATTTCAAATCGAATTTGAAACAGTATGGAGCCTATATACTAGGAGAAGGGATGGCAATACTGTTCGTGCAGTAAAAAACGATCCCGAAACCTGATGCCTGGAGTACCATTGGTGCTTTGACAAGGTTGCCATGTTGCATGATTTTCCCCAAATTGGGGGTATTTTTACTTTGGGGGAAATTTTTTGAGGATATATTATGGTTCCTACTCCTTTCCATTAATTAACTGTGATGTAGGGATTTTTTTTAAAATAGTAATTCTAAAGGATATTTGTGTTTGTTCTGAGGAAATTCTGTGCTTTGACAGATCCGCCATATGAACTCTTTCCTAATAGTCTAGGATACGGCCGCTTGAATATGCAGCTAACATTTTTTCGATAAGACTTGATTTTTGTAAATGATAAATAATAGTAGAATATATTAGAGCAGGGTCGCCTTTGCCAAATTGCGGCTTAAAATAAGCTTCATCACAATAGAAATGAGAATCACCTTAACACTCGGTGTATCAATCACTCAGGTGCTGCAGGTGCTGTTGATGTGCTTGCGTTAGACTCTCGACCCAAACTACTACCCGGTGAGTCAGCATTCTCGTTGATCAAACGCTGTCTCTCCCTGTAAGAGAATACACAAATCAATCGATATGTTTGAGATAACATGAAAAAAATAACATTAATGTGGTTACGTCCAACCTCGAGTCTTGACCAAGGGGTAAACGCATTGGCTATCCGATGTACAAGCAGCTGGTTGCCCCGTAGTTGTCCGTGGCTATCGTTGGCGGTAGAGAGAAATGACTCTGTACACTTTTCAGCTCAAGAATGCGATAAAAATGTATAATTACAAAGGCCTCTAGATACAGAATCTAAAAAGGCATTAAATATAGATATAGTAATTAAAATTAAATTTCTTTTATGGGCTGGACTAATGAATAGTAAATGTATTAGCCCATTTTGACTAACAGGAAGATTGTGTGGAGAAACTTAGTTGAATAATCTTCGAAAGAATCTACAAGACTTTTTAGAGGAAATGTTAGACAAAGCCACAAAATAATTTGATTCAATTATGTTATGTTCGGGTTTGTAAACACAATGCGCGCGGAATTAACTATTTTTTAATTCGCACCTACTCTGGGCGATTCATAGGATCTATTTATATTTAAGGATTTTACTGTCCCTATTTCCTACTGAGATTACAAAGAGTTGATAATTGCGGTTATAGGATCAGGTAATCAGCACTGTCTCAGTCATACTTGTATTACCCATGCAGCATTTTGTTTATCCTGCACAAAAACTCTTTAGGAAATTTGTACAGGCTTTGTTGACTGTGATATAATATTTTTGACAACAGACAAAATCTGCGGTTTAGCCGATTGCTGTGCCTACATTAACCGTTTGATCCATGACTTTTGGGATGCCCTGTATATGGAAAATCCTGTGGTATTAGGAATATATTATGGTTCTGTATTATTCTTTTAGATTTTAGAAAAAAAGTAATCTTACCTGTACATTGACACGCGTATATTTTCGAGCTGGTGGTAGCGACAGAGTTTCAGCAGAGCACACACTGAAAGACCCACCCAAGTGGCAAAAGAGCCCCATACACCAAACTGTGCTGTGCCTAAATGAACATAGAAATTGTCAGTTTTTATTTGGTCTGCATGGTCTATGTCTTGTCCTGCTGCCATATCGCATCTGAAATAAAGTGTGAAATATGATTGTGACTGTTTTGCGAGACCTATACCTCATGTTTAAGTTAGACCCTCTAAGAAAAAAGTTAGTTACGAAAATGTATAATATATAATAAATGGATCAAGTCCGTCAAACATGTCCCTACAATTAGTCCATAACATCCTTTAGCTGCTCTACCCGCAGTACCGTCCATCTGGCAACGTCACGTCGCCTCTCCTCAACCACTCATGCAGGACACATACGAACACCGGCATGCCGGGCGCGACTGTTGAAGTTAGTAGGCACAACAATGCTTGACAAACACAGTTCAAGTTTTAAGGGCAAAAATATGTGGCAATCTATGATGTGTGAAAGATGTCTAAAAGGTACGTAAAATTATCGGAGTTAGAAGTGTATTAATATACCAACATCAAAAAATCATGGAGTATCAAAAGAGAATTGTCAGTTTAAAATTTTCTAACCTCAATACTCTGGGAAACCCCGCCTTAATATCATTTATTACTTACGATGGAAACCTTTGTGTCATAGTCTGACACCAAGCCATGAATCCTAGTGTAATCATTAAAGCAGCTATTATTGTTATTCCACATAGTAGCAGGCCAGACATAACATCAATGAAAGCAGAAAGAAAACTGCTATCTGTACCTTTGTAGAGGTGGTGAGACAACCTGTAATATAAATTAAATGTTTTTGTGCAATTAGATTAAAACTTCCGAAAGTAACTAAAGTAAGATAAAAAATGATGAGTCTTTTTTTGTTGTGAAAGCAGTCTTTAACACTTATTTGGCTCTTCACAAGTAGACACTTACTTTTGAAGAGCTAAGACTGGTTAATTGACTTTCAACAAAAGAATGAATTTATAGAATGAGAATATATGTATCACAGATCCCTTCTATCAGATTGATCAGATGTAGTTAATAATGCTGAAATGAGTACAAAATTACCTATAAATCTGGATGACAGAGACTAATGCTAACATAGCTCCAACTGTAATTGTAAAATTGCAGTAACACTGTGATGCCCATGGTACTAATAATTGTCCATCAGCTTCTTGCCATTGTCCAGTGGAAAAAAGCAAACAGTGGCCTCTGAAAAATAAAAAAATATTTTTAATATATTATTACGAATGTAAATAAGACGATGTTTGGGAGTTTAAATGAAACGATCCGCTCCGCAACAACGCTCGATTTATTCTGCCCCATATATTTACATGTTTTTGTCCGGTACCACTTCTGTGTGTACCTGTGATTCAGCGTCTAATCTTCTCCCAGTGCCGTCCCAGGATACGCTGCACTTTTTTCGTAACAATATTAACACAAATTTCATATACATATTTCAATATCCACTCATTTACATTTTATAAAAGGAGCTTGTTGATAGTTCTGATTTTGATTACAATTTATTTGACATGCGAATTATGTTATATTATTCTTTTGTGGATATTACACATAATATATACTAGAAGAAATCATGAAAATCTTAAATATTGTACACAAAACTATGGTAAATATGCAAATTTTAGGAGGCAACCTGATTATCTGGGACTGGAGATTAATTGTATTTACCTATCTGACTGACCTGATCCATTGAATTCCTTTGTTGTTCCTAGTTAGATCATTTGTGCAGGGTCAACTTTCATTGCTATGCAGATATATAACTATTGTTGTTGTCTGATAACAGTAACACAAGATTGAAAGTGCATCCAATTAACTTGTTTAAGAAGGCAACTGTCAATTTCTTGTGTAGGGAACATGCTTGTATGTCAATTTGAAGTGTTTTTGTATACTAATTCATCATGTTTTGTTTTAAAGCTCAAATTTATGTTATTTATACTGTTCACTTCAGCTGATATTCATGATTGACATTGCTATGTCATTCTTGCCAAGATATAAGATTTCGTTATCAATAAAAGAAATTTAACTTTCCAATTGGGAGCATGAATCGCAGTCTATTCTTGAGTACGATTTGATTGGAATTGAATGTGGTGAACAAATTCAAGTTTGAAGGTACAGCAATGGTTCTCAGACTGATGGAGCGGAAAACACTGTTATGATTTTGTTAGTGTTTGCTTTATATGTGCACTTTAAGCAATATACAAGTATGTTTAGTGTATAACTGGATATACATAACAAAATAACAAGGAGTGTACCTGAAGTCATCCTGGTGCAAACTCATAGGAACCACCACACATAGCGCCAAAATGAACGCAATCACATAACCAGCAATTTGGCTTATGAGCAAAATATTACTTAAAGCCATCTTCTGATAGTATCTATCATTTAACTAGTAGTTTTGTTTTTAGCTATTGTATTATTGTATTTGTTTATAAATAGGGTGAACATTAATTGACAGACTATGACGTTTAATTGACACATCAAGTACGTTATTTCGGGGTGCGTTCGTAAATCACTTGGTAACTAATACCGTACACAGTATAGTGGAATATGGATTGATGGATAAAACTTTAGCCTGCAGGGCTGCATTCGTAACTTGTTACAGAGTGTACTTTGTACTACTATGTAACACTTTTAGCGTTCGTAATTACTTGAGGTACATGTTCCATGCGTTCGGAAATAGAATAAAGTAATACTTCTGCAATGTCAAAAGTGCGCTTTTCTTTCCGTGCTGAAAGCCCTGGGAATAAGAGTGTTGTCACTTGTCATTCTCATGGTCCATTGTCGGTTAATTTATTTGTTTATCAAAAAGTGCTCAAAATTGGCAGAATATACGGGCTTCCTCGTATCCATAGCGTTTCCTATAATGAATAATACAATGGTCGCAGAAAACGTGGTTAGAAATTAGTCTGCTGTCATCACATGACTGTAATAATTTAGGCGTTCTAAAAATAAAGTTTCACGGTATTGCATAGTAAAATTTCATCTGCTAATCTATATTTCTTTACCATAGGTTAGATAACAATGTGCTAACAATCAGCTATGAAACTCCTGTCAGACCGCCTTTACGGAGAAAATCTGATGTAAATTCCCCTTGTACAACGATACAAGAAGTTTTAGTGTCCAGTCACAGGCGGTGTTGCCACGTACTTTGCCAGCGACCTGTCAAATCTGATGTCTGACTCGCTTGTCTCGTCTCTCTATTCGTCATTAATCAAATTCAAGCGGATAACCAAATGGAAATAGTATATACCATTTTGGGTTGGTATTTACCGATCTGTTCAAGCGAGTGTAGTTATCAGTTTGGTTATAAGATCCGTGACGTCACGAATCAGCTGTTATATGTCATAGTTATCACCGCAAAATTGTGGTATTTACCCAACTCAAGAGTAGTTCTATATTTCTGGTTATTATTTGAAATGTGACAAGTTAGAAATTTGCCGGGTATTGGATATTGTTATTGTACTTCAGCTTCATTTTTGAGAAAAATGATACAGGCTGACTTCAGTTTTACCATAAAGTGGAGCACCTTATTAGTTATACTCATTACGGTTGTTGGGGACACTTTAAATGTAGTTCCTATGCTTAACAAAGTATCCTTTGTAGCCATATACCACAAGAATATTAAAATATGGCCATATAAAGTCACTAGATGATATCCACCTGTATACGGTTTTGCTAATTTCTATTTTCATCATTTCTGCTGAATCAATAAATGTTTTCTTTGACATGCGGAAAAATTTAGAGAATTGAAAGTTATCATAGCTACAAAGTCATGGTTCCATCATTAAAAAAAAATCTGAAAGAAACATTTCTCCCATGAATATTATGAAAGGTTTCTTATTTAAACCTTCCATACACAGTTGTAGACGAAAAAGCCCCGATTATTAAGAGATAATAAAAATAATCAGAGATTATATACGCGCTTTTCTAAAATAAACAACTTGCAACAAAACCGCGGTTAAAACCAACGCGTTCAAGCGATTCGTGTAACTGACATCATCAACCCGTGTGTCATCTTGAACCATATTATAACCGCGGCACATCATAACACAGAAATTTTGGTTATTCGCTTGGATTTGATTATTGTCTGTCAGAGCGCTCCGTAGGACCTTGGTTAAAGTCAGTAGGTCTGTCAGGTCTGGTTGTTCAGACTCAGACTTCAAAGTCGGGGAGAAAGAAGCGAAGAAGAAAGAAAGGAGGGAAGGAAGGAGGGAGAGCAAAGAAATAAGAAGTGCGCCAATTTGAAGAGTGCCTTGGCATTGCTAATTAGTATTCGGCAATTTTAAATTGATCCTAAAATTAATTTAGAAATTGGATGTTGAAGAAAAATTATAATTTTGGTTGGACCTAAAGTCGCACGATTTACTTTTGTTCACAGCGCGAGTCCGGGTCTTGTGTGCTTGCGAAGTTGCACGACTGTGTAGTAAGAAATCTCGTCACATTTAAACTGAGATGGAAGAGAGCTCTGAGGATCAAAGCCGGTTGGTGTAGCGGTAGAAGAGAGCTAAATCGCGTACGGCCCGCAGGTGCGAAAGGGATCCGAGACTGTCTGTTAAAGAAGACCACACACATCACTTTTATTCTCACGGTTTTGAGCACCAGAAGAACTACACTTTTGAAAGTAATATCCGACAACGTTGTCAAATGTATCTCAGTTGTTTTAGATTTGCTCAAGGGTGGAAACGTATGATTGTCCCAAATGCCATGGATCAAATGGAAGGGGGTAGGTAATATAACGGGTCATTTCTAATCAGAAAAACCATATATGCAGCAGCTGCTGATTGATGTGATTTATTCAAAATACTCGTACTTCCTTGTTAGTCTGTGATACTATAGAAGTTGCTCTTTCTTCTTATTATTTAATTGTCCTATCCGAACGGTGGCCAATCATGATAGCTATACGCATCTTATTTGTTGCGTAGCGAAAAAGTTCAGTAGACGCCACTGTGAAGCATTCTCAGAAATTGGCCAGATAAGAAAGTTCCGCACGATTAACAATCTTGCTCTTGTCTATGATACGAGCGATGATTGTCTGCGTTTTGCATTCAGCAAAATTTTTAGGTTCACATTCTATTCCCCGAAAAATTCATATTTCAGAAGCTTATAGCCTTTTTTCTAAAGCTTCCGACAGTGTCCAAACCTCCTCATGGTAGACTCGGATCTCGGCAAGATTGCAGCAACAGAGGTATTATGGATCTTGAAAAGATACATTATTTCAGAGTCAGTGTTGATGATAATTCCATTGGTATTTTGTCTCAAATACACTTACTTGAGATGTATGCAAAGCTAAAAATTAGCTTTTTCTTATTCTATCAAATTTGCTGAATTTCAAAAGAGAAAGCGATGAGAAAATAAAATAGCTGGTTGGTCAAGTATATTAAAACTAACAGGTCCTGGCTGAATTGGATTTTTATTTATCATCAAGTATCTGGGTTAGCTTACATTCAAGGTCAATAGATATTCCTTATGGATTTGATTGACAACTAATAATTCTTTTAGACCTTTCATACTGTCAGTGCTACTTGTAATAGTAGTGTATAATCTGCGAAGCATAAGAGTATATTGTTGATGTTTTCACCGTTAACTTTTATGTCCTGATTAGCGTTTTTTAAGGTATTTTAAAAATACTCTTTGAATAGAGGTTGTTTCAACCGGTACTTATTAAATGTTAATAGGTAGGTGTGCAATATTGCCCATTAAGAAAATCAGCAATTACTAATTTGCATCCACATACATTGTTGTATCTCTTCTCCTCTGTACTAATTCAAAGCTTTAGGATGGCTGCTGTTCAAGACTCTGAACTTATGCTGGCTCTAGACATGGAGCCAAAGTGTTGGCGTGACATTTTACATTAAATTTGTACTTTTGTCTGAAAACATAATATATAAGTGCGTGGGTTCCATACAATCCTAGTATTTCAAACATCTGTCAAAAATGGTGGAGGTTTTTTATCGACAAGTTTTATACGTTATTATAGTGATCGACATTGCGAAAGGGCATGCACATTAGGCATTTTATCTGACCAGTTGTGAGGTAATTTTGTTCATTTCATATCACTTCTTGTTTCATTGAGCACTGACTCCTAAGGTTTGCTAACAGAACTGTTTCCCCTACAACAACATTGAAAAATGCAAAATATCGGAGATAAACCGAATTTTTTGATAGGTACTGAGAATTACTGAAAGTACCTAGTAGTGACAAACACCTTGTTTGCAGAACTTCGCATGTGTGTTTTGGTAATAAAAAGCGCACACGCGTAAGTCTTTGCTGGTTCTATAACTTGTTAATCAAACTTAATTTTGAACGAAGTGAAAGATAAAGCTGCCCAAACGTAATTTGGAATTTGGTTTTTAACGCTTCGATATGATTTCGCCAAATCATCCCTTTGTCTAGAATGACACCGAGATACCTAGTGCAGCTTTCCCATAGTATATGAGCTCCATTCATTCGTACATACATTGCCTGCGTTTTCGAACGATTAATTTTAATCAGATACCGATCCGCTCACTCTAAGACTTCCTTTACTACACTTTGCACCCTGTCGGGGACTAGGTTACCTGACCACGACTGAGCAACCAATGCAGTATCATCAGAATACAGACTGACTTCACAGTTATTGGGGCTAGGGACGTTATGAATGTACAGTGAGTAAAGGTCCAACGACCGAACCTTGAGGGACACCGCTTCTGATGGGCGACGGTGTCGGCAGAACATTGTCAAATTTGATCCGCAATTTCCTACCTTCGAGGTAGAATTTCAGTAGTCTTAGAAGCCACAAAAGATTAGTTTATACATGAGGGCCGCAAGCCGCACGTTGTCAAATGCTTTTGAGACATACAAAAGCAAGATGCTAATACTTTTATTAAAGGTGAATTCTCTGGTTACTCGTTCCACCAGCCTAACCGCCTGTAGCTCCGTACTATGCTAAGAAAACACATGATCGTGTGGTAGCGTCAACGACAAAGGAGACGCCAAATCATTGCCCTCTCGATTGCTTATTTTCCTGTTGATCAAATCGCGCCCATGAGTAAAATAATATTAGGATTGACACGAGAAATATTTAACAAACCATTATCGAACCCCGTTATGCTAACATACTTTAAGTCATACTTAAAGCCCGGCTAACAACTGTTATATACACAAAGATGTGAATGTACCACCGGAAAAGTCTATATAGAGCCGGTGTTATTATAAACGTAAGTCATTTTCGTTTTCGGTTTACCAGTTTTCGGATGAAACAGTCATGAAATGTTTTTTAGTGTTAGTGAGTTTATTTTGTATTGGCACGGCCCTAGAACTGAGTGATATCGATGACTCTTTAGCACTTCTTTGGAAACCTCGTGAGTAATATTTATCGCTATCTTTATAGTAAGATTTTATATTTTATAGTAAGCCCTAAGCTGAAGCAAATTTTGAGCATGCTTCCGTAAGCTAATTTTTTTACTTCCCACGCATGAACAGGACATAAGCATTGATGCATTGTGGTCGCCGCAATTTTAAATTTCCAGACAAGTTTCCCGAATGTTTCACTCGTATAATGTGAACATGTGTTGTATAATGGCTTTGATGCCTGAATATCAAAACTGATAAATTTGATCAACCACTAATTATCCCGTGTCCTCTCATAACAAACACTTATCACACACAATTAATTAATGTCCTTTAGATCATCTTAATGTATAATCATTATTGTCTAGGAACTCGCGCACATGCTCTGTTCTAGACACAAAACTGCTACACAAGTTCATACGGCTTGGCCCTCTCCAATCGTAGAACGGCGTTGGACATGTTCAGCTGAATAGCTACTGAGTTGGGGTATTGATGCAGCCTTTTTTGGTCCCTGGCCACTACTTTCTCGATCTCGTCCATAACTAGAGGGATATTCAAATCGCGATGAATATCCATATTACTAACATACCAAGCGGCATTTACCATGTTCATCAAAACTTTATTTTGGAATCTTTGAATAATTTCGATATTGGGTAACCATAGATCACACTAGTTTCATGATCTGATTATAGGAGGAGGTATTGATATCTAGTTAGCATTGGCCATGTGGAATGCCGAAAACAAAACCTTAGCAACAAAATATAATCTATTATAAGCGTCATTGCAAGGTTTCATGAATGAGTTTAGGCATTACGAAGCAAGAAATTTTGAAAAAAACTTGTCTGCCTCCAGAGTGAAAATGGATAAAATGGAATATCAATAGGTACCTGTATTTGAAGGAGTTATGGAGATTTACGACATTGTCAATACCTTGATGACTGCCCTCTATATGCCACTGTAAAAAATAGGGTTGCTCGCTTCAAAAGAGCAAGATACCCATTCAAAATGATGAGAGACCCGCCGCAGGGGTATTACCTAACTTGCTTGCTTGAACAGTGACACTAGTGGTTTGTTCGTACAGTAGTCGATAACTTGTCGGTGACTGTCAAAATCAGTATTAGAGAGATGTTACCTGTTCGTACAGTTTCTGACTGTTCGCCGACAGCTAGTCCGTTGTTTGTACAGAACCTTCTGTCAGTTCAGAGAACGCCAGTCAATCAGTGACTGTGACAGAATGAGTCGAAACTGTCTTGAGGACTAATATTGCTTCGCGAAAGACGTTTACTGATCGATAACTCTTCTCTAACGGACACTCTAGGGACAATGGCCTGATAGATATGCTCGCCTGACTTCGACCTCCCATCCTAAAGGTGTCGATCTTCGTACATCCAGAACTAACCGATACGACCGCTCCTATGTCCCTAGTGTATCGAGATTGTGGGGGGATAAGGATTAACAAAGTTTCTTTATGCTCCTTATAGCAGTCTCGCTGCCCTGGCATTTAGGCTTTGCCTGCGCAACTGCTTCGGAGTAAAACAACCTTGAGCGATATAATAAGCAGCGAACACGCGTGAATGTCCGAATTTTCTTCGGAAGAGAGAATGAAACCCAAAAACCTGAATTTCGTGGAGGAAACAGTGCCACAATTCAACAGCAACGATTTTCGAATGAGCAAGACAGTCTTACACAAAATTTCTGTGAAATTCCGTGGTAGTAACGATTTGAAATATGAGGCAGCGCCATATGGAAAACGAACTCCGTATAAAGAAACCCGTAAGCTTTTAAGGTTTGCTGGATATCAAACAGCCATCTTCAGAGATATAGCTGATAGGTTCAATATTTCCGTGATTACCCTGCATGCAGTTATATCCAGATTGACCAACTTTTTGAGGAGTCTGGCAACAGAAATGATAAAATGGCTAACAGAAGAAGAAATATATGCGACAAAGCAGTATTTCTATAGTAAAAAATAGATTTCCTAATATCGTTGGCATCACTGATGCCCATATAAAGACTGAAAAATCAGAGGATGATCCGTTATCATATATTAATAGAAAAGGATGCTACTCTATACCGGTCGGTGTGATAATAATCACCTCAAAATTCATCCACGAGTACTGTGTGGTGTCGGAGAATAGTGATGGCGCTGTATTGTTGCACTGTTAAGTCAATCATACATATTATATTCGGCTATAAGTTGTCCCGACTAAAATTTTTTATAGGATTATAAGGTCTAATATAAAATTATATGATTTCAAAATATATGTATTCATATTTGTTTCAATCTCAAATCACTTCAAGCTACGTACTCAATATTTTGTTTATTGGCACTGTAATGGCAGAAATGCAATTCCTAGATTCAGTGTCAAAAATCTGAGGACAAACCTTTCAAGAACCATAATTAATACTATTTTTTGTGAACACTAATCTTTCCGAAATTTTGGTTACAGTTACAAAATGCCTAATTACGCCATTACTTTGTTCCTACCAGTGCTGCTAGTAGTCATGATGATCAACTTTGCCATCTCAGATATTCATATTTATCGGTATTTCTGCTTGTAGTATGTCTCAAGAGCGAAAACGCGACTTGACTTATGATTTTCCCTTGATCAGTTTTTGTATTAAATAAATATAAAATATAATAAAATAGCTGCATCACAAAATCTTCAAAATTATTCATTTCGTTTTTTTTTCGAACAGATTTGGGTTGGACTGGAGCAAGAATATACATACTGTTTGTGTATATGCTCCAAGGCTGGGTGATAACAGTTTGGGAACAAAAACCCTACTATTCTAGTTTTATAAAAACATATTTACAATACATTTTTCTTGAATAATCATCGCAGATATTTATTCATAATTCTTACTTTTTGCATCTTCAACTTGTCATTCGATGTGTGGAATCACATTCCTCCGAATATAACTCCATACTTTTTAAATAAGAGTTGAATGGGAATTACTGAGTAAATCTACTTGACATTTTTTGGTGATGTTAATTTTCTAGAAAGTGTTCCTGGTTATCCGCTCTAGAAAAAATTCAAGCGTTTCCGGGCAATTGGACGGTAAATCCTAGATCATTCTGGTTTACAGAAAATCAAAATACCCGAACTTTTCCAAAATTGTCTACTTCATGCTGAAAGATGTTACATTCGAATAATGATTGTACTTGATTGCGGGCTCTGACAATTTACTGGACAATAATCTGCTGACTAATCTGACACTCATCAAAGTCAGAAGGTTCCGTACGCACAGTAGATCAGTTGTCAGGAATCGGTCCAAGCTCCCTCAGTCAACTAGTAACGTTCTCATGTACGTAATATATACTGTCAGTGACGTGTGAGTGATAGCTAATTGAATAAACTAGATCATGACTTGTCGCCGATTATCAGTTTGCTGACTGTCAGCCAACAGGCTGTACGAACAAACCATATGTCGGTTTTTTTTGACATTATGTAGGTTCTTTTACAAGACGTCAACTTGGAACGAGCGTTCACTTCATACTCACTTGTAGCAGGCGCGGAATGAACTATTTGCACACTAGCCTACTTACTTATTCTACAAGTTGACATCTTATCGTTTTCTTTTTTAAATTATATCGGTTTTTTACGTAATAACCCCGTTGAAAGACCTATTTCAGTGTCAACTCCGGAAAATGTCGACGCAGTTCATGATTTGATATTATCAAACCGTACAATTGGAATAAATCGTAGAGCTGAGACCCTGAAAATTTCATACGAACGCGTTGATAACATCATTCGTGTTGATTTGGACATGGAAAAAACTTATGAAAAATGGATACCCAAATACCTGAGACCGAGAGCGGATCGTAAGCGAGCAGGAGTGGAAAAATCGCCTACAATCCCAAAACCCGAAATTTTTGAACAGCTTAGTACCTGTACATTTCTACGATCCTCCTGAGATACTCTGGTTCGCCGAGGGCAAAGAAATTTTGAGCGCAAAAGTCTACTGGAACAGTACTTACTTTAGTGTTTCGGGACCGTCGTAGTATTGTTTTCAGTGATTTCCGAAAACAATACGGCAGAATATTTTGCGCATTATTAACAAAATTTCGCGAAAAAATGGTGGTGAAAAGATTCGGAAAGATTTACAAAAGGGTTGTGTTCTTGCAAGACAATGAGCCAGCACACAAATCACACGTTTCGATGACAAAGCTTCGCAATTTGGGTTTCGAATTGATGGAACACCCTCCTTATTCACCTGACTTGGCACCCTCTGATTATTACCTGTTTCTAAAGATCAAAAATTTAAAATGAAAAAACTTTCAAGTACTCCGCAAAGCTTTTTGAATGTGCAAAAGGGGAAGTTTGAGAAGGATATGAAATTTGCTTTTTTGCTCAATTTCAAAAACGAAGTAGCAGACCGACCGACAGAATTGGTCGCATAAATTCTTGGAGTACATAATTATTGAGAAGACGTAATCTGGAATTCGGAAATGCATGCAATCACAATACTCCGTTGGCCTATGTGTGGGAAGTCAAATACTAATTCCTAAACTTCGTTTTTGTATGTATTTTAATGATCCGATTATTTTTGGCTGTCGTTCAAAAACTTTTGTGCTATTAACATTTTTACAGACTGAGGCTTCATTTTTGACCGTCTTTTGACATTTTGAATATTATATATAGTCTAATCATATTAGTAAATTTCCCCGAAATAATTGTAAAATCTGGTTTTATTGTTGCAAGTTGTTCAACGCGGTATTTAAAACATGGACCCATAAAATGGGTACACCAATTTATATGGGAAAACTTTTTATATGTCAACAAAGAATGAGAAGACGTGTTTTTTGGGGTTCAATCGAAAGTGTTTACAGGAACGAAATAACTTTTCATACAAGAATTTTAGGTATTTATGAGGCCTACAAAACGAGACCTCAAGTGAAAAGATCCGACTAATAGCAAAAATGTTATGGCCAAAAAACCAGACAAAATGCAGGTTTTCGCACTTGTTGGTAATGCGACAATAATTTCACGTAACCACTTGAAATTCTTCAAATGCCTAGGATTCATACTTCTAAATAACAACAAAATTGGAGAATATTGGTAAAGTAGTTTTGTGAGAATTTCTATTTGTTTGTCCCAAAACACCTGCTTTCCGACCATCACTACTAGTTTATTGAGAAATATACAGGGTTCGTTCAAGGATCATTTAATAGCAAAATACACGTGTTTTATTTTATTGCAAATTACTCACAAATACGAACAGTTTGAATTTGTTTAGAAGAAAAATCTATCGTTTTTTTGCATAAAAAGAACATTTATTTCCGGAATTTATCGGCAAGGTAAACTAGTGCATTTTGCTATAAAATGTCCTTTGCACTAACCCTGTATATTGCTCAATAAACTAGTAGTGATGGCCGGAAGATAGGTGTTTTGGGATAAACATTTAGAAATTCTCAAAAGCTACTCGACCAATCTACTCCAATTTTGTTGTGGTTATTTAGAATTACGAATCCTACGAATTTGAAGAGTTTCAAATATCTGCAAGAAACCATCATCGCATTACCAACAAGTGCCAAAACCTGCATTTTGCCTCGGTTTTAGGCCATAACATGTTTGCTATTAGTCAGATCTTTTCACCTGTGGTCTCATTTTGTAGGTCTCATAAATATATAAAAATCTTATAAGATGTTTTTTTTCGCTCCTGCCAACACTTTCGGTTGAATACCAAAAAACACGTTTTCTCATTCTTTGTTGTCGAATAAAAATTTTTCCCACAAAAATTGGTGTACCCATTTTATGCGTCCATGTTTTAAATACCCCTTGAATAACTTGCAGCAACAAAACCAGACTTTACAATTATTTCACAAACCAGAGGTATTTTCGTCTATGACTAGACTAATAGTCAAAAAACATTTAGGGAGTTCAAGAAATGTAAATTTCACGCAACTACTTTTTACTTCCCACGCCTACTGGCGAGGAAGCATTGAAATCGCGAAAAAGCTCGAAAATCAGATATTATGTTTTTTGGATGTTACATGACATGAACAGCATGATAAACCATGTCACTCATCTCCGTTAGTCTGTCTGTCTGTAAGTCGGTATATTTGTCTGTCTGTCTGTCGGTCGGCACATAAAAGTGTTCGTCAAATAATGGCCGATTCCCCTGTCTAAGTGTGTAATGTACTATTATTTGCAGAGGACGATAAAGGAACTAATGAATGCAAAGTGAATATCAAGGGTGGCATAAAGTACGGATTATGCATGCCACATGCGAAGTGCATTATGACCGGAGGGAGCCCGCAGGGCTTCTGCGGCTTTTTGTCAACATGTTGCATTGGTAAGTAGCAACCGATAATAATAACTTTCAGTTTAATTTTTATGCAGTCCTGAACATATGCATTTTTTCAATGATTGGTTCGAACAGGTGCAGTTCCTGTCCCGGTACACATTTTGAAACGAAAAATAGTTTTTGAAAAGCGGAGCTAGGGTTAAAAACACTAAATAATAGATATTACTCAAATTTTGTTCTTTTACGTTTCAGAGTTTCCTAATCATTTTCAGAAAAATTCTTGTTTGGGGGTGGGCGATGGTATATCAAATTTTTTTGTTGTTAAATATATTCATGCGCTCCCATCCACGGTAATTCTTCGCACCTATCTGCCATATTTCACATATCATGGATTTCCCCGTACATTTGCTGCTCAACTCACTGCCCGGCCTACCAGCGTGGCTGACTGTTCTACCCGCACTGCATTGGTGCTGCGGTGGGCGTTGCCGCGCAGATTTGGGAAGGGCCAACATTGCCAGATGGACAGTAACTATCGGTAGGGTTGGGACGGAATATCGGATAATTGTATGGGCCTGTTTCACACATATATGTACAAAGCCAAATCATTTTCTACTCGAAATTACTGGATATTTTTGGTAAACAAGTAATTACGAGAGTTTGTATGGCGTTTCTTAATTTACACTTTGCCACTTTTTTTCGATGCCGAAAAACAGTTATTTAGAGGGAGACTTTCTGCCATGACAATACATAGCTACGTAACATACTTAACTAGAAAAAAAATCCAACAATATGCTTATACTTTGTGAAACGAGCAGATTTCACGTAATATCATTCCAATGTTTGGAAATCGAACCCGAGTAATTTTTAACAATATTTGAATTTCGAATCTGTATATGATGCTAGTAAATGTATAGCTTCGAAGTTCCACTGAGCTATTCTAACAGGAACATATACAGAAACGCTAAATTAGTTTTATGCATTCATTATTTTCATTTTGAGGCTAGCCGAAAAATTTTTCTAAATGCACATTCACAAATGAGTACCTACTTAAATCAGATATTTCTATAACCAAAATATTTGTAGCACTTAGAGCAGCCCTACGGCCACAGTCTCATTTTACAGAAAAAGTCTAAATATTTTATTATTAGTAATTTTCTGTATTCACTCATGTACGTCGAACCAGTAACTAGTAAATGAACTTTTCTATGATCTGTCACCTTGTTATCTTCATCGTAGTCGTGGTAGGGATACTGTCAAGAACTTATTTTTAAGCGCCATATGTCATAACAGAAGGGAAAAACTAGAAAAAGTAAAGTGAAAGTCCAAAGAAAACATAAGTTTTTATAGAGGCCCAAGACCTCTCAGATCAACCGGTCTACCTAGTTAAAAAAGTTTTATTTTTTTAGGGAATTTTGAACATTTTGTGAAAATTTTACTGTTTCAGTTGAGAACAGCTGCGGTCAGATAAGTGGTGCTAAAATAGGTTACTTCGAAGCTCATGACTTACCAAATGGAATAACTTCGTGCAATTACAATATAAGATTGAGGAATCCAAATATTTGCCAAGTACGGTGAGTGGCACTACATGTGATCAGATGACATTTTGATCTTCTTCTTTGACTTGATTCGCCAATTAGCCAGGAAGTTTAGCAGGGGGAGAATTCAAAATCGAGATTTATGCTTAAGATATCTGAAAAAGTTATATACAAAAAAATACCGCTCTTTATAGGGCGATTTAAAACTATGTGGTTTAATATAAAATTTTTGTAGTATTTGTAGTTTCACAGAAATTGCAATACAAAACAAATAAATACCTCATGATTCGTGGAGGAGAGGGATTTTTCTTGAATGAGAGGTAATGCCGTTCAAGATTTTTCTCATCCACTAAAAATCATACTTTTCCCCGAATCATGTTGTATTTATTTATATTGAATTGTAGTGTCTGGGAAAATATGACAATTTCATGACGTTAATATATTTATATTTGTAATGATAAAGAAATGCTTTCAGTTCGCGTGTTCGTGCTATATAAGCTCACTGCTCGGCGTAACGGTCCGATTGGCTAATCTAGAATCTGCATTCCGATTGTTTTAACAAAATTTTGTCTCACATAGTAATATTTTTAACTTGTTCGGGTGGTTTGATATTTTTCACATTTAACGAACGTATCTGTCTTTTACAACAAACTCAATGTCCCCGTCTTTTTGTTTTTTATACTGATCACAATTTCGATCTTCTCTACGTTCGTTCTGAAACACCTTGAGGCTGCAACCTCACCGACGAGTAAGGTGTCTGTCCTGTTTTCTTTGCTAGCATCACAATTGTGTTTTCAGAATCCTGATGAAGGCTCCATAGAGAATGCCGAAAGCTTGATTTCATCGTCAAAAGAGTCAACTTAAGCCTAAGAGTTTTGCCAATTTTCCCAATTAACAAGTAACTGTATATATATATATATATATATACACGGAATCAACGCGGTAGCGGTGCCGCGCTAGGCGCTGCCGCGTAGATGTGGGAAGGGACAACGTTGCCAGATGAAAAGTAGGGCAGGGAAAGAATGTCAATGGACCAATTTTATGGGCCGGTTTAACTGACTTGATTCGCCTAATTTCTCTGTTGTACATGCTTCGTAACTGACATTTTTCTCACTTAATCCGGCGTTGCGTAGGAAGTGCAGAGTCAACCTACTTGACACCATTTTTTTATATCAAGTAGTTCTGGCCTTAAGCCTGGACTAGCAGCTTTTATTGATTTTTGTAGTTAATATCTTGTATCTTACAGATTGGACTTTATAAAATTCCACTTAGCACCAGCTGTATTGACTCTTCCACAATATGCGACCAACAAAATATACAAATGTTTGGATGACAGGCTCACCATTACCCCAAATGTATTCGATATTCCACCACTATGTGGAAGCAATGACAAACAACATGGTAAGATCGTTGATTCAGGTTTTATTCGAATAGAGACTTTCCAAATTTTTGAACCAATTTTTGTTGCATGTAGCGCGTATGAACCAAAGCTATTAATCTTTATAGCAGTATGTACCAAAACTCACATTTCCCAAGAACTCTACATACTTGAGAAGCAAAACTTTCATTTCTCCAAAATATTTCCTTTAATTATGCCTTCTTGAATAGCCACTTTGCTGCTTCAGTGTATATGTATAAGATGATTGTTAGGGCATATTGCACGTACGTTAAGTATTGAGAGATAGTTTTTGGTGGTTTTTAAAGGAAATAGAAGATTCTTCTTCCAGTCTCAAAATTTGGAAAAGTGCGAAATGTATGTTTTGTACTTAGACCACTCATGTGTTTATCAATTAAATGTCTATGTAGTATACATCTTCATTTGTATTTATTTTCAGTGTATGTGCACGTTAATCAAACAGATAATGTGACTAAAGGTGTGCTACTAAAAATGACACTCGCAGATAGAAACTATCACCCACACCTTTTCGCACCCTCTTGGAAAATAAAAATAACCCAGCTGGAATGTCCTGCGGAGAAAAAGTTCTTCAACCTGCCTTCACAGGATGTGAATTCTGACTTTGCGCAGCTTGGTAAGATTCTTTCATTTATTTGTTTATTTATTTTTCTATTGACATGAAAAGCGGACGAGACTAATAAGTTCGTAACAATTCTACAGTCAAGTACTCAAAGGGAAGAGTGTGGCAGCCGCTGTCAGTATACTCGCGGGGTTCGCGATGACAAGGCCAATTAGAGATCGCAATAATGTCGGACTAAAATATTTGAGCTGGTATATACTGTGCAATATACAAATAAACGGATATTACCTTAAATAACAAACATTTAGTCGATTTTTGTGTAATTATGAACAAAGGCGCCCACATGAATTTTTGTCAGGGGGGGGGGGTTAGATAATATTCTGTGAAAGTGTACCTGCATCGAAACTGGAAGAACTTGACGAGCGGAAGGTATAGCAAATACGCGTAAAAAAAGGCCGAAACGTTGGAATTTTGATTAATTTTTAACACTTGTTCATGTATCCCAAGAATCCGAAGAAATTGAAAGTGCGTGCTTTCAGAAAACAGCACTGTACCTTGACCGGAAGAAGCGTTCTAGTGCTCATCTGGTTTCGATGGATTGCCGAGTTTTCCCAAAAAGCCGTTTATTTCGGTAGGTCCGACGACTTGATCTGGCATGAACACATCTCAATAGCGGCAGCTGTTGCGAAAAGGCTAGGCTATTTGTTTAGGGCCAAGAAATACTTCCTCCAGATAATTTCCTCATGCTATACAAACCCCCAAGATCTAGCCTCGAATACTGCTCACGTATTTGGGGTGCAGCCGCTCCGACAACGTTATCTATGCTCGGTGCTGTACAAAAATGGCTCTCCGACTGAGCGATGGCTCTTCTCTAACGGACAGTCTCAAAACCCTTTCGCACCGACGGATCATCGGCGATCTAGCTCTCTTCTATCGGTACGCTAACGGGCTTTGCAGAGCTCTCCTCCATGTCGAACTTCGTACATCCAGAATTGATCCGTAGGGTATCGAGATTGTGGAACAATCTACTTGAGGAGGCTTCTCCAAGTTTTATTTGCCTTAGGCAGTTCAAAAATGGAATAAAGAAATGTATCTTCCAAAAATGCCTATCCCTGCTATCCATTCTGTCTGTCAAACGAGAAATCGGAAATGCATTAAAAACAGCACCCGTGACTCTCTCCTTTCTCTTTTCTCTATTTAAAAAGCAACACTCAGGAATACTATGGTAACAGGTAATATTTTGAATTTGAATTTTGAATTACAGCTATGGTAGCGGAACCATACAGAGTAGCTGAAACTCACTCCGGTTCTTTTCTTTGTCTCGCAAATAAGAATTAACAACGAATTTTGTTTCAGCTCCTCTGGGCGCGATACAGTATTTCACTGAAAAATCAGGATTTGTGAGATCCTTTGGATATGACGGCTCTGTCAGCATTCAGAGTTACACATACGATCAGAAATATGCAATTGCTTTCAAGAGAGATATCGGCACTTGTGGAATAAGGTACATCCGAAGAAGAATACCTATGGATTAGGATATTTCCAAATCATGGAGCAAAAATTCAGGGCGAATCATTTTCAGTTATTTTAGGAATTATTTCGGAAACACGTGACGAAGAAGTTTTTGGAGGGTTACATGTTATTTCTACTAGTTAAATAGCTAATAATCACTTCTTGAGTTTTTGCTGCATTTCTAGTAAACACCCTCTATATCTGGCACAAAACTTGGATTTGTTAAATTGATGGTTGATTTTTAATTTTATCGTGACTTTGCAGCTTTAAACCACAGTATATCTACCTGCCTTATACCAGTAGCACAGGAATTACAGCAGACAAAGACTGCTCACATTACCTCTTCGTGCCTGATCTTTACTTTGATGTAGATCCTGAGAATGCAAGCCCAAACGATTTGGTCGCTAAAGTGTGTTTAAAAGAGAATCTAAATTTCCGAAGTAAGTAAACGTATTTGGTAGTGGTGGGCGTTTACACATCTGCATTAATTGCAACAATGTATACGATATACAATTACAATTGCAATGTGTTTAATGTGTACAATGTATACAATGCATACAATGTATACAATGCATACAATGTATACAATGCATACAATGTATACAATGCATACAATGTATACAATGCATACAATGTATACAAAGCATACAATGTATACAATGCATACAATGTATACAATGCATACAATGTATATATACAATATATAGAATGTATACAATGTATGCAATGTTTAATGTGACTGCTAGAGGTACTGGTTCTGTTAAAATAACGTGAAACTTTTTTCAGCATACGCGCCAGGTCCATTATACATATACTTCAACTCGATTGCAACGGATTTCGCTACGGAAGAAGATAAACGACAGGGCTTCAACATCAAATACGAATTATTGAATAAGTGTATATAAAACAAAGACTACTAATTAATAAAATAAGTTAATTGCAAACTCATGCCTTCTGCTGTATTTTGATTTTTGGTTAGATTCACATCGTTCTTATGGGATGCTTATCAGGTAGGTACTTGTCGAGAAAACAAATTTACGCCTCTCAGATATGCTGGAACTACAAAGGCCTGAGACCCCTATTCTCTTTGTTCAAAATCCACCCATAGAAGCAGCTGGGACAATTTACTCTAGGGTCACCAACTGCAGGGTCTCGAGGACGGTGCTTCAGCTAGAGACAATTTTTGAGAATCACAAAGCTGTGAACACTTCCCATGACCGACCTTCACGAAACATTATATACAAATAAAGAGCCCCACTATATTTGTGTGTAGTTTTTAAGCTTTCAAATGTCACCAGCGGCAAATTGATGTAGTTAAAAGTACGGATCCAATTTTCGATTTACCTAGAGGCCTTTCCAACCACGCCACTATAAAGCACAAAGACTTTTGTTGTTTAAGAATCTTAAAGGCGGATCGAGCGACAAAATGTGGAAACAAAAAATGACAACCGCAGTGTGGTAAAAGTCAAGGAAGAAGAAGAATCTAAAGAATATCTAATGGTCCTATGAGCTTTATTTTTTGATACGATTTTTACAGAAAATTGATTAACTGTTTTCTTCTAAGATGTATTGACTTGATCATATTCACAAATAAATTCTTACGTTCTACTTGAGCTTATAAAAATATACAAATGAAGATTTTCTAAAATATATTTACAAATTAATAACAAGGCATAGAATGAGTGAATAAATACTTTAGCATAGTTTTTTATTCTTGTTTTTAATGGTTTCATTGAAACAGTAACTTAAACATAATGTAGCTTATGAAACTTAGCCTGCTATTTCTATATTTTCTCTCTCACTTTACTCGATCAATAAGTGAACTATAGATGAAAAGACAGGTGAAATGTGAGATTACTCCAAAATTCACTATTTTATGCTTCTTTCCTGGTGGCCGTTGGTGCTCAGTTTTTTTTCGTAGCTTCCCCTAGTCTGTACTTAACCTGTGACAATATGGTGAAAGAAAATAGTAACTATTCCTAGTTTTTGTATTATTTCTTTCGAAATATCTGCAAAAGATTATAATCTACAAACATCAACGATGTTAGCTGTCATTTAAGGATTTAATATTTTTGTGTTATTTTGATTATCATATTAGGAGGCGTACACACGCTTCTCATAATGAATTTATTTTGCAACGTAAATAGTGTTATAAATCTAATATACTTCATTCCTTAGATTTTTAGTTACAACTTTTCACCTTATAAGTTCACCATCTGTTAACTGCATCTAATAAATCTTGGGCCACTCATTTGGATGAAAATCTTTAGTAGCTATAGCAGATAGCAGCAAATTTGGATCGCTGTCTGGTATTCCCATTTGCAGGTAATCTTGTACTGAATAGTTGAATAATTCGAAGTCATACCTGAAAGTAATATTTGATTTAATCAAAACAATATCGCTTTACGGAATGATGACTGTCAGTTACATTATAGGTAGATACATCAACTCGATAAAATAGGGATAACGATAGAATACACATATAATTAATGGAAAATAATATTTAATTACGTAAGCTCAGTCAACCAAAAAACCATCGGTTTGTGAAATGTTGAATTCGTTAGGAATCAGTTTAGATTACTTTATTTCAGTCAAGGATATTATATTGTTTGTTCCAGGTGTTGCAATTTTGCTCTCATCACTGAGATCTCGGAAACGGTAAGAGATACGAAGTCACTTAAGTGGAGGCAAAGTTACGTACTTAGATAAAAAACAAAACGAAATTCGAAGTACTTCCGGAGAGAAAAAACGTTCATTTGAGATGAGATTTCAAAATGAAATGTACAATAACATTGCCACTTTTTCTGCTCTACAAGATGGCAGAATCAACTTTATTTTTTCTCATCTACGCCATATTGGATTTTTGCATATATGAGTAAAGTTTTTAATTCTGATTGACATTTCTAAGCCTCAATTATTTCAAAAAGCGGCACTTCTTAGGTAGGCCTTGAAATTATCAGATAGGTAGTCATTTGTTTCAAATACCAGATTAATTTATTTATTTTCTTTTTCCTCTCTCTATTTGAGATGTGCTTTCAAGAGAAATTAATGTTATGGTTACTTTTTCTCCACTAGAAGATGGCACAGTCAAATTTTTAATTTTAGGTTTCTTCTTTAGACTTCCATATCACCAACTTTTTTCATGTGGACGCTATATTGGAGTATTGTACATTTAAATTTAGTTTCAGTCGGTGATGTATTTCCTCAGTTGGTCATGAGAATGAAAATCATAAGGAATTAAAAAGGTATGGACAGATTTCACAAATGAAGACAGGAAAAAATTAAACCGATGTTTCGAAAGTACTTGGAATTTCGAAACTTTCTAAGCGCAGTTTTGCTTGTTACATAAATACGCCCCCATTTAAGCGACTTCGTATCTCTTATTGTTTCCAAGACACGAATAGTGAGGCTCGAATCAGAAACACCTGGTATATTTGACGCAACCAGCAGTATTTAACAACTTACCTATAAAAATGATATAGCTGCAGTATTTGCGACCTAGTAAGCTGAGAATAGTACTTCTTAAGGTTTTGTGACGTAGCTCCTTTGCCTGCATTTCTCCATTCAGGCTTGACAAGATGCTCTAATTTAGCCACCTTGATTAAATAAACCTGTTCATCTTGTAAAGTTTCCGTATGCGCTATAATCTGTAAGTGGGTGTGGAAAATTATAATTCACCAATACCGTCGTCGAGTAGCGTCATATACTACATGTATATTTAAAAATGGAGCTTTAAGATGAATTGCCAACAAATGCACCAACCAGATGTTGAACCAAACATAGTGTGCTTTCCGGCTAAAGACAGTCAACCGTGGGCAGCTATTTCATGATTTTTGTTTACTCAGCAGCATGGTCTAGGCTTGGGTCGACCAAGAAAGCATGGTAACTCTATACTGTCAAAAGTGTGAGATATATCGATATATAAGGACTGTATAGATCTCAGTTTTGCGAATTGGAGGCTCAGACCTAGACCATGCTGATGATGAGCCAAAAAGCACGAAGCTGCTGTCCATGGCTGGCTGTCTATACTTTCTACCCCAGAAATATTACTATTTTTTTCTGAATCAGCGTGTATAAGAAATAATGATGTAGAAAAAAAAATCAAATCGGGAATCAGGTAGACAATGACAAATCAAATTTGACATATTAAATTGATACGACATCAAAAGTTAAATCGCTCTCGTTTCTTGAACGTACCCATTGACACATACTCAAGCACTCAGACCATATACACTTACTTTAAAGTCAAACATACAGGGAGTGCAGAATTGAGTAATAGGTGCCCAATGCATATCTGGAGCTTGACCACTTCTGATCGAATCCAGCAGATATACAACAAACTCGGGAAATGTAGGCCATCGTTGCTGAGAAATGTTCTGTTGCTGTTTCTACAAAAAGCAATATAAAATGTCACATGAAATTGTTCTGAATTTTCAATTGTTGATTTAAAAAAAAAATATCTGCACAGAAAGAGACACCAGCTGCTTCCTTCCTGCAGACTGCAAAATCAGAGTTAATTTAAAATAGACTGTTGACACCTGGATAAAAATTTAGCAGGTTCGAAATACCAGAAATCATTTGGAAACTTTGATAAACGATTCTGACTTTTTGGCAAATATTGTGAGGGGCGAGGAGAGTTAAGTGCAAAAATAGAATCCAGGCAGTGGGTTCATAAGATTTGATCAATTTTGGATGAATGCAGCTTAGTTGAGATAGACGATCCTCCATAAAGTCCGAACTTAGCTCCGCCTGACCTTTAGGTCCTTAGGTCACTAAAGAAAAATCTACAGGGACTAAGGGTATAAATCACTTGAAGCGAAATGCAGGTGCATTGATGTAGGGGGGATTATATTGAAAAATAAAATTATCAATAAAATCGTACGACTTTTGTTTCATGGCTTGGTAGGATTCACTTGTAATACCCTCGCACATTCACAGCTAACTATTGAACATTTTCAGGCTTGTTCCTGTATAGCATAGCTCACCTTTAGCTTTTCCCTGTACTTCTTTATTATCTCTTGACCTAGCTTCTGATGATGGGTGTGAGGCAAAGCATACTGCAATTTGTCTCTATATGCTGACAATAATCTTTCAAAAGGATGCCGTGCTATCAAAAATGATACAGAATCGTTGAATGCTTTTCTTAAGGCTTCTAGAGAAGGTCTAGGGTAGCGTTGCCTAGCTAGCGCCATGGGAACTAGCTTACTTTTGCTAAGGAACCGTGGACTATAACTGAAATATTAGATAAAGCGTAATGTATTTCATAAAATGGGATAAATATAGGATATTTATCAGATGATTTGCTACAATTTTACCTGATTATCTGTAATTACTTTATAATCTTATGCTATAAAACCACTACCTTCAAAAATGGCGGACTGGCATGCTGTTAAAACTAAGCGTTTTGTTTTTTGCACATCGAATAGCTTATAACTCAACAACCAATCATCAAAACATTATAGTGTCTTAATATGTCAATGTTATTATTAAAAGACTTATCTAAATATGCAATAAAATATATGGGACATTCAGTTCTAAAAAGGTTCTGAGCATTTTACATCAAGAGAAACCGTGCCACTTATATCCGTGTTTCTGTCGGTCTATCCGTCTATGGGTCTGTTTGTATGTCTGTCCGCTAGTCCTTGGTTCACCTATGACTTGGAAAGTACTGCTCGGATTCAGAAACATTCATCACACAAGGTTATTACTATGCCAAAGATGAAAAAATGGCGCCAAGGAGGTTGACTCTACACTTCCCACTCAACGCTGTCAACAGTTCAAAAAGGATTGTGTCCAGCACCAGTTGGAGCTTATCCTTTTTGGGCAAGCCATCATCTTGGTCTCTGGAACAACTAACAAAAGCATAGCAATTATTCTCTGGGAAGTATAGACTCAACCTACTTGGCGCCATTTTTTCAAGTGGAATCTTACATACTTTATTACACCTTCGAAAGAGGATTGATAGAACATACTATAGCGTTTTGATGATTAACTGTTGACCCATAAGTGACTCAATATATAAAAACGCTCTACTTTGACAACCCGCCAGTCGACCATTTTGAAAGGTAGTGATTTTATATTACAGGATCATAATAAAGCATAAGATCATAAGATTCATCAGCATCAACTATTACAAGACTATATTCTATTTAAACAATGTTTCATGACGGGGTCCTGTCGCAATTTTCAATTTTTCACTTTTACGTTCATAAAATAAGGAACGGGTGGACCTTCTTGGAAAGTACTGTATATGTATGATGACATTTGACGCTATTAGCGCTGTCGCACCGCTTGCATTTCCCGGATGCATCCAATGAAACTTTAAATGAAATTTCCCACTTACCCAGCCAGTATATTGAAGTTGTACATCCACGAAGTGCTGGCTGCTTTGAAAACGTTGCACCAAACCAGCTTGTTCTTGGTATCAACCAGAAACTCCCATGGGTTGGGCCTGTGAAGGGTGTCGTTTCCAGGTTTGTCCAGACCCAACAGTTTGCAGGTGCGTTTCATATGGCGTCTACGCTGATCTAGTCGTTGTTTGACTTCGTTCATGTCGCGATTCAGGAATACTTTATCTTCTATCTGCTTTTCTTTTGTCTGAAATGTAAAGACGAGTACAATGTAGTTCGGCGTTATTATTTGCTTACTTAGAGCATCAGATCTCAAGACAATATCCTTATTTTGAAAAGATGGCGTCAAAAAGCTTGTCTGTGTACCTCTCAAGTAATGCTGTCAACAGTTCACAAATGGAGTCAACCTACCGGACATTGTTTCTTCACAAAGCTACTAAAATTTTCATCAACTACAAACTTGACTCATTTTCATAAAAAATGATAAACCCCGTAACCATGAAAAGGTACATTCCATGAAAAGGTACATTCACATTCTTGGAATGTACGGTTTAGATACTGATCACATCCCTTCAAAGCTTATTCTCCCGTCGAATGAGTTTAGAACGTGATATCTCTACCAGAGGGTATCAATAGAACATACACAGAAAGAGATTTTGTTTATTGGTTACCAGACACTGGCATCAACTTTATCCACGATTTCTTCAAAACAACAGCTGTTGCATCTATTTTATGCATCTGCATGATGAAATCATAATACCTTTATTTTTAGATTAACAGTTCAAATGGCTGCAAAAAGGGGTAATCTTCCAGAACCTGGGCCTTCAGGTATCAAGAAATCTTATTCGTCGGTAGCTAAGGGTAAATCTGCAATCATCATTCAACCGAAAGATACCACCCAAGCTGTGCAAACTACCAAATCAGATTTACTTCAATATGTTGATCCAGTTTCTGAAAACTTACATATATCTGGAGTGAAGAATATAAGGAATGGTGGCATGCTGGTAGGCTGTTCGTCTGATGATGACAGTCGGAAGTTGAGGCAGATAGCTGTCGAAAAATTGGCTGATAAATATGAAATTAAAGAGGTATCCAGCTTTCATCCTAGAGTGCGTATCGCAGGCATGACTTGTAAACTGTCTGAAGGTGATGTTATCAAGTCCATTCGTGCACAGAATAAGGAAGCATTTACTGAACATTCTCAATGTAAGGTAGTTGAAATCAAGCCCATCAAAAAACGGAATGACATTTATCAAGCTGTTATTAATCTTGATATGGATACATACAATAAGGTTTTGTCTGTGTGTGGCGGTAAGTTATTCATGGGGTATGGTTATTCAAAAGATTGTAAAAGTAAGAAGTTTCATTCTCCGCAGTGTAGTGAAAATCATTTAGTCAAAAATTGTAAAGCAACTTCGCTGAAATATATAAACTGTGTGAAAAGTAATAATGAAAGAAATACTGAATTTGATGTGGCGCATGCAATGGCAATTTAAGAGTATCTACTGTACATATATAACATCTCAGATTTTTAAATTGGCTGCTTGCTTGTAATACAATATTATTAATACAGATTTTAAATTTCTGGTTGTTAGTAACGTCACACGGATTAAGCACTTCATTTCTATTTTCATTTAACATAAGGCTGTGGGCTCTTACAATTCTAGATAAATACACAAGATCCGAGTTGATACGCATGTAGGCAGTTGTGCATCATCAGCATATTGATGTGTGCAAAAATCCAACTGACTTTTCAAATCCCACGTAAACAATGAAAACAACAAACGTCCTACTACTACGAAACTGAGATCCGTGCTTGTTAAATTGTGTGTCTGACAGGTAGCTACTGAAGGAATCTACCGCCATATTGTTATATCCTAGAGATTTAAGTTTCAAATATAAGAGATGATACGAGTATATAAAGAGCGACAGGGTTGGATACTCGCTAAAACACTTAATAATTTGAATAACCTGGGTTGTAAGCGCAAATCAATAACATATCTTTATCAAACTGGGGCAAAGCAACGGTCGATGCATTGTCTATATTAAGCATTCCATGCAATCAGAATTATGTATTCAGATTTTACGAGACCTTTAAATTTCGTAAGTGTTTTATATCGCTGCAGTTTTACTATTCCGAACTGTGCATGTGGGTAGCTTAAGATGATGTATAGTTCATACCAGTCATGAGCACCGTAGAGTGGAGAAAAATGGTGAGTACAATGCACGCAGAGGGAATATGGAATAATTTGATTTTGATTTATGTTGGGCAATCATGCATATGCATAATAATGTAACACATTTTTAAAATCTGTTCAGATCTCACAATGCTGGTCATTATAATTATTACGTCTTCTGTTGTAGTCGCTCGCAACCAAACACGGAAAAAATATATGTAGTATGTTGCCGCTGAAATCACACAACTAGACGTTTGGATTAGTGCAAGTGGCAACCCTAAGCGAGAAAGCTTCACATTTACTAAAACGTTTGATTTTTATTACATACTAATTGCCATAGAAACAAGAACACCCAGTAATAATAAACTTATTATAACCATTTTTTGTCTACATGTTTCTTAGGACTAGGTACGCAATTAATCAAAATTTCAGAAAAAATCCAACCGCTGAATAAGATGTAAAAAATTATTAATTCGTAGGACCTCCAAGATTTCTTATGCTCTCAAAAACGTCTGAGCATACTCCTCATCAGATGATCGATTTGATTTTGAAGTATCTCATCCATTTTTTTCGTCATATATGTTTGTAGCTAATTCAGAGAGACTAACTTGTGCCGAACATAATCATTTATGAACTGATGACAACGTTGCGTTATAAGTACAGAGTAAACCTACTTGCTGCCATTATTTTTGATGATACGTGGCCCGTAACATTTACAACATGAAAAAATGCATGTCGCGTATTTCCGTCAAGCTGCCTGTTACCTGTCCACTAGGCCTTAACCCCTTGATAACCGTTCCAATTTTGATGAAATGTCTCAAAGTTTCTACTGTGCTGAAAACGGTAATTATTTCTAGGTTTTTGAAATCTGTAAGGTTCGTTCGATGTTTTTCGAGCTCCTAACATTCTCATGTTTCGACGTATTTTTTATATTTCTGGTCACCTCAGGACATAAGACATTAAAAAAATGCAATTATCCTAATGATGCTTCGAGTCTTTGTTTACCTAGCATTTTAGTTCGAGTCATATCATTGCATGAGTGAAATACTTACCAGACGTTGTACGTAACCGATCTTCCTCACCGGTCTCATGTAATGATCTGTGGCTACTAGTAGTACCAACAGTACTGGTACTACACAAACAGCGGTAAAGAACACTACACATCTCCTTATTACTTTCCATCCGCTCACCTGTAATGAAGATAAACGTGGACATAGTATACAATCTTGAAGTTTGATTGAAAAAATGAAAAATCAGATATAAACACTATGAAAAGGTAATTTGTGGCTATGGAATTTTATTGAAGGCTTATTGGTTACATCGTTGACGTTATCAGTATACAATCGACAGTAACGATTTTATAAATGTTTATATATATATGTATATATATAATTTATAATTTATAAACAAAAAAATGCCATGAGAACATTGAAATATATTAATACTCTGTTCTAAAGGATCCTGGTACATTTACCTGGTACCTATTTTTTCTGCGCCTAAGCCTCATGCCTGCTTCATGCGAACCTTGTTGGAAAGTCGCTGGACTTTCTGGATGTGCCAAGGATTAGCCATTCCTGGAACAATTCATAGGCTGATTCTCTGAAATAAGATTATGAAGCATTTCTCAAAACGATCTCACCACTAGTGTTGCACACTGTTCCTTTATTATAAGGTTATAGCGAGATAACGCAATTTTCTATGCATTTTTCAAGAACTTACACAAATTTCGTTATCAGTAGTTGCTAATGATTTCGTTGTATCCCGTCGACACACTTCTTGCCATCAGACACTTATAATTGACTGAACTCTTATCAAACAAATGTTAATTTTAATCTACATTTATCCAGTTGCATGCGAACTAGTAATTAATTTTAAACTCCAAGCACCAGTCCTTCAGAAATACTGTTGTAAACATTTTCATTGTAACAAAATGCTCCCATAGGTAGACCATAATGTGTAAACTTGTACACAGTTTTTGAGAAAAATGTGTAACCGTGAGTTTATTACTTTACAGTTCTACTACTTAATAGGTATAGTCATAATTATACTGTGAAAACAATGTTGTTGACGTAGTAACCCAGATTACGATAACTTGCAAAATTGCAAAGGCAAGGATTTTCATCTTTCCCATTATCCTTGATCGCAAACCATTTACTCGTGATTAAATAAGCAATTCCGATTGCTGGAAATGTGGCACATCCACTGCAGCCATTCAAAATGGTATTCCAATTCACCTCATAAGGTTATTACAAACTTCTATTTAAGTTGACCTGTTTGTATGTTAGTATTTGTACGACAAATTTTGGTACTTTGCAAGTGATACTAAACCTTATTGTTCGGACATTGCCGCTAATGATTGTCAAACATGTCTTAATTTAATCCCACAGCATATTCCTCCCAAATTGATGCCGCCGTTTCATATTACAAGCTTTACAAGCCTTTATTTGACTTGACATGTTTGTTAGTATGTGTGGGACAGATCTTTGAGCTGAATTTGGAACCATTTAACCTCAATCAACTGAGCTGAAATTTTGTACACTCGTTTGGTTCAAGTGATAATACAAAATGCATTAACTGCCTTCATTTTGAATTCAATATGGTAGATGCTACAAAATGGTGATTCGTCATTCCCATAGTAACCCTTATGACGTATTTTTTATTCTATTCATATTTACTTTTTGGTATTTATGATGTGAAATAACTATAGTTTGATAATTTCTATAAAATTTTCATATATATCATTAACAGGACTCCATTGTATTTGTATTATAAAATTTAGAATGACATATTTTGTTATTGTATTTCCCTCATTAATACCTTTCATTTGATACCCATACGATTGCGGTGACCATAGAAATTATAAGCCACAGCCGCCATATTGGATTTAGAATGGTGTCACCTTACTTATTATGGAAAGTATAAATCGACATTTTGCGGCCGCCGCCATATTGGATTCAGGATAACGTCACTTTACTTATTGCGTTTTCCTCAATTGATACATATATCATAGTGGTTACTATGGAAATGAGGAATCGCCATACTAAAGCATCCACCATATTGGATTCAAAATGGTGGCACTTAATTCGTTTTGTATTGTCACTTAAACCAAACGGAAGTACAAAATTTCATCTCAATTTTTTCAAAATTTATTGTCAAAATTTGTCCCACACATACAGGTCAAGTGAAAAGTCTGTAAAAACAGGATGGTGTCCTATAAGCACCCTATTTCGAATTTATTTCTTAAAATATGTCTTCTCTATTAATTTTGAGCATTTCTAGAAAATTGCATATATGTATTGTATATACAAATAATGCCTATCTATATAACGGGTGAGCCAATAATAAAGGATTCCGGAATAGCGAATGGAAGTTATATTAGGAAACCTTAGGTGCAACAGACATTGAATTTTGATTATTCAGTTGTGAAAAGTGCCTGGAAGAGATTATGGCTTTTATTTTTTTTATTTATACGTATCAATTCAATAACGGACTTTGACGAAGGATGGCCCTCTCTCTGTCCTAGGTTTCAACAAAAGCGACGCAATCAAAACGCGACACTTAGGAGTATATCGTAATTTGCTTATGTCAGATAAATGTATAATATTTATTCTGATTTAAGTTCACCTAAACCCTAGACCTTTGAAGTTGAGCATTTAACTGACAAATAGAATTTAAAAAATGAAAAACACTACAATGCAATACAGAGATCTCTGAGATAACTGTTATTATGCACTGTACTTATTAATCAATTAACCGAATGTGTGTTTAAAATACTCTGTGTTGTTGCACATGAATAAACTTACCTTCGATAGTACAAAAATCATAACCTTTGCAATAGAACGTATGTACTACCCGATGGTGCTTTGGTGACCGGCACCAGTACGTATCGCATCTCGCACATGCAGCGGTAACGATGGCGCAGAGCTGCATATGCGGAAATGCGGCAGGTTACCGGACGAATTATGGACGTGTCTGTCGGTCCGGCTATGTCCCGTGGTATGGCGCGTCGCGTTTGGCGCAATACGCGTCCCTAGGATAAGGAGTAAGAAAACTAAGATCACTCTCGGAAAGCCATGTTATCCGATTAACGCCTTTCCGTCCGAAATTGTTCATCAGAGACACGATGAAAACGTATTTTATTTTGTCAGATTACGCTCGACGTGATTCAGGACCAGGAAAAATATGCAAATGCCACAGAGGTACTAAGGGACAGCATCCTATATAGGTCTAGCTGTAGGGGAAATTTCACTTGTTCCCTCTCGATGCACTTACCTCTCAGAATCTGCGGGATTATGTAGCGTACCTGCGAAAGCAGTGATACGTTCGTGCTCCAGCTCAGCCTGCTTTTCCGGGGACTAGAAGTCCTGTCGTACAGGCTGAAAGGTCACCGGCAAGGCTCGCTGAGAGGGAAAACGACATCGTAGTTCCACCTGGGGATTTTAGTAACGGAGGGGCACTTAAATCTGATAGACCTCAAGCAAGAGGACTTGAGCTCTTGATAAGCGTCTCTTGGACCTTGACGTTTGGCGAATCAATTGCGAAGAGTACCCTGAGGCTCTGAGGTCATCTGAATAGGGAAGAGAGAGAGACTCTCCTGTCGAGAGAGCATACACGCGTGTGCCCCAAGTGGAAGCAAAAATCCAGTTGGCTCCTAAGGAGGCCCGTATCCAGCGTGTAATGGACTATGGAGGGGCAAAGGCGATGCTTGCTGTTATCAAGCAGCATTATCTCGGCAGAATACGGATGCTGATACGGCGCGGGAGAAGGGTTTGGTGTAAAAGAAAGGTTTTGCTGAAGAACCCTCTCGTCTTTTACAACAGTCACCATCATCCAAAGAGCAGCCGCCGACTGCTCATCTCGTGGATACCTTATATAAACGAACGAAGCCTCTCCAGGCCAGAGACTCCAGCATTGGTGCAGTTTGAGCCCTTTTATCGAAGTACTCTCCACGCAGATGTACTACGTCAACCAATAATCACGGAAGACATTCGTAGGGTCTTGGTGGGTGCTAAAAATTTCGCATCACCTGTCATAAACACTTATTGCTGTAAGAATTTTCCCAGTTGCCACCGGTTTTTAGATAGAATTTTTAACTCGTGGCTGAATCAAGAGCAGCTAATACCTTAGTTTGTTGAGAGCCGAACCGTGCTATTCCCAAAGACGAGATATTTGTCGGATTTCAAGAATTACAGACCAACAACGTAACGCGTTCTACAAGCTCTTCACTAGAACTTTGTACATGCGTACCTGTATACTCAAAGCTGTGAGCCTGGTATTTCTCAGAGCTTATGAGCATCGAGGATCAAATAAAGGAGTAGCTGGCTGTAAGGAGAACCTCTTGATTGACCGCTGTGTCTCAAGACATGTCATGGTTGACTATCGACGGTGACTTGTCAGTGATTGTGTCTGGGATTCGGCTGTATGAATTCCATCTATATAGCCTAGCAGAATGAACGGAATTTGTGTGGTGCGATCTTTGACACGATCTCTGCCAGGCTGGTGACAGCTGTAGGAACAGGGCTATTGTGCGTCTGTTGGAATGCCTTGCGGGAAAATTAAGCAACTGATACGTTCTGGAAGACTAGGTTCATAATCATGTCTGGTCTGGTGAAATCAAAGTTCGGACGGAGTTGGTATCATTCAGAAGAGGGGTCTTGCAAGGGTACTTTGCTCCTGCTCCTCTGCATTCTGAACAATACACACTTAGATGGCGCATCACAAAAACGGTCGACCCCATCTAGTAGCCAGAATTAAGTCTCTTAGCGCTGTAGCCACCTCCTCGTGAGAATGCTCGAATACTCAAAGTATTTATAGTAAATAAAGACTCAGCTGTAGCAAATTATCATAGATTACGCCACGGAATCTCATTTTATCTGGAATAAGATTTTGAACGCGGGGATTCAGCATTAGGTTGGCTATCTTTAGGTAGAATACCTTAGTCAATGGTGTTGAGCACTGGGACTGCCTGGTTGTAGGAGAAATTAGTTTGACTCCAAAGTGAGCCTGCTATCCGCAATTATTTATACTTTGGATGCACGGAGGCAGCAGTGCGGTGAATCGGTCGATTTTCCATGGGGATTCTGCGCGGAAATACTGGATGTGATCTCCATGGGGTGGTGGAGAGTGACGTAGGCGATGGATGGGTGAAAAGCCTGATCCACAAGGTTGACTACGTCTTTCCCACTTTTACAGCTCAGAGCTATTCGACATAAGCGGGATGACTATCCAGGGGCCGGTGGAAGAGAGGGTGATGCAGACAAGGAAACTCGAAGACCGAAATGGTATCAAGTAAGCCGACTCTGGGCTTCCTACGCTATGGATTTTATTTCAGAATAAAATTACTAGGCAGGCAACCAGTGATAGCGCTAGAGCAGACTATACAGGGTGTCCTCAAAGTTGGAACTTTTCTTTACACGGCGTATAGACCTTAGAAAAACTAATCATTTTTCTCTCGTAACATATAGGGCAAAGTATTAAGATTACCGAGATGTTAGGCTCCGCAAAATCAATCAAACCTAATGCGGTCCTGCATCTCCTGTCAGATTAAACGTGATTGCGTACGATGCTGGTCAATACTCAATCCAGGCGCTCGCCGCGTTTGTGAACAAAACCTTTACACATCGGTTTTTTAAAAAAAACACTCTTACAGCAATTTCGGTACTGCCTATATTATTTCAATTTACGGTGTCTTGGAAATGCTACCGAGGCCTCGCGTGTGCATGCAGATCGTTTTTTAGAGATCTTTCGTGCTTTATTTTTTTTTGCTTGGAGCGAGATGAAAAGTTTAGTGTATAAAACTGAAGTACCTACGGTTGATGAATTACGTGTACGAATTTAGCAATCTGCTGCATTCATTTGAGAAAAGCAGTCTATTCTAAAAATCTGTGCTGATGCTTGGCTGTGTCGAACATATACATGCGTCTGTGAATCTATCGCAGACAACTTTTAGCAATATTTACAAGTGACACAGCTGTAGCTAAAATTTCGTTTCAATGAACGATGAGTACCTTCTCATTTTTTTTACTTATACTATCGACTATATATATACTAAAGCATATTCTCGTGGATTGCTGATGCCGGAAACCATGCTGGTTGACGCTAATCAAAATGTGACGTTCAAGGTACTACATAAGCTCTCAATTTATGCACCTCCCCATCACTTTACTTATAACAGAAAGCATGGCAGTAAGCCTGTAGTTGTAAGAGTCGGTTTTAGATCATTTTTTTTGGGGGGGGGGCTCGACAGTTTTTTTGTGTAAGTGCCGGATTCTAAGATATCAGGAAGAGACGCAGCCTGATCCCAAAGAAATGTATCTGTAGTAGGACTTCTGTGGTCAAAAGCAGAACAGAAAGCCAAGCTATAGGCCTGTAGCTGTGTAGGTTTTTTAGGATGTGCTGGACATGAGCAAATTTAAAATTTTCTGGAAAATATATCTGGGCATATCACATCTGATATAGGGAAATGTATGGAGCCGGCTGAATGACTTTGCAACATTCGTTGTACGTCAAGTTTCAACCATTGTGTTAGTTTAAGTCTTGGTACCCGAAATCGGCAAAAAAGGACGAAGGTGCCGATTTGAATGTAGGTATATACATAGTAATAAATCTTAAATATAAATATATTACAATTATACAGGTATGCTAGGCTAAACTTTGACTTCACTAATTGAATGCACTGATCTCTAGTCTGTATCACATGAATCAAACAGTCCCTTCTTTCTCATTGTTTCAAATTCCTTCTCGATATCGTAGTCTCTGAAACAAGTAAGTAAAAATCATGAGGAGCTTTTATACATTGGTAGAAAAATACAAAAAATGCCATTTCTGTGAGCGTAAGCTGCCACCAAGTGTAAGGTCATGTCTAAGAAATGGTTTACTATGTCATCTTTTATTTTAACACCTTCTTGATATCCCATACAGATTCTGCTACGAAAGATTACACATTAGGCTAAAGGACGTCAAAGCTGTCTCCTTCTCGGGTGATGCGCCCATACTAGACCGCCGGCGCCGACTGAGCTGCAGCAGCGTTGCCGCTTTTCTCGCTGTTTAGACCTCGCACTGAGTAATCATTGAATACACTACCTGTCTGTCAAACTAGTGCGATATAACGAAGCAGTGGCAAAGAAGTTAAATGAAATGAGCTGAGTTATACACTAATATATTAGTATATGAGTTTTATTGCTAATCAAAGGATGACAAAATTTAAATAAACAGACACAAATTAAAGTAGATGAACTTTTAGACTTTTAACCTCACTGAATTGTTTCATTACTAACACCAGGCGCTTTTTCTGCTCCAACTGATTGACAGAGCATATAGCCTCACTTGGATCATCGTGCTTGTCAAGCAGGTCTTAATGAACTTTAGCTTTGAGATGCTTTTCTTAGCAGAAACAGTACTGACTGGTAAATGTTAAATCTACCTCGAGGTGGAGTTAGCAATTAATATACAAAAAAGTTTGACAGTTCAAGAAATTAACTTGTTTTTAGAAACTCATTTTCAATAAATATACTCATTTTAAAGACGTCTTTAAGTTTTCCTAACACACATCGTCTTTACAATGTCGTTCGGCGTTCACAAGGCGTCCTTATGATTATGATGGCTCTAATATATCAAAAAGACGTTTTTAGGTGATATAATTGTGCTATACCAAGCATCTTGATAAGGGAGCCCTTTGGGACCCTTGCTTATAAGAGCTTCTTATACTATCTTTAGGTGAACTTTATGTCCCAGAAATGTTCTGTTTCTCGAATCACCCTCAGTGATGGGCTCATTGTATACACCATGTATACGCGTATAGAATGGTGAATATATACATCTCGATATTCACGCATACAATGTAAATATGTATATAATGTATATAATAGCAAATCATAGTTCAACTAATTGCATATAGTGTTGGCAAAAGTCCCTTTCCCTTTGAGATTTCCATGTTTACGGGGAAGAGAAAGGGGGGGACAAGCGGGCACCACTTGTGTAGAAAGAGTGCGCCACACACCACGTTGCCTGGCGACCTCAAATGTTATAATATTAAACCGAGTTTTTAAGCATTGAATATACCCCGACGGTAACCCAGATCAAATTTGTATAAACAAATTTCTTAACTAAATTACGTTTTTGACCAGATAAATTTCTTTCACCCATTTTGGTTCATTTTGAACAAAAAAAAACATCCATTAACTTTTCTCTACAGCTGACTATTTTATTTAGTTATAATATCTGAAAACCCTAAAAATGAGGACAATCAAAGCTTAAAAACTCTGTTATATATTATAAACTTTGAGGTCGCCAAGTTTCTAAATTGAAGTTTAAGCCTTACTTTACAAGACACCGAAGAGTATTTTGAGGATACTTTATTGTGACGCGATTTTCGCCCTTGTCTGTTACGCCAAAATAGGCGAACTTTTGGTTTTTGTAGACTGTACTTACCTGTAGAAATTAGCATATGCTTTCTTGTTACTATCGCTATAGACAAATTTCATGTAACATCCAGCTATCACGACAGAAATTCCAGTGAACAGCAGATTTCTCTTGATTTGCGAATGTAATAAGCTGCGCATCTGAGGCTTTGGCAATTTGCCACTTACTTCCGACGACGACATTCCTGTAAAGAATAAAAAACATTATTTTCACCTGCATTATCAGCTTCAAAATTTTATTCATGTACTGTATTCGTTAAGGGGCTTGTTTGAAGCTAGTGGGAATTTACGCAAATACTCGTAAATACGCGAAAATAGTCCAGTACAAGTAGTTGCAAAGTCGCAGCGTTGATCAGGATTGCCACCTTTTTTAGGACAGAGATTTTTTTTCATTTTATTAGAACAAAAATTAAGTACACAGAACGAAACAGGAATATTTAAAATTGAACCAAAGATGTTTTAGGAACTCAAAATCCCAGGGTCGGATTTAGTTTTCTTTCCTTTCCTTCTATTTCTTTGGTAAGTTATACTCTGAATTTATTAATTCACAGAACTGAAAATAGAGCTTTACATGATATAAATGAACTAATGTTATGCACCCTATTTACTTTTTTCGGTCATTGTTCCATTCTATCAAGTGATATTGTACAACAACACACAGTTCTGCTCAAAAAGGAAAACAGTATTAAATGAGAGATTACACTAAATTTGACCTTCCAGACAAACTAGTCTAGTTTTACGTTAATTTCAATAAAATCGGTGCAATAGTGCCTCAGATATGTGATATAAAAGATTTGGCCTGTATATCAGAAAAAACAAATTTTGAATTTCTTCATTAAGTATGGATCACCCTGTATATTACTGTTCGAACAATGTGCTCGACGTTTTCCTAAGTAATCGTTTTCCGGAAGTTCTTTCAGGTTTTCTAAGAATTGAAAAATGATATTTATGTAACCAGCCTACTATGAGAACAACGCAATTACGATACCTCAAATCATATGAAATTCACAAGTTCAAAGCGGTTTTGTGTGATTCTTACCTTGAATGTATAAAGTAGAATTATGATTACTGCGGAATTTCAATTTTATTTTGTTTGCATTCCATTATTTTATTTATATATTTTTTTTCATATGATGCATAAATGTACGTATATATATATATTAGTATATCATTCTAGACTTTTACATTTACCACCACGTTTTCTCTTTGCTCTTTTTTTCAAACTCAATTGTCGCTCATATTGGCGTTTGTTTATGCGGTATGTATGGGTATATGACTTCGAAGTTGAGTCATTTATTTTAACAGTGAGTAGATCTGATCAAAAGAAATGTTTTTTCCTTTATCATTTTTCTGGTAAAATTAAAGTAACAAAGTTATAGCCCTTTGGAAGTTTGAGTACCGCCCTGTCTCAATAATAATATTATGTGCTCGTGTTTGGCGACAACGGATATAATTCGCCTTATCGGTTCATCGCATCGGAAACAAAAAAGCGAAAGAATTTGGAAGGATGTTTTTACAATTATTTCATTCAGTTGTATACAGTCAGTGTCAGTCGGTAGTGGATAGTGGTGTCTGTTGCGTGGCTCAAACGAAATAAAAAATGGCACATGTTTATGCGGATCGGTTTCCCAATCGAGTGCAACCAACCCCTCGTGCCTTTGTTAATGTAGTACAACGGGTTCGTGAATCATTTGACTTAAGACCTCACATATGGACGGCATGCCGGTGCTCCAAGACCTCACGATCAAATACAGGTCCGCACTGAAATACTTGTCGGGAGGATACTTTATAAAACAAGGTAAACATTTTTTTTAATTTTTTTTTTATTTTTACACACATATTTTGGTTTATCTTCCTTCTACAATCATTATCTGAAAATTATTGACTCAACTTCAAAGTCACCCTGTATATCTATATATTATTTTAGACTTTCTTTCTTTTTTTAATTTATTACCACATGCCTCACTTTTCTATCTTATTTTTTTTTAAAACTTACATGATGTTCATATTGATGTTTGTAAATGCTTGATGGATGTATTTACTGGCATAATGTTTCTTACAATTTCAAGGGATGAGTGGAAGAGCACTAGATAGTGAACTCCCCCTTGTGGTTTTCAGACAGTCGACATTTCTTTTATTTATTTTTTTATATTTTCCTTTCTTTTGGTTAATACTCATGTTTCTCTTTCTGACTGTCTTTTTTTGAGAACTGTTTGGAAATAAAAGCATTTATTATTATTATTATTATTATATATTCAAAAAAATGGTTGTAGAAAATCCCTATTCAAGGATTACTATTAAAAGTATGAGTTAACGAATAACTAAAATAGTGTAAGTTCCGAATGGTCATATCACGAGCGATTTTCTGATGCAAGATACATTTAAGGGGATTCATGGCTTTCCCCACAGCGCCAGCAGACTGAAATAAAAATATTACGATATTTTTATCATCACAAGTAATTTTCCGTTTGACAGCGCGAGCATTTGTATTCCTACTTTTATATGTATGAATATCCTATCGTATCCATTTTTTAACACGCTTTTGTTAGCTTGACCTGCATGTGTAGGTATATTATGTAACGGAATCCTTCAACCTAATTTGGAGAAGCGAAATTCACAGAAACATCACTTTTTTAGATTCAAGATTGCAGTTACGCTCCCAAGCGGCCGTTTCAGAAACTTGAAAATATTTTTCAGGTTTTTCTCTTGGCCGTTTTAGTAATAACTATCATTTCCGCAAGCCCCTACGATGGAATGGTTCCCAGACACAGTCCCTCGAATTCTTAGTTGGCCACCCTGTACACAATGCGAATATATTAATATCTGATGTGAATATATGATCAAGGTATATTATATTATTTTGCCTGAAATTGGAAAACATATAAAACGATTTGAGGTTTGACAATATTTAATGAACATTTTAACTTATTGGTATATTACCGCGTGGAAATCATTTCGTATATAATTCAGTCGACCATATGGCATCCTAATATGAACATGAAATGTCTAAAAATAGATAAGCCAAAAAGCAAAGATGTTTTCAGTGATTGTATGATTCTGGAGTAATTGATTACAAGTACAGGTTGGCCAGTATAACATTATATATAACTCTCTGACCTTATATCTTCAGAATGAAATGGACTGTATCAAATGTGAAAGAAAAATGATATTTTACAAATGCCTGTTCTGGAAGCCGCTGGGCCCTCTTGATCATGTTTCCTATGACTTTTTACTAGACTTCCAGGAGGAATATTTTTAATAGCTCTCCGAGTATCGCTATTCAGCTACTCTTTACTTCTTGATTTTGTTCGATAGAAATCACCATAGAAGGAAGCCTGGCCCGTTAAGACTGGTGGTCTAATCTAAACTAGATTAAAGTATGACAGCCTGCACATATTTTCGGACATTTTTTGCAACATAATCAGTTTTAACCTAATGTCATTTTTTAAATGTTTTGAAAGATCAATAAAGGGTGGTCTTAAACGCAAAAAGTGTTTTTTTCTAAAAAAATATCATATTTGACAGCTTGTGTATTTCAACATTTTTGGATTCAATTTTGTACAACCTTTCCCTGATGCAACGGTCAAGTGCTTTTATATGGCTAATGTTTCAGTTATATTCGAGTTTTTATTGAGTAGGGACAGCAACCTCATAGCAAGGATGTAAACATATCTCATCATTCATGTAACAAAACATAACAACCTGCCATACAGAATGTCGGAAAGAGAATATAGTTTATGGATTCAAGGAAGCACATACATAAGATAAAAAAATTTAGGTTATCATTCAAGCACTTTAATCTTGGTTTGGACGTCAAGGGGATACCTAAGACGTTTAGAGCATATAATTAACACTAAGATTGTATTATCTTTGATTTTGTGCGTGTGTATTAGTAAAGTAAGCTGATAATTGTTGGCTCTTCTGTCAAACCGGCACTGACTGTCATACTTCAACATAGAAAATATAACTCATCTTATTTTTATCGTAAAATCCATATTTCACTGGTAAATTTCTTTATGTTTGAGAGTGTTTAATTCCAATAACAAATATGTTATTATATTTTCATGGACAGCACAATTTTGGTTAGTTGCGAATTAAGAACTATCAGTTTTTTTAAATGTTATATCCCAATATCCGTTAAAAACATCTTTTATATGGGGGTCACCCTCTATAATTGAATTCCGTGGAATGTGCCTTTAGGTACTATCTATGTTAACCCACAAATAGTTCCCTTTGGCAAAGGTTTTGCCTAGAAGCAATACTACGAGCCACACTTATTTTTTAGAAGCATATTTTATGTTACCTACATGAAAAGTGATTATTCCAAACTCGAACATTTAATATGAATTCTCAGAGGAAACTATAAAGCACGAAATATGATTCGTAGGCAAGAGTGTAAATCAAAGCTACTATTCGGCATGATATCCGAGTCGGTGTTAGTTGTGAATAATATTGATAAGAAAATCAGTTTCGAGGATGTGAACTAAATATATCGTTGGTTGGTTACTTGTAAATTTTCTCTTTGCACAATTCGGTCATTACTCCTTAGTACCTAACCTTGTTGAGCAACACACTTATTCCACGTTGGATATATGTTATATTTCACGACGGAATATTTTTAAAGTATTTAATACATAGAATATAGTCTGACACATCGCGCGGACTTATAGAAGTATATCGCATATACATGGGCGCCCACAGGAATTTTCTTGGTGGGGGGAGGGGTGGTCAGTTCCTAAGAATCCCCAAAATTTACTACCGGAATTTTGTGCTTCCCTTCTGGCGGCCATACCCTTGAATGCATTTTGATTTTGAAACTAAGTGTGTGAATCAGACCTTATTTATTATTTTTTGTTTCTTTGCGATCACAATCCTTCTCTTGTTTACGCATTTGCAGTTGGGATGTCAATATTAGCCTCATAACAACGGTCTATCGCCGTCGGTTACTGACATTACGCCACCACAAAGATAACCGAATTCAACCCCATGATTCTTCTTAATGTAAACTTTACAAAGCATACATAATTTTACATCGTCAATTATATAATTACCAATAAATTATAATTTTGAAAAGGAAAGCTCAAATATTGACATCTCTATGAAATATAACCTCGGAAACATGTGTGTCCTGGGTCGCCTTTTCATAAGACTTTACCAGTTTTTTACAATTCAATCGCCCTATTTTATTTAATTTAAAGCATGCTAAGTATACAAACTTTGAAATCCAACCTGTGGGCGCCCATGCGCATAAAGATACTGTAAACATTCAACATACGACTATGTTTATCGTACCATTATCGCATGTGTCACCGCGGAGAAGTATGCTTACTGTTATATAACCTTCGATTATCTTCTCATGGTCAGGAAGATTCCGTATTGCCGATTTATGCCGATTTGTCTGAACATGGATAAAAAGAAACCTCAGAATGGGTCGCGTGAAAGTTCCTGAACATATTGTTATGTCGTCTTGTCAATGCTCGTGCAAAATCTTTTTAGCCAGCATCTTGACAATTTATGTAAAACCTGCCTTTTTCTTAGGAAATCAAACATCTAAGTTCTATCGATTACATGTTGTAGCACCCTGTAAAGAATTACCCTCATTCCCTCTTCTCTCAGAAATTTGAAAAACTAAATACAGAAACAACAATTGATATATCTGTGTATGGTCTACCCAAAATCATAATCAATCAAACCATAAAAGCTGTGTATATCTTATGACGACTATTTTTAGTGTATTGATTTGCCACAGTCTCAACTTGTATATCGATTTGTTGATGTGCGGGAATTTGCACATCATGATTGAAATAATCTATACAAATTATAAAGGTTCACCCTCTTCAGGCCGCTCAATGTTCGCTCTAAAGCGAGGCTTGTATTAAATATTAGTAAGGGAGAGCCTGCAGGATAAACCAAGGGCAAATGAAGGTCGTAACGCCTTTTGAGTAATAAACTACTCAGATCAAGAGTTAACAATTATTTATTCTATAGTATAGAGTAATAGTGAGCTCAATTCTCTCTGAGATGATTTTTTGAATGACATCGTTGTGCATTGGTTCTAAAAATCACTGCTGAAATATAGGTGTTGATGAGAAAGATAAAGATATACAACGAGTTTGCATAAGATAACATAGAACAACTGCCATACCTATAACAAACATATTATGGATGTTTGGACAACTAGCCATAATTTTCTGCATTTATTCGGACATAAATATTCTTAATTTTAGAGGAATATTTTGAAAATAAAAATTAATTCTTATCTTGGAACTGATATTATTAGGGACATAGAAGTAGGCTTACATGTGTTATGCAAACTGCATAGGTGTAACTTTCCATAAGCGTCAATGAAGCTTTATGCTAACGGATCGTCATTTTTTACAATTCAGGATCTCATTTTGTGTACTTTTTTCTGTACTTGAACGTATCAAACTTAGAAAACTGCTTATGATGATAAAACTAGAAAGTATCGTTTCTTAAGTTACTCCTAAATTGTTTTTTTATTATAATTTGCAAGTAATTTGATTTGATTGTAAGTACACAAACAGTGACGGATATATAGTTTTAACAAAAGTGTTATAAAGAAATTATAGGTATCTGGGCGACCATAAGAGCCAAAAACGCCCTTGTGTACTATAAACAGCATGGTAATTTTCATCATGTAACAAATATGTAAAGAACAACAATCTGAAGATAGTGATTACTTACCGATTTCCGATATTGTTTAAAAATTGGCAAGCACTAGGAAACACGCATACAAACACGCCGCGTCGGAGGGTTCAGCAGCTTTTGAGTGTCTGAAAGTTTTCTCGTCAAACCTCTACGCATCCGCTCACATAGTACAGGAAAATTGATTTCAGCTGAGCTATCAAAGTTCTACAGGAGTCTGTAGACCATGTATATTGCATGTTATATTAAATTTGTAACATATGCGCATTTCTCACTAGCTATTTAAATGAACTATAACTGGAGATATACTACAATTTATGGAATTACGTCATATAGAATTTTTGGATATGCCCGAATTAGACACATTGTCCCTAATTAGCCAAGTCTGCTGAATAACATAGCGTGTGTTCATCAGTGGGGGGCTTTGAGGTCATGCCTGGACCCATGACTACAGATCCGTACTATATTTATTATTTGCGTTGAAACAGCTGTGGGTACATTTTAGTGTAGAGTGCCTAAAGCAGGACCTCAGTTTTGTTATTGATAGAAAAATAAAATACTGTTGGTCTAAGCGTACAATGATTACTTTCTTATTTCAAACATTGATTAAACATTTATTAGTTGTACTCCCCCTGAGTGAAACTCCTGATCGTTGCTATGTCTAACTCCTCGTGGTTGACGATATTGACTTTTACAGCTCGGAAGCGACTGCCGTCTGCGATGCATTAGCCACTACCATCAGCCAGACCTCGGCGCACTAATCGTCCTACTTACTCAGATACCCACCGAGCTCAAGAACTCTAGTCGATATTTTGTCATTGTGGTCTCTCGCTCTATTGATATCGGTCGTCGACGATAAAATTATAATCTGATCTCACAGCAAAACGTAAGTTTTCAAGTAGATTTTCTTTAATTTCAATTCTGTCATTTGGGATACCAGATGAGAATTTGCTATGGTATAAAAGAAAAAAATTACTTTATTTCGATTTTCGTTAAAATGTTGGTAGTGCTCCGCGAGAAGCCTTGTAATACCGATAAAAAATGGATAATTGGTCTTGTTATGATGCAAGCGCCTTATTAGGGACATCTAGGAATCAGGAAAATATTAGTATCTTGTTTTTAGTTGTAGGGGTATATTGTACTGATTTTTAAATTGTGCTACCTCAATATTTACTGAATTGTAGAATTTTAACAGCATCTGCAACATTTTGGCTTTATAAGGAGCGAATCCACTTTGACTGGCAGGGGTATTATGCAAAAAAAAACAAAAAAACGCCAAAACAAAAAAAAACGACAAAATGTCATCTTGCAGAATAGGTAGTTTCATGTCACGTTTGCTTGTTATGATCGCTATTCGCTGACGTCTTAGCAAGACGTATAGCTACAAAACGAATTCACAACAAGTGTGCAATAGCTTGTGCTAAGTTAACATCTTGAAGAAAAACCTACGAGATGTCAAAAAAACGACGAAATGTCATTTTTCAAGATAAGTAATACCAGTGCCTTTCATTGTTTTAATTCTATTATAAGTGCTATTGGCAGCTTACTTGATATCAATATAACACTCATCTAAATTATTTTCCCGAATACGTCCTTAGCTTACGATAGTGCTCGCAAGTATAGTTATTTTATGAGAATATATTATTGTAAGTATTGAATGTTTCATTTTTGTGAAACACTTTTTTGTGTATAAGCAGGTATTTGAATCACAACGTGCGTTAAACGACATATTTATTATATCGGCCCTGTCATTCGGAAGGGTTTAATAAAACTCAAATTCACTAATTAGTGATATCTTTACAAAAAAATATGTCTGATCAGATACAAAGTAATCTCTTTATTTCATTTATCAGATAAATGAAGGATTAATAATTGCTTATTTGTTATGGTGGCCTTCCGTGGTCCATCCCAAGTAAAGTGTAGTTAATTAGGTCTTTGGGATGTTGATATCTACTTTCCATTCAATCTTCAGTGAATTTTGAAGAGATGTTGGAGACACGTAGTTTCACAAATTGACTGTACCATGACGCGCCTGCCGTTTTCAGAGAATTAGCGTCATCGTCGCCTATCTGAGGCCTGCGGTTTTTCTATCACCTGGTGTTTTATTAGGAACCATTGGACGGTGTGCATTTTGCACGTAGGCAAGTGATAGAACTTTAGAAATATTGAAAGCAAGATAGAAATGCAATTAATATAGAGATTAAATAAGTGTTTAAGCACGTAAGAGGATATGTCGATTGATTTTAGTATGAAAATGTTTATCTGTGAACTGGCGGTTATTGCGTAACTTCGGCACAGATATGACAGTTTCTTTAAAAAATCAACCGTAGCAGCATTACGTAAAGATTACGATAATATGACATTTTTGAAGTTTCATAAGATCTTTCACCTATAATTTTCATAAAAAGTGATAAAATGTTCTAGTCGTATTTAAAAAACAAAAAATACAACTAGTATAAACGAAAGATATGTTAGATTCTATAACTTCTGAAGGAAACTTTTTTTATACAAGGGTCAGAGAGGAAAGTAATGCAAAGAGTACTTTCACATTCATTTGTTTGACTTAACCATCAACTTTACCAGCATGTATATGTGATTTTCTTTTCAGCCCTCACCTCAATAACTGTTACTTAAATAAAAACTGAGCCCTTCAACCACTTCTACCGAACTAAGCGTTATCCAGTAGCATCTGTCAATACAAGGGTCATAGTTCATAAGCAGATCATTTAACCCCGAAAACAACTCAAAGGCTGATCGCATTTATCAAACTTTTGCATTTAAGTGTTCCAGAACATATGTACTGTAAACTTTCTTCAACATCTTAATTTTTATTTTGGTTCTTGATTTTTCGTCAAAAACTCAGATTTCGCAATTTTGGCATGTTTGTCCGAGATCCACGTACTCTAGAATATTCGACTAAATATTTCTATGAGCAGTATTTTCTATTTCAGATATTTAGTGTGAAGCATACAAAATTTCCCAATAAGTTGGTTGTAGATTTGGTAATGTCATCAGAGGCTAAGGCGGAAGTGCTTGCCCAGATCTTTGTTGCCAACTGCGCTGTGCACGTCCCCCCAAAACGCCCGAGTTCCGTCGATTCAGAGTCCCCTACACTAAATGATTTGCAGCGAAGCTTGCTTCAGTTCTTCCGCGTTTTCTTCTTACGAATCCGGCACCTTCCCAGAAAACTGGAAATTTGCTCACGTCGAACCCATCTCAAAAAAAATTTAAAACCGACCCTTACAACTACACGCCTACAGCTCTGCCTTCTATTACAAGTAAATTGATGGAGAGGTACATAGATCGAGAGATTCTGGAATACCTCGAAGGTCACCTCTTGATTAGGGGGCCTCCTAGTTTACGTCACGTAATTGTGGAGTAAACTCATCCAGTCTTATGGTGGAGCTTATGTAGTTGCTCTTGATAACACGAAAGCGTTCGATCAGCTTTGGCATGCTGCTCTCCTATGCAGACTTGCATCCTATGGCCCCCAGAGAAGCTTTGCAGAAGGGTGACATTCTCTCTAGCCGCAAGATGTCCGTCGTAATTGTCGCGTTCTCGTCTTCATTCCACAACGTCAACGTGGGCGTTCCTCAGGTATCGGTCTTGGTTGCAACATTGTTCCTTTTACATATCAACGACCTTCTGTAGGATCCAATCCAATCCACAGCTTTGCTGATGACAGCACTCGACATGTAGGAATTGAGGGTGACAAGCCGATTTTCACCTGTGAGCTGGAAAAAAAGAAGTCTAGCAGCGACTTTTTCTCTGACAAGAGACCTGGAGATTATCACTGCTTGGGAGACGCAACAATCTTGTCCCAAAACACATTATTGTACATTGATGAACTAGAAGCGTCCTAGTGCTCATCCAGTGATGGATGACCGAGACCAGATTACAGAGGACTTGATGTGGCACGAGCACATCCCGTCACTAGCAGCTGCTGGTGGGAAAAAACTAGGCTATTTGTTTAGGGCCAAGAAGTACTTTTAATCACATGTCTTTCTCAGTCTGTTACAAGGCCCCGATAAGCAAGTATTGCTCACATGTTTGGGGTACTGCTGCCCCGACTACATTATCTGACTGATCGAACACTTTTCTCTAATGGACCGTCTCGGGATCGTTTCCCTCCGGCGGGCCGTCGGCGATATAGTTTTATTCTACCGCTGCGCCAATGGGCTTTGCTCCTCCGAGCTCTCCTCCATGATGCCGCCGCGTGATATGCCTGCCTGAGTTCGGCTTCCCATCAGAGCTGAACTTCGTACACCCAGAACTGGCCGACACGACCGCTCCTTCTTCCCAATTCTACTAACCATAGGAAGCTCAAAAATGTGTTCAACAAAGTTTCCTCAAGGTGCTCATAGCAGCCGTGGTGCGCTGGCATTTAGATTTCTGTCTGCGCATTTTTGCAGACTTCGCACCCCACATCCGCAAGACACTCTCACACTGAGAGGACTAACTATAAAAGCTAAAAACGCTGTTAAATTCCTGGGCATTATTTTCGACCACAAGCTCTACTGGAAGGATCAAATTGAATATCTCACAACTCGTTGCTGAAAATTTCTCAACCTGATCAAATTCATAGGAAATACCCGATGGGGTTCGGACCTCGAAGCTCTCATAAAGGTTTATGAGAACCTAATCGAATTGACTAGGTCAGAGTTGTTTACAATTCTGCAAGCCCATCTAGGATCAAAGCATTTGAAAGAATTCAACTGGCAGCCCTAAGAACGGCTACAGAGGCCTTTCGTACGAGTCCTTCAAATGCCGTCCTCTGTGATGCTGCAGCAATACCCTTACAACTAACAGGTGAAATGCAAACTGTCATCTACATCACTAAAATAAAATCTCTTACCAGACATATCAATCTGAGTATATTGGACAGCGATACTGAAAGTACAAATCGTCCAACATATACACGTCCAGCCAGAATCCGTAGCCTTGAATTTCAACAAGCTAACAATATATCAATCAGGGATGTGCTGCAGAGAGTTCCATACGACTACCGCCTTGGACCATGTCAAAGTCACACACGGCTGACGTGATCGGAAGTTTATAAAGCATGACTTAACAACAATGTTAGTAACAGTTTTCAACGTATGAAGTCGTGGGTAACAGCTAGTGCAAAATTAGATGTCTGTACCTTTTGACGGTCACAGGTTGAGTGGGGTGATGTCAGGTAGCGCTATTGCCGGCTTGATGCTGACGGTTGAGGTTTTGATACTTGCCACGACAGTTGATTGTAATGAATAGAACGGATGAAAGTATACCTATAACCTTTCTCGGTTATCAATTGGTGTGGACTGGACTAACATAAAAAATGTATAAGCCCACTAGACATAATCGGCTGCTCAGCACGCGTGGAAGTAATGTAAAGTACATGTCATTCATTTTGCATTAGTGTGAAGGAGATTGGTTTCGCCTCTCTACATCGTCGACAAAAAGTAAGGAGTTTACTTGAAAATCCATCTGATCTCAAACTGATGTTGAATATCATCATGGTCAGGTTCATTGGCGAGAATATACTTGGACTTAAAATGGTCCGCAATTTTCATTTCATAAATGAAAAATAGATGTTTCCAGTTAAAAATTCAATTGCTCTTCAAATTACCTTGATGGTCATAGTATATGGAGCTTCTTTCTTGCTCTTTTTATTTCCGATGCCAAAAATAAAGCTTTACGTTTCAGAAAATCCTCTTGACCTTCAAGGATACCATTAGATGAATCTTTTCAAATCTTACAACTCTATTACACAACATTTTTCTTTATGAAACGTATTTTCCGAGATATTTTGTCGTCGCTTCCGTACTTCCTGAACACCCTCAAACACCCAGGATTATGGTCGTGGCCATGGCAAATACATACTTTAACGAAATAAGACAGCGTAAAGCGCCATCTACCACTAGAATCGACCACAGCGAGCAGTATATCGTAGTCAACTGGTTGGGACAATGGGAATGTGTAGATCCCAGTCCGCGAATTGGAATCCCAGTCACCACGTGACCGCTAGATGGCGACGATTTTAGCTATGTAGTAGATGCGGTCTACTTGCCATTGAACAAAATAAACATGCTCTTCTTTCGTCCGTCCCATCAAAGACAGCCAACCATGGACAGTTAGTTAATCCTGAACACCTTACGCTAGTTACATAATCAAATCACGGATTTTCCATCTCCTCTTTATCAGAATCATACTTAAATTTTTTTGTTCTAGTTATTGTAGAAGTATATATAGTACTTACTTTACATGAATAGATATCATTGTTTTCAGCTCATTATTGCAGTCAGCCTATTTAGATTTTCCTGGTAACGATCAACCTCAACATTTCGCGTGCAACTCCATTACAATAGAGATTATTTGCTATATATCAGTCATAATTTGCTTCTGGCGTTATTATAGGAATAAGCAGTAAGTAATTTCCTTTTTATACTGATATTTCAATAAACAATGTATTTGCATTTCTGGTATCGCATGGAAAACAAGAGTATTAAAAGAAAAACACATTTGAGTTTTGGTAATCTTACTTCGCTCCAGATTAATGTTAACCTCAATACACATTACCCATAGTATCGAAACACCTTTAAAGAAAATTACACCACATTTTGGTAACGTGCCTTATCTACTTTGTGTACATTATACATAGATTTTCCGGGCGTTAAGACCCTCTTTTAAGCCCACGAGCTTTTCTACTACCTGAAGAAATGATACAAGGTTAACTCTATGCCAAGCGTGAAAAAACTTTGCAGGTTTCAATAAATACTCTAATGAAAAACACTAAAAAAAGATGGCGTCAAGTAGGATGACTTCGCACGCAACGGTGTCATCAGTATATTAAGGATTCAGCACAAGTTAGATCCTATCGAAATAAGACAGCGCCTAGACCTTATATCCAGGGAAGGGGATAGTGGATTGTTTCGTACATTGTCCCAGAGTCAAGCTTAGACCATGTTGATGAGTTGTCAAAAAACACGAAACAACTATGATTGCAGTCTTTGGTTGGACGGATTAAAGCCTCATGTTTAAGTTCGACCCTCTAAGAAAGAAGTTAGTTAAGAACATGGATAACAGAGAAATTAAACATATCAAGTCCGCCAAACAAATTCGAATAATTAGTCTATAACATTATTTCCCTTCCCCCCCCCCCCCCCCGTAAGATCCGTACTTCTAAATAACCGCAACTAAATTGGAGTAGATTGGTCAAGTAGTTTTTGAGAATTTCTATTTGTTTATCTCAAAACACCTGTTTTCCGGCCACCACTACTAGTTTATTGAGCAATATGCAGGGCTAGATCAAAGAGGATTTTATAGCATAATACACTAGTTTACCTTGCCGATTGAATCGCAAACCATTCCGGAAGATAAATGTTATTTTTATGCAAAAAAGGATGGGTTACGTTTTTTCGTCTAAATAAATTTAAACATTTCGTATTTGTGAGTAATTCGCAACAAAAGATGATAGACATATCCGCATTTTTTTAAATGTGTATAGTAACGTATGTTTTTTAAATATCATAACGCATTTGTTCAACTACTCACAAATACGAAATGTTTGAATTTGCTTTAAAGAAAAAAAACGTAACCTTTGTTTTTCGCATAAAAATAACATTCATCCTTCGAAATGGTTTGTGGTTCATATCGGCTAGGTTCATACATGTATTTTGCTAAAAAATACTCTTTGAACGAACCCTGTATATTGCTCAATAAACTACTAGTGATGGCCGGAAGACAGGTGTTTTGGGAATTTTGGGATAAACAATCATGGATTCTCAAAAAACTACTTGACCAATATAATCCAATTTTGTTGTTGTTATTTAGAAGTATGAATCCTTCGGATTTGAAGAATTTCCTGTAGTTGCGAGAAATCATTGTCGCATTACCAACAAGCGCCAAAACCTGCATTGTCTCGTTTTTCAGCCATAACATTTTTGCTATTAGTGTGGTCTCATTTTGTAGGACTCATAAATACCTAAGAATCTTATTTGAAAAGTTTTTCGTTCCTGCCAACACTCGCGATTGAATCCCAAAAAATGCGTTTTCTCATTCTTTGTTGTCAAATAAAAAGTTTTCCCACAAAAATTGGTGTACCATTTTATGTATCCATGTTTTAAATACCACCTTGAACAACTTGCACCGATAAAACCAGACTTCTCAATTATTTCGGGGAAATTTGCTAATATGATTAGACTACAAAGAGCACTAGTCATGAAGGACACATAAGACCACAGGCACGCCGGCCACGGCCGTTGAAGTCAGTAGGTGGAGGGACGCTTGTCGGGAAGGTTTGTCTATCGTTCCAACTTTTAAGGACAAATGTACGGATCAATCTATGATGTATGAGATATTCCTGATAGGCCATTGAGTTATCGAGATTGAAAGTGTATTATTACCATCGAGATATAATAAAAGAGGAGGCGAGGACGCCATATTGATGACTGACTTTTGTCAAAGTTATGTCAAAGTGCGTTATGCGAGTTGTTTTGGATTTCGTTGCGGTAAATTGTACTTAGTTTTGAAATTCAGAGGCTTTTGTGATACTGTTTGCACAAATTGAAGAATATTATTATGGTGTCTTGTGCTCTACGGAGTTGTGCAAGTCGGACTGAAGTGGATAAAAAGAATACAACAGGAAAAACTTTCCATAGGCTAGTATAAACATATTACAGATATGTACCTAGGTATATATATTTTATTTCGGCTTTATTGTTTATTATAGAAAATCGTAGTTTGCCAACATTATTAGGCTTATTATTAATACCTCTCAGTGAAGCTGACCTAACTAACCAAACTACCCGTAATATATTTACGCATAATTTATCGAAAAAATATAAATACTAATTTATCAATTAAATTTTGAACTGTATTGTATTATTTTCATAAAATGCATGTTAAGGTGCTTGATTTTCTTAAAGAAAACTTATCTTCATGAGTTGAGCCATCTAATATTTTTATTTTGAGTATATTTATTAATTGTAGATTCCCTAAAAAAGCTGACCGTTGCCAATTTTCGGTGAAATTTGTTAATAGGGGTGAATGGACACCTACAAGATCTAGTGTTATTTGCTCGAAACATTTTTCTGAGGAGTCATTCGATAGAACATTAAAATGTACTGTTAATCTCAAACCAAATGCTGTTCCGACAATACATCCAAAGCAGGTAGGTATGTTAATAAAATCATGATTGTTTCGTAAAATGTTCTGTATACTTAATTCAAAACAGTCATTATGTTTTTTGTCCTTTTTGTAGTTTTTCTTGATATAATGTCATCTTAAATGCATGTTTTAATGTAAATTCTAGGTTTCATAAATGTCTAGAATTAATGAGCGTTAATGTTTTATTTTAGGAAGAATCACCACCTGCCAAGATACTAGTACTATCAAATACAGTATTAAGACCTAATTTCGACTCATCCCTTCTTCAGACACAAGCAGTTAGTATAAGACATCATAGCAATAAGCTTATATTATTTAGAGGACAGTAATCAATTAATCTGTAATCTATGTATTTATGTAATAAAGATTATTTCCAAACCTGATTTTTATTTATGTAGGCACGCATAAATTAAATTACTTAAAAATATTTGGATAATAAACATGTATCTAATAGATTTTATTAGGCCTAATATTTGCAACAACAAAAAAATGTAATTTCGTCCCGGTCTACTGTATTCAATTTTCACGTGCCAAAAGTCGAGAAGTACGATTAGTGATATTTGAAAAAAATGACACCGGATTATTGTTCACTACCACTTAAAACATATGTTTACTAAGTTTGGTTTTCAAAAGATGCGATGTATGAATCTTGAGAGAGAAATGCCATAAGAAAAAATATATAAAAAAACTCGTAGTTAATCGGGAAATCTATTGCACCTCTAAAAATTTGACTACAACTGACAGTATACTATCACAACCAAATTTGGTGAACATATGTTTTAGGTGATCCTGAATAATAAACCGGTGTAATTTTTTTCAAATATCGCTTATAGTAATTCTCTATTCTTCGCTCTTAAAACTTGAATACAGTATTGGGTCGTGTCTTACATTTTCTAAATATCCGCAAACTGACATTTTTGACCATCCAACAAAAAAAAGTTCATGAAAATCGGTCAAAAAACACAAATGTTGAAGTAAGTGGATAGCAAATGATAGCATTTACATATAGCATAAATGCAATCAAATCAAATACATACATTAAAAACAGATTCGATCCTGGCAAATCTGTCATATTGTTAAGCGACTAAGCTCCACCCCCCGGTCCCTTTATCGATAGCATGATTTATATGACAATAGCGTCTCCTTTTGTATTATATCTCGATGATTATTACCTATACTAACACCAAGAAATTTGAATACATCCTTCTTCATACCCCACAACCGTTACCCCTTAACTTTTTAACCCTAAAAATGTTTTAAAAATGATCAGGGTCCTTTGAAACGTCAAAAGACGAAGTTTTTATTTTTTCGTTCTTGGCATTTTTTATCCGACCGGCACCTTCCAAGTTATAGACAGGCTACGGATTAGGGGACAGACAAACCGACCTACAAACCAACGGAATCGATTAGTTTTTGAGGAGACCCGCCGGAAAGCCGGTAGCCCGGCCAATAGAATGATTCGTTGAGCCACAGGTGTCTGGGATGTATATCAGGGACGCCTGCAGTTCAACGGTCATCATGAGCAATGGTACTTTACCCAACCCAAGGTGTTAAGCGATTCCGTGCCGAGGGGTGCGTGGCAATATGGAACACGAAAAAAATAATAAAAACCCCGAGGTCCCCCCTACTGGGGACCTCGAACATCCAGGCCGCCCCTCACCAGGGGACCCTGATCGTACTCTGACAGAGGAATCTGTCATAAACTTAGCAAGAGAGCTAGCGGAAAGGGTGGGTTCCGAAGGACGGGGCACCACTTCTGGGGCTCCGGCTGGACGGACCCAACCGCCATCTGGGCTAGACGGTGCGCAAACCGGTGTGTCAGCGGAGGCCCTAAAGAGACCTGGCGACGGGAAGCGGCATGGTGGCTGTAATGTCCGACGGTTATGCTGGGACTCAATTTACTGAAGTACAGGCACAGCAGGTCCAGGAGGCGGTCAGTGTGCTGATAGATGGGCTCCCAGATGAGGCGGCGCTTCCCAAGTACATTGACTGCTACCTCTCTCGAGGGGAAGCCATCTTTGTCTCTGAGGACGAATCCTTATTACGATGAGCTTTGGAGACCTTCCCATAAACCACCAGGTGATGGCCTGGTTCCTGGGTCCCAACCTGGGAAACGAGGTCATCATGACGAGACTCAGGAGGCATGAATGAATGAATCTTGAATTTTAGAGGCATCCCGGCCACCATAAGGAGCCAGTGCATAGGCCGCTTAAGCGGGCCCTTATGCACCTCTACAATACTTAAATCACAAGCCTCGCCCTTTTAGCGAAGTTGAGAATCGCCTTGAGTCCAAGCTCCTTTACGTCCTGAGGGTCCAAAGTAATGGACCCCAGTATAGTCTGCCTATAGTAGCTCAGAGCTTCACAGCGACACAAAACGTGCGCCGAGGTCTCTTCCTCTACTCCGCAGCGTTCGCATAAGGGATCCTCAGCCACCCCCATCACGTGCAGGTGCCGCCTTAACGTGTTATGGCCAGACAACAGTCCCACCAGCAACCTTAGGTTGGCTCTACCCAGAGATAGGCAGAAGCGTCCATCCTTAGCACTGGGCCCTTCAATGAGCTCTCGTGCCTGGCGGAGATGTCTAGAGATACTTCTCCATTTCTGAGAGTGTTGTCTTGCAACCCACGTCTCCATTTTCCTCCTAGCTTTATGCGCGGTTACTCCTAGAGCTGGCTCAGGACCAACGAGCTTGCTGGCTGATCCTGTTTTCGCCAGAGTGTCCGCCGTCTCATTGCCCCTTATCCCAGCGTGCCCCGGTACCCATATTAACGATACCGGATGCCTCGCTGCGAGGCAATCCAGAGCCTCCCTGCATTGCAATACAAGACTCGAAGTAATCTTACATGCACTTAGTGCTTTCATTGCAGCCTGGCTGTCGGATAAGATTGTTATTCTTCTCCTAGGCCCACCCTCCTCCAGAATGTGAGATACACAAGCCAGAATCGCAAAGATTTCCGCCTGGAAAATGGTGGTGTACTCACCGAGAGGCAGAGATAGCCTAGTTCTAGGTCCAGAGACCCCAGCACCTGAGCCCTCTTCGGTGACCGAGCCGTCCGTGTACCAGACCTGCCCGCTCACTTCGGAGAGTCCTCGGCTACCGGCGTCCCACTCCTCCCTCGTTGGGTACTCCACAATGAACTTGCGGTTGAAGCGATATTTAGGGGTAATACGATCACCCCTGCTTAGAAGGACGGGGTCCTCCCTATCTAATTCGACTAATATGGCAGTATGCCCCTTGACCGGATTCAAGAAAGCCCAGCTGCCCTGACTCCACAGTCGATGAGCGACTACTCTCGCTTCACCGCGGATCACCAGATCCAACGGTGGGAGATCCAACAGAGCTTCCATTGCACTCAATGGCGTTGTTCGCACTGCGCTTGTAATGCTAATACAGGCCAAACGCTGAATTTTATTGAGTTTGGCCTTAGTTGACTCAGTTCTAATGCAAGGCCACCAGACCAGGGAGCCGTACAAGAGAGATGGACGTACTATCGTCGTGTAGAGCCAGTATACCACTTTGGGTTTAAGCCCCCACCTTACACCGACAACACGTCTACAAGCCCACATCGAATTGCGAGCCTTGCTAACCTTGTGTTCCACATGCTCTCTCCAGTTCAGTTTGCAGTCCAGGATAATTCCCAGATATTTCACTGACTGGGACAAAACTAATCTAGTCCCAAAGAAGGTAGGCATGACCAGTCCGTCAAGCCTTCTTCTCCTAGTGAATAGGATCAGCTCGGTCTTTTCAGCATTAACAGAAAGATCGACTTCCCTACACCACGATTCCACGGAGCGCAGAGCGCCCTGCATAATTTCCGAGACTGTTCTACAGAAACGCCCCCTAACCACTATGCTTACGTCATCAGCATAGGCTTGCACGTAGACACCCATACTGTTGAGCCTAACGAGCAGTTCGTTCACCACGATACACCACAGTAGGGGTGACAGAACTCCACCCTGAGGGCAGCCTCTAGCTACGTTCACGCTGCAGCTTACGTTATTCAGCATAGCTGTTGTTACCCGACCCTCCAGAGTAGAGAGGACCCAATCTATTAGGATTGATCCAACCCCGTGTCTAACCAAGGCCTGTCTGATAGAGTCGGTTGTGGTGCAATTAAATGCACCTTCAATATCTAAGAAGGCCACGAGTGCCACTTCTCGCTGATCTAGAGTCTTCTCCAGCCTCCCAACCAGATTGTGTAAGGCCAGATCAGTCGATTTTCCAGCTTGGTATGCAAACTGATTTGCATGAATGACACACCTTTCCAGTGGGCCATCCCTTAGGTATCTATCAACTATCCTTTCCAGGGTCTTAAGCACAAAAGATGAAAGAGTAATCGGTCGAAAATCCTTCGGGCCAGTATATCTATCTCTGCCCGGTTTAGGAATGAATACCACTTTAGCCTGCCGCCAACTTCTAGGTGTGAAGCCCGTGGCCACACATGCTCGAAACACATTCAACAGGTAAGGAACAACCGAAATCCGTCCCTGCTGTAACATGGCCGGAAATACGCCGTCCAGACCTGGACTTTTGTATGGGGCAAACGAATCTACTGCCCATACCGTCCTTTCGAAGGTGACAATCTCCCTTGCCGTGCGCCAGTCCTCCCTTGAGGGCCTGCGCAACTGCATGCACTCTGTGATTGATCGCGCTACTGTGGAACCGGGAAAGTGCGTATCCATCAGAAGCCTCAGAGTATCTTCCTCGGAAGTAGTGTTCCCTCCCGAGGGATCATGCAGAGATCCCAATCTTGCTTTAGTGTCTTTGCATAGGACTCTGTGTATTCTTGCAGTAGCAGGAATGTCATTTATGGACTGACAGAAGTGCCTCCAGGATTCTCTGGAGGCCCTTCTAATCTCCTTTTTGTACTCCTGCAATGCCTTTTTGTATTCTTCCCATAGAGGAGAACCTCTCCTGTGCTTAACTCTGCTAAGAAGTTTGTGCACCGCTCGTTTTCTATCCTCTAAATCTTTGGTCCAGAAGGTTGCCTTGCCCTTACCTTGTACTTTGCGTAACGGGCAGTTTTCCTCATATGCGGCCGTCAAGTCCCTGCTCAGAGACTCGACAGCTGCTTCTATGTCAGAGCCCCTGCCAAGCCTGTATGGGACCGCTCCAAGCTTACTGTCAATGTCTGCCCTAAAGGACCCCCATCTAGTATGCCTGGGATTCCGAGCATATTTATCCGGAATCTCTCCATCAGTCTTGAACAGTATATACCTGTGATCCGATAGAGAGGGTGTTAGAGACACTTTCCAGTCCCTGATGTCCTGAGCTAAGTTAAGCGTGCTCAGTGTTACGTCGATAACCTCTTCTCTTACACTATTGCTGAAAGTGGGCATGTTACCGACATTCAGAACCTCAAGGTTCGATGCCCCAAGAAACTCCATCAGGTCTTCGCCTCGTCTG